GCTGAAGACGAAGGCCTCGAAACCTGTAATGAGGCATCAACTTTGTGCGAGATGCAACAAACAATGAATGTATGGGTCCATGAAGTCTAACATGAGCCAATGGGGGAGCAGATAGACTTCTTTCGGCTTCTATTTTGCTGTAGACGAACCTTCTTGGAAGGCCTTCACGCCTGAAATGAGGCATCAAGTTTGTGCGAGATGCAACAAAACAGAAGACAAACTCTTCAAGAACTCGGACCGGCACCGGCTCAGGGGGGTGGTCCTGCTCTGGTTGTCAACAGCCGATTCGGCGCACACTTTCACTTGGATTTTCTATCAGAGCCTTGACACCTGAAACAAGGCATCAAGTTTCTGCGAAATGCAACAAACAAACCAAAGATCCCTAGAGAATCTGGACCGAAACCGGCAATAGGGCGGCTAGTATCCTCGTGGTTCCATTTTGAGGCCTGACTTTCACTTCAATTCTGCTTAAGAGCCCCACACCTCAGGTCAGGCATCGACTTCTTGCGAAATGCAACAAAAGAAGACAGAGAATCTCATGGAACTCGGACTAGCACCGGCTGTAGGGGCTTGTCCATTCTCCACAGCCATTTGAGGCCTGACTTTCACTTCAATTTTGCTCGAGAGCCGTGAGGCCTCACGTCAGGCAGCGAACTTTTGCGAAATGCAACAAAACAAAGGAAAGAACCTCATAGAAACCTTATAGAGTTCGGAGCGGGACCGGCTTGAGGAGGTAGTGTCCTCGTGGTTCTCCACAGCCAATGCGCGTACGTTCACTTGTATTTGTTGAGGAGCTTGGAAACCTCACATTAGGCATCTACTTCTTGCGAAATGCAACAAAACAAGGCACAGAATCTTGTAGAATTCGGACTAGGACGAGCTGATACTCGCGTAGTCGTCAACAGTGAAGTCGTGTATCTTTTGGTTTTAGGATAGTCGAACCTATACTTGTGTCTAGAGTGATTCTTCCAACCCATTACTGTCCATTCGTAATTGAAGTTACTAGAGCCCATTAATTGCACACTGGTCGAGAGCACTTGTGTCAATTATGGTGGGTGTTGTGGATTCGTGCGGATTCGCAGCTAAAAAGCTTAAGCGAACGTCACTTCACTTGACGACACACAACGAACCTCAATATTTTCTGTCTGGGATTTCAATGTATATTGCCAAAAGCAGCCTGGAGAATTATTATTGTTTACTTGCTGCTGCTGAAGTATTGATTTCCATGGCTGGACGAGAGTTGTTGTTTTGATGTCCCGAGATCGATCGAACCGCGCTCCAGAAGCACGGAAGAAATCACCAGAGCAACCCTGTCACCTTCGAGGGTTTCCGCACTTGGATCTGTTGGGGAGATTGTGGATCAGGGATCATCGGAGGTCACAGCAGATATACATCCAAGAGCTGCGGATTAGATGGGGTTGGACGGATGTCTAATCACTCAATAGTGGGCAGCCAGGATAAATTGATTGGGATCATGTGTAATCAAACTTCACCCAAAGAGAATTCACAGGAACACAGTTCAAAGCATAAGAACGCGAGATCAAAACAAAAAGCAATATGTGTATTTATAATCTACAACCACAACCCTCCTCCTGCCCGCAAGGCCCAATTACCACCCCAAATCTTTTGCCAGGCGCACAAGACTCCACCGACAGAGATCAGATTCATCAATCCTTTTTCAACTTCCCGATTATTGATTGCAGCACCAGCAGGTGCTGGACTGGTGTGTGCTATTGGATAAGTTTCGGTGGTGAGGTGATGTCTGCTGTGAAGATGGCATCGAGGGAATGTGCCCTCGGTCGCATACAATAAATCAAACAAATCTGAACCAGAGCTGTAGAGAAAGTATCAGCAAAGATGTTATTTTGTTACAGTGAAATTGAACTCTTACCAGTCTGTCGCGAGAAGAAACAGCCCCAGCAGCCGCAGCAAATGACCATTGCTACAGCAAACCCTTTCGGGCCGCCGAGCGCCCGCCGGGACAGTCAAAGAAAAGGAATCTTTTCGCCGTACCCATCCGGGGACGAACTCCCCAGCCGCCCTAAAAAGCAGCTAGTGTCACTGTCGAGCCTGTGAGAAAAAGATGTAAGCGCATGGACGACGATGGGTTAGATAGAGCGAGACAATAGTGTGGTACTAACCTCGAAAGAAGGAATCCTCCTTCTCTTTCTTCTGCTTGCTCGAGTTTGAATCTCGCAAGCCAACGGCAGTCGGACCTTCAAGTAGTCAACATCAATCCAGTCATCACGCTCCTCCCCGAGCCACACCAATATTGGACAACATTGAAGGTCCGACTGCCGTGACTAAGAGCAAAAACCTCTCAAGTGAAAACCAGGCGAAGTGCGGAACAAATGTTCTGTTCTCACTCCAGAACATAAAGGTGAAATGCAGTGACCCTCCCGAAGGGAGTAAAGGTTTTCCCAACGGGAGGGCCACTGATGTGCGCTCGACAGGAGTGGCGGCGTAGCACTGTGTGATTGTGCCAAATGATTCGAAGAGCGAATCTTCAGAAGCGGGTAAGACCCGGTCGGACCAGTACACGCGGGGAGGCAAGGGCAATGGATGGTGTTGTTGCCATCGCTGATGTTTACAGGCCGTTGTTCGGAGCAGAGCTGAGGCACCACTGTGGGTGATATAAGAAGGAAATTATACATGAAATTTGAGAAAGTGTTTGTGCGGTGCTAACAGCACCGATATCAAAGTCTTTGGGTTCTGAGGGGAGATGATGATGTGTGATGTGAGATTGTGAAAGCGCGTGGATTTTGCAGCAGATCTTGAAACCTGTTCATCTTTGTCAGGAAGAGCAAAATAAAGCATTCAAGATTGACTTACGTTAACTTTGAGACGATCTTTGAGACGATTGCGATGGAAGTGCGGATGATGATGCTCAAACGAGATACGTGATCCTCGAGCCTGAATAGCTTGACGTTTGCTCTTGCCCTTCAGATCTGTCAGTTCAGGTTCAAATAAGAGGAAAGATCGTTGAGAAACTCACCAGAAGACGCGTCTTTCCGCCAACTCTCGTGCTCAACTTCGTATCAACTCTCGCCATGATGACAACTGGATGTTCTCTTGTAAACAAGAAAGGATTGGAGACTGTAGATGTTTGAAGCATCGAATTATGTGTGTGATTGTAATCTGTGAGATTGATGGTAACGAAGTGTGATGGTGTCTGGAGAGAAAAGAATTTGTTGACAAACAGAAAGTGCGGCGGATATATAGCTGGCTCGCTTAATTTTTCAACCCTAGGGAGGCTGGGACTTGTACGCAAGCAGTTAGCGTCTTTCTTTCTGTTCCTATTGTCTCCTGGTGGTTTCCATGCCGGATATTGCGTTTCCGGGATGGCTGAGAAGATATTGTTGTTCCAAATCGGCAGGTCTTGCCTGGGTAGTCCTGAGAAGGACCTTGAGTGCAACAGAGGTCTATTCACCTCAGCTCTGCGGGCTCTGTTGTTACTTTGAGGTTCCAAAATGGCGTCCTAGTGATGTTGAAGATCAGATGTTGGTGTTTCAGTTTTGATTTCATCATGGATCGAACGTTGTAAAGATCAATTCAAAGTTATTCCACTGATTTATGCACTTTCATCGAGAAGTGTTTCGGGGAGTAATGTTTGTCACACATGGTATCAACGTCTACGGCCTGTTTATTCAAGGAAAATCCATTAACTAGCGATTTTGATTTATATACATTTGAACCGAAATTGAATACAAGTGTGCACATCCCCTTAGCAATGAGTTCATTCGACCGATGATAAGTTGAGCATTCCTCCTATCAGATTCCCAACACTGCTTGATGTTAGAAATTGATCGCTTCTTAGTAACCGCATCTGGGTTCTTTTGAGAAACACGAAGTACCTCTCCCCATTTAGCATGGAATAAGGCCGCTTCAAAGTGCGTATGAGAATATTCTGGGGGTGGAGGGCCGTTGTTAAAGTTTGAAGTGATGGGGGAGCACCATTGTAGTTATGCTGTGGGGGAAACACGGAATTAAAGTAGTTGTGAAAAAGGTACAGGTGGAGGGGGAGGTTGATTCATGGGTGGTCCACGAGGTGGTGGAGGTTCTGATGGATATGATTCTGGCCTCCTGGGAGATAGTGATCGGCGAGGGGATTTGGAGTATGAACGATCCCTCGATACTGGCCGAGAATGACCATTGCGTGATACTGGTCATGGTGATCGAGAAGAACTATAAGAACGACGACGTCGTGTAGGTCTGCGTGGCTCAGGATACGAAGATGCGGAATCACTGTAGCCTCGTTTCTCTCTGGTAGGCGCTTCAGAAGTAGACCAGCGACCCCAAGACATGAGTTGGCTGCAGCATATACTCCAACTTATATACCTGGATTGGCTATGGAGCAGCCACGAGCTCGTAGGTTCTCGATCGAGGGTGGTAAAGATGCTTGGTATTTGTTTCGAAGGTGTGTTCATTCGGAAGGATATATATATGGAATCTGTCACAGTTGCATTGGACGAAAACTTTGTGCCACTGCCGAGTGGTTGGCATGCCCATGATCTCCTGTGTATATTGGGTGTAATGTAGACGCGTCGCCCGATGGCCGATGCTCGAGGTTTGTTTGGAATACTTGGTAAAAGTAGTTGAGAGTCTTTTACTTGCATTGGCGGCGGTCATGCCTTCTGCGTGTCCAGAAAACTTGATAATTGCAAGAGGCGGTCGGTAGAATGCTGAAGAAGTAGCTGCCGTGGAAGTTGTCTTAGTTGCGTGGCTTGGCCAACAGCTTCGAAACCTTTCGGGAAAGCTTCTCACTTGCGCGTTTTTTGGATACGGACTTCTTGATCTTGGTAGAAACTTTGGCGGAAACCTTTGGTGTCGCTTTTCTTTTAGTCGAAGACCCCGAAGCCTCTGTGGCAGCTGTTTCTCTTGCCTGTTTCTCAGCAAAAGATCTTAAGGCTTCATTAACCCATGTGCGACTCTCCGCCTGTCGACTCCACCTAGCTGAGTCAGTAACTAAAGACTAATAGATCACCAGTATTGTACTTACAACATCTTCATGCCATTAGTTGTGCGTGCGACAACTGTCTGAGGGGTCTTGAAAATCTTCCCATTAATTGTTTTTGAGCCTTTAGCCACGATGACTCATTCCCAGCGCTTGTTGTGCTGAATACGGAAGTTATCGAAGTCTTTTGTATCAAGGTCACGCCCTGAGCTGGCGACTTTGTCTAGAACAAGCTTCTTAAAAGAATTGAACTCCGTGACTGACCATCGAGGTCGGCCATAATCCATAACCTTTTCCCCATTGGGACTGAGTCGTCTCTTAATATTCATACCCCGCCAGTTGTTGAGGTACCTGACCCACTTGCGATCTCTCCAGAGCTGTTCACTAGCACGAGGGAAACGCAAGACAACGATGTCGCCTGTGCTGGTGACAAGTTCCATCTTTGTTTTACTGTCGTCGACAACGCCGAAGGTGGCCAAGGTACAGTCTATGTGCTCGTTAAGATGAAGTGGAAAGACGATATGTTTCGGGGCGAGATTGATGCTTCTTCCTTCTGATATAGCCTGGAGAATCATGACATGGTTAGCTCTAGACCATGGCTCTTTCAAAAGACGAGTATGCTTACCTTCAAGTGCGGATCACTGCGGACAGTTTCGTAAACAATTGCTGGGTTCCCAGCGAGGTTCAAACGGACGTTGTTGCTAGCTGAATCTTTTCTTGCTTTGGTCGAAGACATACTAGATCTAAAGCTGCGCGAACCTCCTTGCTTAGAATTCAACTGCTGGGACTTTAAGGTGTGGGACGCGTCTGGTTCTGCGTTGGGAGATCGTAAGGAACTTGATCTTTGTGTGAGGATTGAAGGCTTACTTGAATTGGGGTTGAATGGTTGTCGTAACTTGATCTTCACAATCAAGGATTTAGTTTTACTAGTCGGGGCTGATTCTCCACGGATGGACTGCGAAGGATCCTGTTCCAGGTCTCCGTCCGCAACTCTCAACCCACTTCCTGATGCTGCCACTTGAGTCGCACCCGACTCTGGTTCCCGCATGTTCGTCGCCTTCTCCTTCCGTTCTCTTCTCCCCGCTTTTCGCGCTTCACTGGGCAAGAAGGTGTTACTCAGGGGTGGCGGATTTGTGGTGGACTGGAGGGCTATTGGGATATTAGATCTTGTCGCTAAAAGCAAAGATATTTGGCTTTTCAGTGTGCGAGTTTTTAAGAAGCAAAAGCTCCGAGATCAGACGTTCAAAAGAAAATGAAAGTGATAACTTACAGAGCTGGGAAGCTTGACGTTTTGCCTGAGATCGCAGTTCAGCGGGATGACCCTCCGCGTCGGCCGGGTACACAATATTCTTCGCTCTATTCGACGCGTTCTTCAAAATTGGATTTGGTGTACGCCTTGTAGCTGGCAGCTTTTGCTTCGATCTTCCCGTTTTTTTTGGTGCCATCTCGTTGTTTTCTGGGAGAAGTAGTGATATTCCTTTTGAAGCGTGGTAGCGGGAAAGTTGAAGCCAATAGGACTGCTTGTTTAACTATCAAGAGATGGATGTGTGAGGAGTGCTTTGGAAATCTTCGTCGTTGTTGTGATGTTGTTGAAGAGAAATCGAGTGAAGTGCCGATCTGATGTTTTTCGGCAAGGGGGGTAACCGAGCCTGAAAATTGCGCGACTTTGGAAAGGTGCGAATATTGCAGATCAAGACAATGCACTATAGACTCACGTAAGAACAATGTTGCATGGTCAATTATCTTTTGTATTGAAGGCTGTTCAACACTACTAATTCTCAAGTGTTGAACAGACCCCTGATGGACAATATCCAGACTGTTCATCGTGTGACACAACATTTAGTTCTATCTTCCTATTTGACCCTTATCACAGCAAGATCAACATCATGATAAATATGAGACTATGCAAGTGGTGTCACAAAGCTGGAAGCTGTGTCTGCAGTACTTCCATTTTGAAAACGCGCTTCATCGAACAATCATAAATCACCGAATACAGCTTCCAGAACTTTTTATATGATATCAGCCGTAAATATCTATATCATGATACTCTAAAATCTCCGGAGTGTCTTGAATCACCACCAACACCGATATCGTCGCGGTGGGGACGACGCCTCACACACAACGGGTAGGGCTCCCCTCCTAACAAGACCGTTAGTACCCGAAGCTTCGTGATTCCTTGAAATTCTGCGAAATTCCAGTGAAATTCATTCCATGAAACATGGGTCTATTTTGGAAAGGGAACATGCCGCTATAACAACGGACATGGCGTATCCGAGCCGCGGAAAGTCGCCTTGAGTAGGGCAGAGCAGTAACTTGCCATCACCAAAATCTCTAAGAATCACTCAAGAAAGCCGTTGCTTTTGTATATAGCATACCTAAAACTCCATAGAGCTTCTCTACTCTCCAAGTAATAAAATCATAGTCTTGAATTCCCCGTTATCTACAAAATGATCTTCTTTTGAAGATTTATGGTCGCCGTCTAAAGATCAATCGAATAGGATATTTCCGCTTGGCGCTTTAGAGCCATCACGTATCTAGGCAAGCATTGGCAAAGACGCTAGCAACCACGCTAGCAGACCACATTTTATCCTGCGTCGTTCCTCTTTCCTTTTTCTTCTTTCCACAAAAAAACATCATCAAATTCAACTGCACTCCAACACACTCTCGGTGCAGAACAACTTCCTTTCCAACATAGATATTCAAATCAAGTCATTCAAAACGTAAGCATCCAATCCGTTTACAGCATATATCTTTCATGCACACTCTTGTATTACATATTCCTAAATTCTTTCCGACTCTGCAAGGGCAAGTCTCGATGTCCGGGCATGGCGAAAACTCGAGATGTCTTTGCAACACTACCTATCATCTCACACTACCGCATGGTCAACAGAGCACTAACATATCAACATCTTAGTCTTTACTTGCAACTCCAACTACTGCCGCACATCAACAACACTGGGGGAGGACTCTCTCCTCCCCCAACAAAGTCTCTCCAAGGAGAAGGTAAGATTGCCCATCTCATTCCCACATGAACATCAAACATATAAACCATCATCTCATTCAAACTATTCCTTAACTCAATTGCACACATCACTAATACATTCATGCAACAGGGACAACTATACTGGCAGTACTGGGGCCTCTAAGAATGTCATCCGGTGGGAAGTCATTTCATTGAGCCATTTCGGGTACCATCAATGAACGTCATAAGACACCCTAAAGGTAAGCTTCATTATTTCTTCGATCACCTAGACCTTAACATCTTCATGCTTTCACATCATATCATGTACCCCATACCATACATCCCACATCACAAGTTTATATCATATCCTATATCATGTATCTCGTATCATGTAACTCATATCATGTAACTCAAATCATGTCATTACTTCTTTCTATTTGCCCAACATACCGCTAACGCATTCATTGGCAGTCCATCGGCATACTATCTCCACCGGCACTGGGGTTTGGGCATCTTCTCTCCTCAACTTAGCCAAACCCGAATGGTCCTTTCACGCAAAGAACCCCCATACCCGTCATCCAGAAAAGTCACTTCCGACGATCTTCTATGACCTAGGAGAGAAGATGTCTTACATTCCTGCATTATACACATATCGACAGCAAGAAACACAAAGGTTCCCCCCGCAAAACTAGCGTGGAAGCTTATCACGTGGGATGCTTTCCCAACTATATGGTGTGGGTATCTTAATCTCTTCTCTCACTCAACGCCTTTGCAACACCTACGCATATGAGGAAAAAAAAAGAAGAGGACTTTACTCATCCCCGTCGTGTATTCGTCAACACATACCTTAATTACCCTAGAGCCTAATAATAACATGTTTATTATGGGCCTCAGGGACGCGAAAACCACAATAGTCATGTATTATCCCGCTGTGTAGGGAAGAAAACTCTACATGACTTCCCCATGGGATTTTCCCCCTAACAGACACAGCAGAGATAAGTAATCCGTGACCCCAAGCGGCTCATAACCCTCTTCGGGTGTTATGAACACAATCATTGGCAGCCTAAGACACTTAAGCTACAAGAGGTTCTGCGAGGAAGAGAGGAATATGGAATCCCCTCAACACGCCGGAAAGCTCGTCATAATATACACATAGACGACGACTATATGGTATCGTCATTCTACCACTGCTTTCTCTGCATTCTCTGAGAGGTTGAGATGTCCTTCCTCCCGAGAAGGTAGAAGTCATACCACCCCATTCCACAACGGAAGAAAACATTTATTACGTTGGGGCGGGGGGAAGACTATACCTCTACACGTGTTGGGGAAAGCTCTTATCTCTGGCACTACCACCAGAGAGATACTCGTATCCCATCTGCAAATCTCAAACCAAGACGTTATGAGTGCTCGCTACAATATTCTATTGTCTTTTGGACGCCTTGGCACTGCAGAGGACTATAGGATTCCACTGCGGTGTTTCTCCCATCTCTGCTCTCTGTCTTCTCGCTTTACAAAAAATAATTATCCTTGCGAATCTTGAAGTCAGCTCAAGACCATATTTTCAGAGAATAAGATGGGTAGAACACAGAGTGCGCATCAGAAGGCCTATTACGACTTATCAACTACCAAAAGACTGGAACAATAAAACTCCCGATAGTTATGAAAAGCTGGACCGAAGATGGGAAGTTTTGCCTTCTCACAAATGAGCTCCATCGAAGCCAGCTCAATTACTGGGGAAAATCTAGACTCTGTAACAGTCGACGAGGGTGACCCAGAGAGCATTAAGAGCGTATTGCTCAAGCGCAACAGTCGTGAGCAGAAGACGGAAATGATGATGATATCTATCGCTAAGCCATACCAATCTGTCTCGTTAAAGCTTCGTTCAACACCGTACATCATCCCGCGAGTCAAATGAGCAGCTGTTGGCTGCCTACAGCAGTCTTGGAAGCTACACCTTTCCATGCACCCCAAGCTATTCATGTCCTGGTGGAAACAACACAGGAAGCTACACTATGGCCCCTTGCCAAGCTTCCAAGTACTCATAATTTGTCAGAAGTAGTAAACCTACATCGGTCGGCCCTATCGTCAGGTAGCTCCAAGATGCATATGCGTAGGATTCTGCTCGCTCCGCGCCAGACGCTGCATTTCGTTTAACAAGTTAATGAATACATTAACAAGGAAGTAAAAGTTGTCAATGGTCGTCATCAGCTGCTCGTCCATACTCGAAAATTATGTCTTCCATCTACGCAGCATATTACACACCGCTCTGCAAGATGCTCAGGTGGACCATAAAATACTGCGCCGCATATTTTATTGCACACCAATAGCCAAGGCCAAATGGGATACTGAAGACCTCACTGTGCGTTGCAAGACTAGACTAGACTCATACAGGCAACGCAGTCAGCGAGAATGCACGATTATCTCTACGTCCACAAAACAAGCAAACTACGAGGAGCTAGAGCGGTTGTTTGTTTGGGACTTTTGAGGCTTCCTTAACACCACAGAGATGTTTGCGAAAGCGGCGCACAGGATCCACTCAGCTTCATGGACACCATACAGAAGTTGGAGGATCAACAGGGACAAGAAGTCTAGCAAACAATCCAAAGTATTGGACTCTATGCCCACGAGACTTGAAAAACAGCCAGCCCCTGAATAGACAAGCGGTGTTCCCCGTGCTGAATCAAAGCCCCTCAGATGCTTACCACCTACGCATTCATAATTCTGAGTTATTCCCAGAATTCAACAATAACAACAAAACCCTAGTATCAACCCCTCCTGCATGTTTGGAGGGCGCTGGTTCCACTTAACCATCATTCATTTAAGTGGCACCTTGGAAGACATGATACTGAACGTAAATAATTATTCTGATCCAGTCTCCAGAATGTAACAAACACAATATTTAAAGCCAGAAACCTTAAACATACGTGGGATGTTCTGGCAACTCCAAGAGCCGTCAATTTAGATGGCGCTTGGTGTCTGGGGAAGCACTGCTACCAATATTTCTGATGCTTCAGCTCCTAATTAAGAGGGTTGAGCGGCTGGATCACTATAAGGGTTTTCCGCAACTAGAGGCGAGAAGTTGACTGTAGCTGAATCCTGGACCACCACAGATTCATGCGAGTTGATCATTTTGTTGCTCTCATAATTCTGGCGCAATAGCGTCGAAGAGTTAGTTTTATGAGAACCCCAATGGGCTTTTCCTTCTCCTATGTCATCACATAAAAGTATAACACTGCTGCAATCCACCAGCGCTGTACACCCCGCGGAGAACAATGACACGTCATGTTAGGGAACGACTGAGTGTGTGCAAGACGCTTCTTGGATAACTTGTTAAGGGGTTCAGATAAAGTCAACGACCAGGCGACGGTCTTCTATCTCCTGTTACCCCTGCTCAAGTTTCTTTCGCAGCTCGTCAATCTCCCCTCTCATTTTTGGGCCTTTGTCTGACTCTGATTATACACTAATTCCATGCCGTGGCATGGATACGGAGGGAGTTTCGGGACTGAAGATGTTGGTAAGCACCCCAAGACTCTCTAGTACTTGTATCCAACGCCCCCCAACTGGACTGGGCATCCACTTTTGTCTCTATATCTCCAAATTTGAAAATAGATATCTACCAGTAATGCTAACTTTAAATTTCCTCTATAGGCCGCAGTTGGTGATTTTGCTCAACGATCAGGGGAGCCACTAGACGAGGACATGGTACGCACTCAATGCGGAACACCCCCAAAACTCATCTTCAATTCCTCGGAGCCCTCCTCCTTTGACAAAGCCAAGCTACTCCAACTAGAGGATCTGTCCTGCCCATCACCTCCGCCAGTATCTAGAAGTACATTGTAGGGACCTGAGCATTTCCGGTGCCATCAATGTCAACACTGTTAAGTCCCACTCCATCACCTGCGTCATTACGTGGAGATAGATCACAGGAGGGGTAGGCAGATTCGCAGCGAAAAAACGGGCCCTACAACCCAATTATGTATAATCTGACTCTGAAAATAAGAGTCAAGCTGTAAGACCTCCTCCACATTAAGAACACTCTTTATAAGTTTAAATGCCGTTGAAAGAGAGCCAGCCAAACGAGCTAGGCTCACAGGATAAAGACCATCAGCTGCCATGATTGTAGCACAACCTCCATCGGTCAACGGAAGTTGGCCTCGGAAGAGCGGATATCCCTTATTTCCACCGGCAGAAACTTGGGCAAGTAAAAGACTATCTCTTTTACCCCAGATGGGAGGGTTTAAATAGAAGAACCTGTATTCATACGATATTCATTCTCCTGGTGGACTCGGGAAAACATTTTCGACATCCCCACTACCGTCAATAGCGCATTGGTCTTTTTGGCCTTGGGGTGATTCTTGGAGAACCATAAGAACCCATAAAGATATCGATGTTCCCATGGAGCCTCGCAAAATCAATCCCGGCAGCTCAGAGGTCTGAATCAAGCAAACGAGCACGATAAGACAAGGAGCATACTAGCAGCAATTTTACCAGCAAGACCAAAACGGCCATGTCAAGATTTGTCGTTGGAGTTGGAAATATACACGCAAAACCAGTTAGACAAACAATTGATAACAACAACCGCCATCCGCAAATGTGCCGCTGGACTTGGGGCCTACATACAAATAGCCGCAATCTGTTTCTGCCGGTGGACACAAGAAAGCGATGGAGGGAAACCCCCACGGTCTCCATTGGGAGCTGGAAGGGCTCACAACCCAGCGGAGGCGTCAAAGGCATTTATTCCGCGACTTGGCAACAAGTTGACGGATGACGAAGAAGAGACAGAGGACAAAGAGGCTGCTAAGCAAGACGTTTCCTTCGATGCCGATGATATCGCAGCAGCTCGCGCTACTGTATTGAAAGTTCTACGTCAACAAAACGAAACGCCAGAACAACCGCTAGCGGTGCGTGAAGCGTACGAGTAAACTATTAGGACTATGATCACATGCCGACAGCACAAATAAGCCGTACAGCACAAGAACTTGCATTTGCCAAATCAACAGACATTTCTGCTGGTGGAATCCAAGAAAGCCAGAGTCACATTGGACAAAGGAGCCATTCTAGCATTTCTGGGAAGCTGGGAGGAAATTAAGACAGGGAGAACAACACGCGGAGTATAAAGCAAGAGTCCTCCCTGTATCAGAATCCCTTCTCTCATTTTTCGTTATCTAGAAGAGTCGAGAAGGCTAGACTATTTGAACAATACGTTCCTGAATCAGGAATGTAATCGACAACAAGACGAAGCGATGGATTCCAAAACATGATAAGGAAGAGCAGAATAATCTTCCACAGAATAAAGTCTCGACCAAAGCCTTTATTCTGCTCGTGAAGTTGAGAGCACAACATATTATCTTCTCGTTGCTTGTCTAAGCACTGGCATTTTATTAAAACGAGAAGCATAATTCGTAAGAAGCACTAGATGAGAGCTTTATGACGAGAAGTAAAGCCTGAAGAATATCAAGACGAGGAGCATCTTTCCGCAACACAACATCGCAAGGATACCTGCATAATAAGTTTAGAGAGTCAACAAATCCTGGCGAGGAGCGATTCCTGACGAGGAGGGTAGTGCTCAAGAACGATATCAAATCGAGAGGGTCATGACAGATAGCAAACCCGAACAAGCATTCTGGGGATTTCCTTTTGCCCTTTGGATAAGGACGGAGTCTTAGAGCGGAGCATTATGGAAGGGCAAAATAAAATCAATCCAGACGAGGAGCATAAGAACATTAAACACAGGGCAAGAAGATGACAAGCGAAGGCATTCTCCTCCTTTGCATCCCTACGAGTACTATGCTTGCGAGCAGTATCTTTCGGAGCTCTATGCTTGCGAGCAGTATCTCTCGAAGAACTCTACGCTTGCGAGCAGTATCTTTACGAACAGTATATTAGCGCCCGAGCATTAAGATGAGAAGCAGTTCATCATGTTCATCATTAGGCACGGAAGCTAAAGGGTGTACTTCGTTGCCGGTGCAGACCGCGGTATCAAGAGGGTCAAGACGAGGAGCATAATAGCAAAGCTATAAGGGGAGCAACCGAAGATGCATGAGAGATGAGCAAGTGAAGATGCATCAAATCTTCAAAAAATGGCAAGAAAATCAGATAAGGAGATCAGAGGATGGCACATCCTTATTCTTCGCAAGAAGGATATTCTCGCAAGAAGGATATTCTCGCAAGAAGGATATTCTCGCAAGAAGGATATTCTCCTATGAAGGATATTCTCCCAAGAAGAATATCCTGAGGAAAAGTTTACTTCGCAAGAAGGATATTCTCGTAAGAAGAATATCCTGGCGAAGTACATGAGTCGCGAAGCTGGATATCAGAAACCAAGCTACATCATGGACCAGAAAAGCCTCACCGACTAACAAAACAAGGGGGATCTAAGCAGACAATCTTAAAGCGAAAGAGAAGAGCGTCAAGGGGAGATGGAGGAATCCTTCTGAGGACGAATGGTCTGTCAAGGAGCATACTACTTCAGGAGGAGCAGAGGGGGGAAGGGTGGTAACAGGAGGAAGAAGTGGATACATGGAGAAGAGGAGAGCAGCAAAATCAGTATATCCTGGCGCGGTGGAACGTCTAAAGAGGAATATACCATGACGAGAAGCAAATTAAGATCGGGAGGGGATCATGAGAACGTGCAAGTCTGAGAGCAACCATGGGAAGAAGAGAACAACGGCGAAAGCGGTATATCCTGGCGCGGTGGAGCGTCTAAAGAGGAATATACCATGACGAGAAGCAAATTAAGAATGGGAGAGCCTCATGACGAGGCGCGAAGTCTACCCGCGCCCATATCCTGGCAAACAAAGTAAGAAGGAAATCCTAACAACGAAGATTTCTGTCGAGGAACATAACAAGAAGAAATGCGCGGCGACAACAACAAGGACGAGGAAAATACCAATAATACAACCAAGCAGCATATGAACTAAAAATCTCATATGTCCTATGTCGCCTCACGTTACCGACCCTAAGGACATCAACCAGTATGGTCCAACCTGTTTCATGAGAGAGGGTGTCCTTTGGGAGTAACGCATAATGAGGGAGGTTAAGACTTCAATACAATGCTTGGATCTCAACCCAATTTCTAATATGGCTTGAGTTTCGAGGTTTCGTATGATAAGAGGAGGCCGAGACTACTACGAGATCTGGCTCTGCGCCGAAAAATAAGATTCCAACTTTATGGAGGAAGATTTTACCTCCATAAAGAATTGGCGAATGTAATTGTGGTTTGGAGGGATAAGGACTATGTTATGTATTTATCCCTTGGCAAGATCTCCGCTACTTCATCATGAAGAGTGGTGGATCACCAAACAAGACATGAAGCAAACCAGACAAGAAGTACACTATTCTCGGCAGGGCTTCATGGCGATATCACAGAGCCTGTGTCTACAGCAGGAGTTCCACAAGTTATGCTTTGCGGGGTATGCTGCAAGCATCCTCAAAACCAAAGCAGCCTCATGGAGAGACCGAAGTTAACAATGACCCAATTTACTTGGCCGAAGTAAACAATGACTCAATTTACTTGGAAGGTAGAGGGTATTCCTCAAGCATCCTCTCAACCGAACGAGAAACCTAAGGGAGTGACGGAGACACTGGTCGAGAACGAAGAAACTAAGCTGCAAGCACTATATGAACCAATTAAGAATGATAAGGGAGAAGGAAAGGGCCAAATGGAGAAAGACACTATCGACCAGATATGTCAAGAGTGTTCTGCAAGAACAACGCAACCCATACGAGAGACTCCGGGGAGAGGAACTGGTCAAGAGAAAAAACCCGAGCTGCGAGCACCATAAAGCAGATGAGAGCTTTATGCAAGGGGAGAGGACGAAAATCACCAAGCGATCTATAGGAACGGAATGGAAACATTACATTTGGTGCCCTGCGCGAGATATGATACTGAGGAGACTTGATGGAAAGCAGTCAAGAAAGGAAGTAGTAGCAAGCAATCCAGTGAAGAAGCGTGCTATAGCCACAGCAGGCGACAGCCACATTTTGTGAGCTGCGGGAACCTATGACAATAAGGAGAGCGAACGGAAAGAGAGTTATGATATTAAGGAGACTGGATGGGAACGGGTCCAGTTACGTCGCATAAGGCAGAAAGGGGTCTAGATACACGATTCATTGGGAGAGAAGTGTAAGGTGGACCCCAACCCAGTTAGGAAGCACACAATCCTCGAACCCTATGCCGAGGAGTATACCAACACTACATATTATAGGCGCAAAAGGCGACAGCTATAATTTGTGGGCTGCGGGAGTTATGATAATAAGGGAAGCGGACGAAAGGGATAGGAACCCAACCCATGAGGTTTCGCCAGCGTCGACCAGAATCGGATTACGAGGTCTCGCCAGCGTCGCTATATAGTCACGAATCGGGCGGGCCTTTCTGTTCCAGACTTTTCGACTATCGTGGTAGGGTTTCGAAAGACTTTCCCTGTCGAGGAGAATTGGGAAGGAAGGAAAAGCTAAGAAGTAATCCTGCCAAGAAGCAATCCTGCCAGGAAGCAAGTCAACACCACTAATCTTCGGCGCGGACGGCGAATGCTACATTTCGTAAATGCAGAAACTATGGTATTAAGGAGAGCGGACGAAAAGCAACGCTGTATAGGAGCCCAAGCCATGAGGTTTCGCCAGCGTCGCCATGTGGTCATGAATTGCGCCTGGCCCTTCTGCGCCTCAAGATATACGACTGGGGTTTTCTTTCAGACAATTTTCCCTGGAGGGAAGAATGGCGCAGGAGGGAATGAGGAGGAGCAAGCTAGGCGGGAAACAAAGGGCGGCAACTTCAGTAAATCCAGAAGCATAAAACGTGCAGTCCAAACCAAGGAGCAAAATCGGACGGAGATCAACCCAGCTAAGAGGCATCTGCCAAAAATCAATCCAGCCAAGAAGCAACCTACTTAAGAAATATAGAATAAGAAGTCTAAGATAAGAAGGGATAGTCTAATGGAGGGAAAGTCCAATGGAGGGAAAGTCCAATGGAGGGAAAGTCTAATGGAGAGAAAAATGGCTAAGAAATATCTGCCAACAATCAATCCAGTCAAAAATCAACCCAGCCAAGGTCCATACCAAACCAAGGAGCGAAATCGGACGGAGATCAACCCAGCTAAGAAGCAGAAGACGGAAATATCAACAAAGCAAGAGGAGACTGATGCTACACCTCCCGAGCTTCCCGAGTTATGATACTAAGTAAAAGGAACGAAAAGCAACGCTGTATAGGAACCCAGACCATGGGGTTTCGTTCGCGTGGCTCATGAATTGCGCGTGCGTGGTTGGGTTGCAAGGATATTCCGGTCTGGAGTAATGGGGATGGAGGGTTTGAGAGATCCAATACATTTGAGAGGGATAGGAGGATAATGATGTGTGGATACTGGTGAGAGGAGTATTGCACAAGATGTTTGGGAGGAACAAGGAAAAATATTGGGGATGAGGACGAGCATGTAAGAATGGGAGATTGGATGGGGAGATTAAGACTTGCAATTCCGTCGAGGAGCAGTATCCTCTCACGAATGATGAGGGGGGTTGACTCGGAACTATCCGGGAGAAGACATGCTTCTACTACCAGAAATACAAGAAGAGCTATAAATGAGAGGAGAGAGGAAGAAAGAGAAGTACTGGGGAGATGGGGAGGGTACTTGTATGAGGAGAGTGGGGAAGGAGGTATTGGATGTAAGGTGCTTTGGGGGGGAGGCTTAGAGAGTGTACTAGGCAAGCCTTAGAGAGGGGGAGAATGAGGACGAGAGGATTAAGGCTTGTGATTACGAGGAGCATTAGATTGGAGATCGGACGGGGAGATTAAGACTTGCAATTAAGAAGACGAGGAGTATAACAAGAAAACTTCTACTGGAGAATAGGGAAGGGATAGGATTATTGGATAGGGGGGATGAGGATGAGCATGTAAGGATGAGGACGACCATGTAAGGACCAGGACATCGAACAAGGGGATTAAGACTTGCAATTATGAGGAGCAAGTCAAGACTTGCAATTAAGACGAGGAGCATAAGACTTGCAATCAAAACTCGAAAATCAAAACTCCCAAATCCAAACTCACAGCACACCAAACCAATATCCCATCACAGAAATAGCAGCAAACATATCAGCAGAGCAAAAAATTAGATAAGACGTCTCGATATTCCTCCCAACGTAGAACAAAGATCGGCGCGCGTTCGTAGTTAGAATAAAAAAATCACAATCCCAAAAAAGTTCGGAAATTGGAAGATGGAAATTGGTTTGGTGATGTCGCTGTGAGTGAGACTGGGGATGGAGTTGAATGGTTGGGATTGGTTGTATGTTATAGATATTCTGGTGTTATTTGTAAAGTCGATTTCAATGCAACCACCCATCCTCCCTTCCAAAACTTCCCCGCCCCCTATCCCACATTCCAACTACCCCGCTGCACAGCATATCCATTCCTAACCTCAGACGAAGCACAATGCAGAAGCGTGCACGGTCAAACGATATCGTGTCGCATATAAGAAGATTCAGGCGCTGGAGGTAAACACAGTAGCGTAAGATGATTCGAAGCCCTAGAGCTCACAGCGCAAAACGTCATAAATCCGCATCTCCTCCCTCACATAAGATGTAGTGGATATAACAGGTATTAGTATGTCAATTTTCTTATGGACTTGCGGATGGAGAGGGAGGTTGTGTTGACCAGCATAGTGCTGTGGTGTGTAGGAGTAAGATACGTTTAGCTAACACGGCATTTGGAAAATTAAATTTTTTTTTTTTTTAAGACTTTAAGGCAAGGCAAGGGGATTTAATAGAGGGTGAGTGCTTGGATTGTATTTCGGCTTGTAGATGGAGTTTGTGGTAGGGTTGGTAGGGTTGAGGATTGTGGATGGAGGGGAGGAAGGATTTGGGTTTGGGGGGGTTGAGGAAGTGATGGTTGTGGAGTTAGAGGGCATGGGATTAGAGGGCGGAAATAGGGAGTATAGATAGGTAGGTGAGCTCTTTAGGAATAGCAATAAGACACTTATACATTACCATGGCGTATATATGTCATGTCTGAAATCTACGCGGTTATTATTCGCGAATTCATCGCTCATGGTTTTGGTAGAGGAGGTTGGACTTTGGAGGATGGTATGAAATGATTGAGGGTAGTGAGACGGGTAGAGGGCGTGGGTTTGTTTGTGGGGGGGGGGGGGTGGTTGATGGGGGTATGTTTGAGTTTCTATGATATCTTGGTCCCAAAAAGCTGATGTTCGTGGTAGTGGATGGAAGGAATGATGGCTGGACGTTGAGAAGGGATGGGGGTGGTGGGGGTATGGAGTTTGTGTGAAAGTGGGATGGGAATGTGGGAGGAATGAGTGGTTTATAAGTTATAGAGTGAGTTATAGAGTATGAAAGTGGGAAAGAAGGAAGAAGAGTCAGATGTAGAGATATTAAATATGATATTTGCTTCTAATAAGCCAAGTATATCATGTCGGAAGATCAACTTGCCACTCCCCGCCCATCCCAAACAAATCCAATATCTCCTCGATGACACGCACCTAAACTCTCCATCCCCATCCTACGTCTCAACACCTACGCATCATCATTAATATCCACAACAGTATGCTTCCACTTCCTCGCCGGCACCCTCCTCTTAAACAAAATATCAATCTCCCTAAAACTGCGATGTTTCATCTCAGGCACCCAGATCCACGCCATAACCGTGCATACAAACGCGGTGCCCGCCCAGATATACCCGGATTTGCCGCCTAGATCCCATTTATCCGTATTCAACATATAAGATGCCAGGAAGATACATGGGATGTTGACAAGATAATAAGCACCGCGACCGATACCAGTGGTGAGCGGACGGAGACGGACCGACGAAGTCTCGCCGATGATGACCCAGGATGCGGGGGCAGGGCCGAGACAGAAGAGCACGGAGACGATGAGACCGAGGGAGGCTTGCGCGTTGGATGCGGCGGTGGATTTCCCGACGGACGCGGCGATGCCGAGGGCGACGAGGAAGGCGCAGGAGATGAATTGCCCGTAGACGTAGATGGTGCGGCGGCCGAGGTAGGTGGTTAGGACCCAGGAGAGCATGACCATGATCCATTGGAGGGCGGAGGTGATGAGGCCGAGGGCGAATGCGGTGTCGGGTTTCATCCCGGCTTCTGTAAGGTTGTTAGTATATTGTCTTGGGATGGCAAGGGGAGGGGAAAGGGGGTGGAGGAGTAAGGACGTACGTTTGAAGAAGTAGACAGCTTGGTTGGCGATCAAGTTTCCAGTCAGATTCTGCGACGCGTAGACACCGCAGACGATCAAGGTACGGTAACGATCACGGCCCTTCCAGAGTTCGACGAGAGATGGTGATTTCTCACTCGCTTCGAGTTCGATGGTACGACGCATCATGGCGACTGCATCACGAGGATCATCGTTCATGCTGGAGCGACCGAGACGTTTGACTGCTTTTTCGGCTTCGGCGAGACGACCTTTACGGACGAGCCACCATGGGGATTCGGGGGCGAGGAAGAGGAGGATGGCGAGGGGGGTGGGGAACATCCATTGCAGAGCGATTGGGACTCTGGGGGAAATCAGTCAGTTGATGTTAAAGTCGGGGGTGTTTTGTTGACAAACCTGTATGAAGAAGCATCTGGCTTGGATTGATAATGGTAAGTGATTCCACCAACAATAATCGCACCAATCGCCCAGAACATCTGCAACATCTGGGTAGCAGGAGCTCTCAATCTCATCGGCACAATCTCCGCACAATACGCAGGTGCATTAGCGATGAAGATTCCCCATGGGATACCCTCAAGGATCTGCGCAGCGAAGAACATGCCCTGACTATTACCAAAGTAGAAGATGAAGATGAAGGCGTTCAAAGCCATGAGACCACCGATAGTAGCCCATCGGTAGCCAATCCAACTGGTGATCGGACCGGCGATGAAGACACCGATGAAGGCACCGACGGGTCCGGAGCATTGAAAGGCGGATTGCCAGGAGGCTTCGATGATATATTCTTGTCCGTTGGTAGCTAGCACACCGAAATCTTTGGCGAATTGAGCGGTGGCGATGAATTGGCCCATGAGGAAGACGCAGTAGGATTCCATGATCTGGGAAGCGTAAGTAACATGATCAGAATACGCTAGGGAAATTGCAATTGCCATCCCAACATGATCTCGCTGTCATGGATAACTCTCACGGGTGATATGGATATAAAAACTCACAATCGTACAACTCATCACAAACGCCCAAAAGCTCGCCGCCGGATACGCCTTCACCGCCTCCAACACCGTCATGTTATGCTCGATATTCTCCGCATCAATGGCACCCGTCCGATTATAATCGACCTTCTCATCGACATCGTAGACCGGACCGCCCGTGTGGGCGGGCTGGTTCTCGATCTCAGCCGCTTGCATTGGTTTTTCGCTCATCTTGACTTCTGTTGCGTGGGAAGCACAACCAAAAAAGAAATTCAAAACGAGGTCGGACGAGATCTTTATGAGGATTTCTTCATGCGCTTGATGCACCGAGCGGAGGGTGGTCATTTAGCCATGTAGGTAGGGGAGGGGAGGGGGGCCCTGGTGGCGTGCGCCGCATGGAAGCATGTGCCTCATGGCTGCGATCAAGCTTTCCGGGCGCGAATTGGCTGTGGTGAAGACCGGTGTATCTGCGCCCGAAGGTTTACACGTTACAATTAAATCATAAATCAATTACATTTCTACCCCCCGGAGTATTTCCCTCCTAAAATCCTATTCCATATCCAAACCACCTTCTCTCTATCAAAGCAACCCTCCCCACTACGCCCTCCCCCCAAGCTAATTCCCCAACCTCACAGTAGTCGGTCGAATGTCTAGCGGCTGTGGAGAACCTGGGGTAAGCGTAGGTAGACACGATCCGGGGCATCTAGCAGACTGCGTGCGGGGTCAGCTCGGCGGCTCCACGGCCATACCAGGTCACACCATGTGCGTTGGGAGCGGAAGATCCTGCCATTTGCGCGCTTCAACCATATTCGGAGTTGGTTAACCTTTGGCAGCTTTACCCGCGCCCAATGGCGTGGGCTTCCATGGAGCTTGATACGGGGTGGGTATTTTGGACTGCGCGCGCCAATGGGAGGGCGAGGGTTAGAGAGTGCTGCGAAAAGCAATGTACGAGTTGAACGGGTCTGGGAAGGTTGCTTGTAAGCGAGGGTGTTTAGGAGCTCGTGGTGTGGTTGTTGTTACGAAGTCTGCAGTAGAAGCATGCAATTCATGGTGTTGAATTGGATCTCTTTGCAATAAGCGGGAGTTCTCAGTCACCCAGATAATATTCAAAAGCACAGAAAAAAGACGAGAATACAAACAAGGTACTCCCGTATCTCAAAACCAGACTTGACTGCTCCAAGTATTTCCATCCTCAAGCTATTACAATTATCGCGAAATTGCGAACCCCGCTTATTTCGTCCATCGCGCGAGCTTTGACCTTCAGAGCTAGACAGCTTCCCCGGGTTCCCCCTCTTTAAACCAGCTTCCAGAAACACCACGACAGTCTAGAACATCCTTTATATTAGTTTTAAATTCTAAAAGCTCACTAATCTCCGTATAGCATCCACGTGAGAGTTCGAAACACGGCTCCTCCAGCTAGTTTACGAACGAATGGGCGCTTTCGAGTTATAAAGCTAAGTCAATGGGATGTTTGAGAGAAGAAAATGTAAAGCGGATTATTGTATTCAGGGAAGACGTATTCTCCACGTGGCAAATACATAGTACGAGACGAGGTACGGTATCACCAAGACCCCATCCCCTTTCCAGAACCCTTAATCTCCGATGATCCCAATAAACCGAAACTCTTGGAATCCCATCCTAGCGTTTTGATTTTTTTACTCCACACAAAAAGATCGCGAGACGCGAATTCTGGTAATGAACATCAGAACAGGAGATATTTCGAATTTCGACGCGAGAACTTAAATTTCTCCACAATGATAGTATTTATAACCCCCGGTTCTGTTGAGGACGTTGAGAGATTCTCTAAATATTCAACCACACGTAATGGTTCTTTTGATTTAGGTTCTCTCGCTTTCGTAGACCTTACGTTCCGAAATCCGAATATCAGCTCTCCATGTATTCGCGCGAGACACCGAGACACCCGTGGGAATGGAAGCGAACATGTTTTTGGGGTTGGTGAACATGCTTCCCCGCACGCTCGGTGCCTGCCAAGATATGCTGGAGGACGAGTCGTTTTTGGGATTCACGCGTGGTCTTGAAATTCTGTTGGGTTTTGGGGGCTCACTCGTGTCAAGTCAGTGGTTATACGGCATGAATTGTTGGGTCTGTACAGGGACGTGTAGGTGAGTATACCGAGGGGAGGGATGGTGAAATTGAACCCGGTGAAGTGGTTAAAGGGGTTTAAAGAAGGAGGTCATAGGTTACGTGAAAGTCTTTCATTATATTGCGTTGTTTGAATTTTACATATTGACCACGATTATCCCCTTACAAATGAAGTTTGCATCCTATCTCACACACTATATTAGCGTATTACTCAGATGATTACTCACTTTATAACTCCATCTAACACCATAAATCAGCTACCTTGGGCGGTCGTACAAGAATCAAACAAATAAAAAAGACCGAACTCTCATCTCATGGATGAAACCTCATTTCTTGACTCATTTTCATCAGCAGAAAAACCACTGCAACCTGCGCCCAACTCCGCGTTTTATCTCACTATCGGCTTTTGTGTTGATAATTTGAAGTCACGACAGTCTAGCATTCTGAAGTTTCAGGTCTTCGACAAAACAAAGACAGAATCGTTTGAATTCACGCTCATTCGAGGTCCCTCCAGTCTAGGATCTCTTCAAGTAATATTTGGAGAAAGAAATCATCGCTTTTTATTGTATCTCTATCCAAACCCTCTCGAACGAGAGAATACAGGATTAGACGTATCGTCTCATTTACCGGCTTTCGATTCTCACCCCTCAAAAAGATGGAAGCGATTAACTTTATCTCCACTACTGTGTTTTCAAGAAATCGACATCCTTTCCATCTTTCCTAAATTCCTCATGGGAAGTAACCCATAACCACGATCCCCGACAAAAGAAGCAAAATCTCGAAAGTTGATTAAATCTACACATCGCATATCTCAAACCAAGTCACCATGCTCGTCCCGCCAACTCACGATCATCTACCCCAACTTCCCCACACCCCTTAACCCCACACTTATCCTATACTTTTTATTTACCCTACATCCAGCGGCATCTCAATCATCCATACACCTTTCCAAAATATCACGCCTCCTGTTGCCGCAGAAAAGCTTGTCTACTTCTGTTTTCACGTCGCACACATCTTTACCCGTGAAAATAAGACAGGTCTGCAGCAATTATTATAATAGAAGCGAAACCGGATTTCCCAGGTCGAAGTCATACATCGCAGTTCCGGTCATCACTTCGATCATACATACACATATTGCGTGCTCTTGTTACGCAATATTTCTACCGAGTTCTTGAGACTTCAAGCTTGCGTTCAAGTTTACCTAACGCTCATGTACTCTACACCTTGCGTCTCCTTGCACTTTGTTAATCATCACAAAACAACAGCTCTAAGATGTAGGTGGCTTTTAAGATATTACACATTCTCTCGAGTTACGTAAGTTTTCTGTATCTCAGTTCCTGAGTTATGGATTTCGATGTGGCCTAGAAGACGTGCTGACAGGAAACGTAGTTAGAAGCTAAAATCACGAATCTAACGTTTGCGATGGGAGGGGGCGAATCACATGACCAGCGGATCGCTTACTCCTGGTTACCTCACTTCTGATTTTCTCTTTCACTTCAAATCATTACGCATCTCGGTCCACATGTCTAGGAAATGGTTGCCACAAACAGCGCAAAGAGCTTACTTTGGCCGTGGCGAGCGATCCATGTGATAAGTTCATTGCGATTCGAAGTGATGGAATATAACTTTTGCGATGTCGAGTAGAGCGACTCGTCCGGTCTTCAGCTCACAAGTCCCATGCCAGAAAGTTCTTTGCTAGGATCTGTCCCCAGAAAAACGCTCAATATGGGAGCACAGCATACTCACTCATACGCATATTGTATTCATCGGCTTTCGCTTTCTAGAACACAACACACCTTGTCCCAAATACAATACCTCAACCATCTACCACTACTTGAATCTAACTTCCTCCTTCGAATACCCAGAACACGCAGTTCTAACACGCACCTTTTACCTTCTCGTTTCTGGTCAGTGATATATCATCGTCCAGAAAACGTCTCCTCACTACCGTTTCGGGAACAATTCTCGCGCAGTTTCCTCGCTCGCTAAACGAAAATTACTGCTACTACCACGGCTTGAAATGCCGTCTCCCTGATCACATCAGGTTGTTAAACTTACAACTGTTGTATATTTGAATTGTATACTTTGTTAGATTTTTTTATACTTGCCCGAGGAAGACTTTTCATATCATGCGCATATTCAGAATCTCTTACGATATCTGGTATGTAGCACGTGACACGTCACGCGCCTGAGAGCTTCTCACAAACTCCTATCAAGTATACAAACTACCACTTATAAGAGGAAGTCTGTGATAGGTTCAGCGCATTTACTAGCCAAGCCCATATAAACAAGAAAATAGAAACCTCGATTTCGTGACAAGTCACATGTCGTTCGACTAACTACACGTCATCTATTTGTTTCTTTACTTTATTTTCTCGACTTGTGAACATAATAGTATTGGAGATACTTTGTTTCCATCCTACTAGACTGTCCTATGTGGTATAAACACTCTTGAAAATTAATAAATTACGAACACCGATTCCCAGCATCCTACAGAGTCATTTGCTATTCGACTCAACAGACCTCATCTATTTATCTCCTCACTTCATCTACTTACGCCATACAATCTACCTCAAGCCAACGAAACACAAGAGTATTTAGACCCTTGATGGCATTCATTCCGGCAACGAAAGACATCGTTTGCTGCAAAAAAAGAGGTTTTACAGACATGGAAGTTCAGATTGAAAGGTTGAAGGTTGGAGGAAATATGTACAGCCTTTATTACGGTCATGTTAAACTGGTCGTTGTTTAAAATAAGGTTCTTAGACGTTGAAAAAGCCAGAAAATATAAGAGGGGGGTGGTGTTGCGAGTGTCGCTTCGGCTGTGAGGGGTTAAGTGCTGGCAAACAACGGGCTGAGATGTATTTCGAAAAGAAAATGATAATTATGCCGCCGTACTGGGGTTATTAGCGAGACTGGTATTTAAATTATGACAACAGACGTGGAATGGGACTCGACTTGATGATTGGGTTGTGCAGCGGGGCCAACTCCTCAAGAGGCGGATTTGGGGGGATTCGATTTGGTGTTTTTTAGATGGTAGCTAGGCAAAATGAAACTGCACAGTAGTTTGAATTTCAATGGAAGGAATGTTACTGATTATGAAGGTGTGGATAGATATTTCTGGCACTTTATTCAACCAGACAGCTCCCATTCATTCGGCACAAAATGGGTTGAAAACGTTGTGTAGTTTGAATCTTCTAGTTGCTTTTCGAAATGACGATTAATTGAGAATCTGGAAACTGTCGATATAGCTATGAATTAAAAAGATAAAAGTAGTTCCTCGTCTCTACGTAAGGTTTGAATAAGTAGGCGTTCTTCCTGATCATCACTTCACGATTCAAAAACTTGCAGAAACTTGTTCGATAAGGGGTAACGAGGATTTAATTCTATGTGTTTTATTTCTTTTGAATAATTTAGATCTCAAAACGGAGGAACATATGTATTTCAACAATGTGAATAAGGTTGCCTTGAGCTTTATCCTCAATTTCAAGCTATAGAAACCTTGAAGTAGGTATTTGTAACTATTCGGATCCCACTATCTCCATGAGAATAGGAAATGTGTTTGCTTCTAAGCTTCTTTTCAACGCCCATGAATATAGACTCCGGACTAGAAGCAGCTAGTTCGAATAAAAATACTGCGGGTAGCGAAACTGGATTAAAGAACAGCTTGGTTCCTCTTAGTAGACGGGCAACGAATCAGGATACCAAACTAGAAGAGAAGAAAGTAGCTTGAAGATATTAGACCGTGATTTAGCGCAAAAATAAATCTAATTGCTCGTTCGTTGCAAGTTCTGCACTCTTGAACACAAAACTAATAGGAAAGTCCAACATGAAAGTCTCCTTTTCGTTCAAAAACAGATATCCCAAAAAGAAACACTCTTTCTTGAACTTTATCCCAATGCAATTCCATAACCGAACTTTCTCTGTCTCCCTAAAGCATTTTGGAATTACCTCCATTGCTTTGCCTCTTCACCTCTTTCGTTCTCTACGTCTTCATATTTTAAATCCTCCTGATCTGGAGCTATTTCTCACTAAAATTCGAGCTATTTATTCGTTTGTGGAGAAAGCCACTTTCATCTAAATTCAAACCATGAATAATTTCATTATTTCCTACGGGTGTTATGCTTCGTGTTTCCAAATTGTGAGTAAGTAATCAACAAAAACAACAGCGTTTCGATTAAACATTGAGATGATTTCCTTATCATGCACATGAAATTAAATTCGACACAAAATATCGCTAATTCTGAGGATGGAGGGATAGCAACTCGATTGAAGTGTTTAGATATGCAAAACTGCCGCTCGGAATCAAAGCAAGAGGACACGTACTGTCAATCCATGGCAGCTGATTCTGGATTGAACTTCAAGATGTCAGAATAGTCGTGAAAATATTGAGTCTCTGAATCATGGAGATGGAAGAGTGGAGATATGAGGATTGTGTCTGACTGAACCTTCCTAAACCACTGGACTATGTTTTGAATCACAGATAGAAATTACGCTCCAATCCATTTCTGTGTCAGCTCAATTACCAGAATCCTAGACTAGAATCCCACAAACAAAACTAGATGTCCCCTGAGTCTAGATGAAGTTTCCAAGGTTATCGTCCTGACCACAAATTCTTCTCTCTGTCCATTCATTTCTTGACCCTCTGACTCTATTGCCACCTTATCATCCTTTGCCAGCATCCCTATCTCAACTACATCTTCCCTCTATACATATATCCCACATACAGAACAATCGATTCTCGGTTCCTGTGTCTGCAAAGATCCCTCCACGTCCCTCCCCTTATGGAAACAGATGTAGCTCGAATCAAACCCAAGATCCCCGTAGACTACAGTCAGTCATACCGCCACTCTACCCATTTTGATTTACCTAACCCGCCAAGAGTCGTCGCGACGTGGGACCGAGAAACTGAATCGACAGAAAACATCTCTCCGTTTGTTGGAAAGAACTTGGCATGTTCTACCCCGTTCATCAACAGATCATGTTCGTGAATGGCGACCCACTTTCTCACTCCATTCATGAATGGGGTAGTGTTTACCTATGGGGTACTCCAATGAGGAATGGGAGCTGTTGACGAAGGGGGTGGAACAGATACCCTTTCTTTGCCGCTAGTTTGAATGGGGTGAAAGCTCTGTTTTCTGGTACAGGGAATCGAACAGATTGAGGTGACGAGTTGCCGGACGTCGACGTAAAAAGAAGAGGTAAAAGGTCTGTATTCAATCAGGTTGAGGTGACGAGTTGACCGACGCTTACGCAGGAAAGAGGTGACCAGTTGCCTGACACCTATGCAGGGACTGCACCTTTAATTGTGGCAGCAACTTGTTTGGGTTTTGTTAACTGTGACGGTGTTCTGTCTTGACTGGCCATGTTTCTGTCGTCTTCTATCGTCGGAACTGGGCTCGGTTTCGTATTTTCGCGTTGGCTTGGTGCCCACTGGGTTGGCGGAAGCGGGAGGAAAGCTGTGCTAGAAATCCGCCGTTTCACCCTCGGTGTGTTTTCGAGTCGCTGGACCGTTGCGAGTAGCTTGGAAGTCGCTCTAGTGAGGGGACTTTATTGAATGTACTGCCATTGCCGTAGCTTGAGAAGGAGGATGGGGTAGACATCTCTGGAGAAGCGAGGAGTCGATCTGGAAAGGATTCGAAAAGTGAGGCTTTAGTCCGTCGGTCGCAGAATTCGTCGGTCTCGTGTGCTGAGGAGGCGTCGTTTTTGTAGCGTTGTCTGTAGTCTTAGCTTTCGCTAGTTTGAAATGGACGTGGTTGTCTAGGAGGGTTGATATCTTCCGGGTGTTGTTCAGTTTTCGGAACAGAATATACAAGGTACTTGCTCAGAGCAGCCTCGTCAGTTTCACTGATAGAGTTTTCCTTACCTCCAGAGATTCAAGGCCGGCACAATAGCTATTCACTCTTGTGCGCATCTGCCGTCCAAGTTTGATATGCAAAGCGAATTGCTCTTTTCCAGGAATGTGTGTGTTTATGAGGTCTTTCCTGCGAGGAGTCGAATTGTGTTTTGCGTGCCTTCCAGTGTGTGTCCAATTATTCTGCTCCACAACGCGTCTGCGAAAACTCGTATTGAGTATTGACTTGTATCCCAACCGGTATGTGTAATTATTAATCAATATTGCGTGTGCAAGAGCGTGTTCACTCCATTTTGCCTCCCGTATGCAGATGATCCTCTTGCACATTGGAAGACAAGATATCCCAGTGTAAAATGGGTAGCAAAGAAGCTAGAAGTTCATGATGATAGGACCGAGGGGGGTGTTCACTTGGAGCAAGCCATACAAAACATAGCTTTTCTACTGTGACCAATACACTTAGCATCATAATGCATTGAAGAATGCTAATCTAGAATATGCTAATGTAGCCACATCTATATTCGGAGCGCTGCCGCCTTCAGCCGCTCCCTTTTCGTCAGCAGTCAGGATAGCGGGATCATTAACTTAGAAACCACTGTCATCTCTGCCGCTAAAATCCCAATCGAAGCCATTGCCCCCGTAATCGAGACTCAAGACCGAGCATTCAGAGTAGCTAGCATTGCCAATACCTCTTCCTTTCCATAAGTAATTTCATATCGAGTGTGCTCCGAATCGGCATCCCCGATTAAAGACTCCTCGGAAACGGTTCTCTCTGGTGTCTCGTCCGTTTCCGATCCATCATCCAGTTCCTCTTCATCTTCGGTTTCTTCTCGATCGTCTACGTCCTCTCTAACATCTACGTTCCTTCCATCATTCTTCTTAATTTTCTCCTTTTCCGCTTTCAACTCTTCCCTATCTATCTTGCGCCAATATCGCCTCCGTACCCCAACTTCTTTGTATGTGTCCTCCACAATCTTTCGCGCATCCTTCCACTTCAAAAGCTTACCCCTGATTGCTCTCATGGTTCTGGTTTCCATGACTCGCGTCCTCGATGACTTGTGATCATTTGTATATTCATCACCAATATTAACTTTGTGGTTTTTGAAGAACTTGTTGTGACTGTCAAGGATGTTTTTCCACTAAGCGCCCGTCATCAACCTTTGGATTCTGTTTCTGGGAAAGAACTAGAACAGCACTTACATCATTACCCTTTAATTTACGCCCGACCTTTAAAATCTCGTCTCTGACACGCTCGATTAAACTATCCTTCTCAAGGATAGTCCATAAATGACCCGAACAAGTCCCCGCCAGGCGGTGACGACCAAGCCTTCTATAAACAACCTTGTAAAACCAGCAGTTTCTCTTTTTTACCGAGGGCTCGCTGTTCCAGTCGATTACGTCTGTACATCGAGGCTCAAATGTAATTGCTTCACCTTTCGTGTTGTATAGAGTGATGATGAGAGGCTTGGGGTTGCCAACATGGTATGGCACTGTTCCCAATTTGATATGAGTATTATCCTTCCAACGGAACTTGTTCAGGGCAGACCAGCGGGAGCCGCGATAATGGTTGGGACTCTGTTCCCTGACCGTGGAAGGATGGCCTAATGACTCGCTTCGTGGTATTTTTGCCGCTGGTTCGACTACGTCCTTTTCTTCGAATCCCACAGGGGTAACTTCTGCATCTAGTTCAAAGTCTGAGCCTGAGTAGGATCGCTCAGAACTGGATTCATCGTCATCGACATTGATGGAATGGAGAAAATCCTTGGTGTTTTCCCCAGCAGACTCATCGCACTCCTCTTTCTTAATCTGTTACCACTAGTATTAGCTCAAGAACTCTCTCAGAGCCTCAAGGTCACTCTTAAACTATTAGACGTGGCGGCTTGCTTACGGTGTGGCTTGTTTCATCGTCCTTTTCGTGAGCCCGCCCCTCGCCATTTCCCTCATCAAATTCCACTTCGTGCTTCTCCACCTTGTACTGCTGCCACTAACATTAGATCAAAAGGTCTCTCAAAGCATCAAGATTGACTTTAAACACTTGCGAGGGGCAGTTTGCTTACTTTCTCCTCTTTCTGCTCCTCCTTCTGAACGCCTTCCATACCGCTTCGCTCACTGGGTACCTCTTCGCGTTTCTCTATCTTGACCTAAAGCCACGAGCATTAGATCAAAAGATTTTCCAAACCCTCGAGGTCATCGTCAGACGCTCAGACCGATCGGATTTGCTTACATTGTGAACTTTCCGATTCTCCTCCTTCTTAACGCCTCGCATACTACGTTCATCTCCGGATACCTCTTCGTGCTTCTCCACCTTAATCTGCGACTATCAGCGTCAATCCAAAATGCCCCCAAAAAGCCTCGAGAATGCCATCAAAACAACAGACGCGAAGGGTTCGCTTACCTGACGACCTGTGTTCTGCTTCTTTCTGCGAGCCCCTCCGCTCTTTGAAGCCTTGCGCTTTGAAGTCGGCATTCTGAAATATTGCAAGTTTTGTTATGTTGTGTTGACGGTTGCGAGCCACGCGTGAATAGTAGTCTTCTGAACCAGGCCGTTCGAGCGGCGAAATTAAGCGAGAACAGTCGGAGACCCTCCTATCCACCCAAGCCTATCAGAACCCACAAGGCCGATAAGACCCTTGTACTGTATCTGTACTGTTTATTCAGGTAGCTGAAGTCTCTGCAACATCACTGAGCGCTTTTGTTTTGCATTTTCGCCACTGCTGCCCGAATCCACGCACCGTATTCATTCTGGTTGCTCAAATCACCTCGATTTCTACTGTTTGGGGGGGCTTTACACTACATAGGTATGCATTCAAATGGTTTACTGTTCGCAGGAGTACATTCTGAAATGGGCGTGAGCTGGTTATAAGCCGTGATACTCGGGGAACAGCTATTTGGGCAGAAGAACAGTACTTCATATACTTGCAGAAGCCGGCAAGAGCGAAGAACAGAAGCGTCACCACCCAAATATATTGAGTATTTACTCATGCTAAGAAGAAAGGCTGGTCTGCGGGCTGGATCGTGAGTTCCTGCATCTCTTAGGAACATGTGATCCAGCACAGGAACAGTGACCCCCTTGGGGTCAAAAGCCACCAAGATACGAGTACAAAATCCGCAACAGACTCGTATCACTATCAGAAAGAACTTGTCGAGACTAGAGTCCGTAAGTTACAATGCCATTGGGGAACAGTCAGTCAAGCAGAAGAACAGTAGTTCATACGCACGCAGCAGCAGACACTAAACAAAGGACAAAGAACAGGTTGATTAATTGGTTTTGAACAGTCTCTACCCACGAATAAACAAATATTAACCACGGGAATATGGCTTTTTCCATGAGATCAGTCTGGAAATGAGGATAGCGCCGGCTAGGGAGCATAACGAAGCAATTGCGCCAACAGCAGCAACACCGGATAGAACGATCTTAAACCGAGGAGGCTCTTGCTACTAGCACATGACTTTTCAGAATAAAACTGGCTGTTTCGAGTCAGTTAGTGGGAGAGGCGAATGGCGCAGACCCGAACCCAGGAAAAGAAAATTCGGCCAGCAGCAGTCATTCAGCATCACGAAAGATAATGGGCTATAATCAGGTATCCAAAGTTGCAGGAAAATAATGGGATGTCTAGAATACTATGGTATACGCAAGATTGTGGTTTAGTGGCTCTAAGGGCGGGACTGGCGAGTCTTCCTAAGGAATTCGAAAACGGCAAGTGCGACGTAGTTGCTACGAGCTGCCATATATCCAAGAAAGCGAGTTGGACCTTGTAGTGTAATGCACCATAATCCACCAATATGCTGAATACTGCAAATTATATCGACAAAATAGCTTTGGTGGCATCAAAGAGCAGCGTAGGCGAGTTGACGAGGGTCGTGGGGGCTGTCAAGCAGTATATAGACGATACCTAGGCAATCTCCATACTTTCTGCGTCTGGAATACTCTGCGACTTCAACTAATCTGTCATAAGTCCAGAGCCTGAGTGCGGAATTCGATTTGGGAACTGGCAGGCCTGGGGTGGACTGGAAGTGTCGAATAATTGTAGCATATGGTCCACCGAGCATATTCATTGAAGCAGTTCCATGGTAATCAATCGTCTGAAAGAGCGGTGCGATAATGTATCAGAATTGAAAGAGAATTGCAAATATCCACTTAATTGAATACGCATAAAATAGGAGGGCTTTTCACGCTTTCGGGGCGTTGGGGTGTAGCATGTTGAGGCATTAGGGGCAGCAGCAGAACCGCGATTACTGCAGAGAGCTACTACAGCCTGTGACATATTTTGGAATAACATAGAAGTCAGTCTCGCGGTGAAATTTTCTGAAATCTTCAAGCCTCTACGTGAAATGGCAGAGTATACAGGAAACAAGAGGGTTGCCATGGTTCTTGAGCGCAGCGAGTTCCAGGACCTCTGGAGGTCTAAGAAGCAGCAATCCCACTGTATCTCAATTGTAGCAGAGTAGAGCTTCTACATAGGTATTTTGGAAAAGAAAATCAGATCTCGCAGTACAATCAAATAAAGCATGCAAACTTGAAGAACAGTAAGACATTGCTTTCCACTCGATTTGAACTCTAAACCTTTCCAATAGTGATAGACCACGCGGTAATACAAAGATAGCATCTTGACTCCCCTGTTCATGGGGTCGCGCGGACCTGTACAGCGCGCATCGACGCCACTCAAAAATATCACAAGCTCCCGCCCACCTGCAAAACAACATCAACATCACAAAAACACCCCAAATTACGATTGGAGCCGTCTTTATCAAACAAAAAGCCTTGTCACCAGCGAACCTCACGGAGAGTATCGAATCCGCTTTTTTTCGGGGAATTGCTAACCTCCGCACTTTTGAATATGGCATCACCAATTCGAATAGCAAGGCTGCAAAGCAATGCGATACGCAAATTACTATCTATAAGATCAGAGATGATTTAGCTGGGTTGTACATAGTTGCTGGTCGTCACGCTTCCAAAATTCAGAGTTGAAAATTCTCCAGTTTCTTCTCCGCGACGACAGTGAGCAAACTGCAAATACTCCCTTTTCTGAAACTGCCAATATACCCTGTCAGTTTGTTTGGTCTCAACAGCTAATTTTGAATCTGTAGCAAGTCCCTCTTCTGTATCCGCCACTGATCGAGTCCACCACATGGCTCACCCACGAAGCTAAAAATGCTGTAGCTTCATGGCAAGCGGCCTATCAAAAACCCCCCCTACGACGGTACCCTTACCAACCTTCTCTAGCACGCTTTATCAAGCTTGTTACCAGACTCAAATCTCGAGGGCTTTTGTCAACGATCTTTTTCTCCTCCTCATACAGCTCCGCCACCACCTCATAGGCCCAGTCTTGCTGCAGCATCCACAAGCAAATATCCCTAGAAAATCAGTTGTACACTTCTTGACTAGGCTTGTTGTTACGCCAAGAAGGATAAGAAAAGGAATGGGCATCCTCGTCGCTGAGCCTTTGGAGTGGGATCAAGGGAAACTTCTGCCCGATTGGTACATAGAATCCAAGCAGACAAGAGACAGCTCAACTGCAACCGAACTCAGCATGAGGAACAGTTTCTTAGTGGCTCTCTCCATCGCTATGAACAAATGTTGTTTTGACCCAAACCACTAGAAGTGCTAGGGGCATTCGGTTTAAGGGTCCTCGTTCGAGCTTCCAAGATTATGGACGCCAACCAATACCAACCATCCTGACAGATTAAACAACAACAATCCTCAGTACTCATCCGCGACATGAGATCGCCAAGTATATCCCCTCATCAGATTCAACAGCAGAATTCGGATATTCTGCCTCATACATTATCTCAACTGAACGAAGGTACCTCAGCAAAACAATGTGGGCTGTTCAGATCTCCCCCAGAAGGTAAAGAAATCCACTCCATCTGAAAACGAAGTGATCTAATGATTGGTCTAGGCATCTTTCACGAACGTGCCGCGGTCTATCTTACGCATATGTATTCGCTTCATGAGTACTCCTTCTACCTCGTCATTCTCGTCCACGTCGGAGTTGAATTGATCCACGGTGCTACAGCTATTCTACACGTAAGTCGGACAAACCAATATCTTTCATCCAAAGCGAGGCTGGCTTGTTACATTTTCCCAGCAGAGGTTACCGTCTTACTCAAGTAGAACAGTAGCTAATCATGTTAGTAAATCAGACACTTTGAACGACTCGTCTTTGCCAACTATGCAAATTATTGATTTCCCATCCCACAATATGCCAACCATATCAAACACCATCTTTCCACTCGATTCTCAACTCCAACCCTCAGACGACCAGGCCTTATCCTGGCATCGAACTGGTCTGCCCACGTCCGTTTCTGCGACCTCATCTTGCACCTGTATCACCTCTACCACCATCGCGTCCACTTCTTGGGGTATTATACAAACACATCCCTTTCACAGAACCGAAGTGCGATCCTTTACCTTTTGAAGAATAAGAACAACCTTTTGGGATAGATAAACACTCTCAAAGCTTGTTCTAGCTACTTTACACGGTCTTCAATCCTGAAGACTTATCTCCCTCCTCCACAAACGGCAGTTTCAGATGCAGATCTGGATCCGCAAGCCGTGGGCGCAGATGAGCATCACTTAACAAAGAGAGCAACTATGTATACTCGGAAATTTCCGAGAAGAAGGAAAGGCAGCGTGGATTCTAGAAGATCCATCGTCGCCCTTTTGCCCACAGTATTGGGCAAACAGGAATGCTAACCAATACCAGCAGTCCGCTCTGGCTACTTCAAGCTCTGGAGCCAATACTGCAGTCAACGTCAGTAGCAGGGCGTAGGATTGCTGGCGGCCCAGCCGACAATCTCGCCGCCGATGGAATTTGGCGGTGCTCCTATGCAAGCGGAGCTTTCAGTTTATCGACGCCACTTACGAGGACGGTTCCAGTCTCGACCAGGGATGTTTATAGCTTCGATTGAAAGGGTTCGGAGGTAACGAGTTACTTTTATAAAACACGAAATTAGAGCTCGGGGAGGAAGCAGGATGGACTCCAGAAACACTCGCTGGGGAGACTTTCACTGAGGACCTCAGAGAAAAGAAAGCCCAGCAGCCCAGAATACCAGGTTCTTTCGCGTCAATGAAGGGTGCTCTATGAAGGAGAGGTATGCCATAAGAATAAAAGAAGGGGAGATTATAATAACCAACAAACGAGTTAGACGAGACGAGCCGGTCAAAGTCGGGAAGCTACAGCCCCCACGCCAAAACGACGACTCCTCCTACAAACCCACAAGCTCATCCGCACATGACTCTAGATTACCTACCGGTTGATGGCTCTCATTAGAACAAGCATTGTAACGAGTTTAACGCGAACGCGCCAACGTATCCTTCGCAATCAACTGTGCGACACACTTGCCTATATCGGTTCTGGCACCTAGCTGGTCAGAGAGACATTTTCACTTTGTTTCTGCCAGAACTGAGGATTTCCATACAATATACAAGGGGGTTGTAGGAAATAGGAGTCGAGATTCGTGGTGGGGGTCTGCGAGGAACTTGATGTGAGATATGAAATAAATCGAATACAAGGACTTCAGCACAATGCCACAACGCGGACTTAGGAATTCATAAATATCATCTGTACCGCTTGCAGTGCCATTTTAGTCGCTATAATTGGCAGTGGAACCGATCCAGTTGGGTTGGCCGTAATTCGCACACATTAGTGGAGGAAGGGATTTTGTGCGGATTGTAGCGCGGATAGATACAAGCAAAAGTTAATTAGCATTATCCTGGCTTGATATTATAGAATGCGATTCTTCTTCTAGATTCAAATAATTGCTTGTATTCCAACTAATCTCGGATTTCCACGTTTGGCCATAATCGTGAAGTGTTGTGCGCATACGGTACATCCGACAGGGGTTCCGCGCGTCACCATCACTTCAAGATAACAACAGACATCGACAAAATATAACATTGAAACCTGCATTTACTCACTGCTGGAAGGCAAAGACTTATCTGGAATAAATATCAAATCAAGATATCACTGAGAGTGGAGAGGGTTTGGATTTGAATGATGATTGATTGATTATGTGCAACTCCAACACGCCACAAGGGCCAAATGACGGATGACTCTCTCTCATGTCCTCTGCATCAAAACAAACAAAGCCGTCCAATTCCGACTCTCCCAACCACCCCCTCAAGTCCCCCCCGGGATGTTTTGCCGCCGTGAAAATTTGAAACCACCGCGTCCACGTCCACAAACGCCAAATTTGAAAGCGAGCTCCACAACACAATGTAAATACAGAACCAAGCACAGAATGGAATTTTAAGCCAGAGCACCCCCTCCTCCCCCGGGGCCTCCTCCCACACACAGTAGAATTTTAAGCCAGAGCACTCGCACCGGGTGGTGCCGGACCTGCAGCCCTTTGGTTCTGGGCGGCGAGCTCACGAGGTCCCTGTATAATCAGTATTCATCTTCGAAAGTTGGATAAGCAGAAAGGTAAAAAACTTACCAGCACCACCCGGTCGAGGACGAAGCGACGCGAGCCCTGGGGGGATTCTACCTTTTCACCCCCACCGTTGGATGACGGTGAATAATGCGGGTGGTCGATGGTATAAGGTAGAATCGCCCCCAGGAGCTCTAGGTTTCTGTCGTCGCGCCTCTGTCAAGAATATCCTCTCTTGTCGTGATTGTAGTTTTGACTGGAAGAGTTAGCATGGTGTGAGAACGTGTGTTTGCGCACTTTCGAAATGATGGAACAACTTACATTTCTTTTTGAATATTTGGAAGCTTGAAACTTGGACTGAAAAGCTGAAGGCGGACGCGTCTGCGCGCAGAGAGGAAGAATCTGTTTGTTGATATCAGCGAAAGCTCGAAGAGATGGAGATGTGTGAATGAAGAAGTATGAATGGCGGACCTTTGTGTTGAGCATGATGCTCGAGAGCTTGTATGTGTGATTTTGCATGATGAAGTTGTCGATGTGGGATGAAAGAAAGATCGAAGGATGGGAGGGGACTTGAGACTTTTTATAGAAAATGGAGGTGATAGACCCACAGCTTATCACAGATCAGCGAGCGGGATCAATTGACTCTCGTGTTTCCATCAGGTTCTTCGGCTAACCCAATGGAAAGGTTGAGGGGGTTTCTGAGACCACGAGGTTCTCAACAGACCCACCTGAAGTGCGGAATCTCAGCGAAACCACATCACGGCTTTCAAAGATCTATTGTCTCATTAGTCCTGAGGAGGAAAGTCAACCGCGTCTATCCGCTCCTGATGCCACTTTCGTCACGCGCGCGAGGATTCTGGTATTGTTATGGAACGGGATAATGTGCTCCTGATGTCACTTCCATCACGCGCTCGAGGATTCTGATATTGTGATGAGATGGAATGACATGCTCCTCAAACTAGCTGCATCATTCTAATGAGATTTCTAGCATTGTGATGGAATGGAATATGCGTTCCTGGTGGAGCTTCTGTCAGGCTCGTGAGGTTTCTGGCACTGTCATGGAATAGAACTATCTAGATATCAAATGCAAGTAACTTCCATTGTTGATAGATCTATCAGAATACTGTAGAACCATCCAGTCTCCTTGCCATAAGCCTTGACCGGCTATTGTGTTCCCGAGACCCAATTGCCGTAGGAACAAGCGAGTTTGATAAGAAAGTGTACCTCGATGGCTACATTGAAGCACTTCGCGTTCTCTCATTCGATGATGGTAATTCCGTTAGGATTGACGTTAGAGCCGTGATCTCGCTTAATCCGTGATCTGATAGCGGGTTTCCGCACATAAATTGTCCAAAATTTTCCTCCAGTTTTATTCCTTCCCCATTCACAATCAACCACATTCAATCGTCTATTTCTCCAACGTTTCGCAGCGATCCATTTCACATTCAAACCTTCATCAAATCGCATCTCTCTTAGTTCTTTTATCATGTCTACTCCAGTCATACGTCGCAAGCCTGTGGCCAACTCTACCATTACCCAGGCACCACCTCTCACCTTGTCAGCTAAAATTAGAGTCCTGAAACAAAAGATCGTAAAGAAAGTTACACCAGCATCGCCACCTCCCACTGACGAAGGGTTCTTTGAACTCCCGCCTCTTGCGGTTCCCCTGCGCTCCTTCAAGGAGAAGAGTCAAGTAAGTCGTCGATCTCATCACCCTTCACTTTCCGCACACTGTAGCCGCGTCGCGGTGTTTTCTGTTCGATCTACACGCGTCTTACGCGATTTTGAGAGCTCTTGAAGAATACTAACATCTCTGGCTTTCAGCACATTTGGTCTCGGACCAAGCAGGGCTTTCGGGGGTTCGTGGAGGGGGTTGCGGCCCTCCACGACCCCATCAATCCGCAACCGCGGAAGTTGGTAGAATGGGCTCTGCCAAAGAAAAGTGGAAGTGCTCCTAAGCACATTGGTCGGAAGTTGAATAAAAGAAATCGCCCATAATTGTAAGTCAATTTCTTCCTCATCTCAATTCCCCAGTTGGTCACGTGAGCCAACCCCCTTTTGCACTCGCTTATACTGACATGTGCCCAATAGGCTTCTTGTCCTCTTGCTCCGCCGGAGCACACTGTCTTGTGCCTTTGTGAACGAGATATAGGGTTGGGTTGATGGCCCGGGCTTCGTGGCATCCGTTTCAACCTGCGCCGACCTTGGGACCACTACCTTCAGGGGAAAAACCATCACTCGTGTCAGGCACTGGCGGTTTGTCGCAAGCCGGGTCAGAGGATCGGGGAGGGGGAAGTGGGAGGACTGCATTCGCACGACCACGGGCTGCCAGGCCAGGCTGGAGTTGTTGCTTCGGTAAGTTCCCATGCACCAGTCTTCCTTTCTTTTAATACTGACTCCCAACAGACCTGACGATGCCGATCGCCGCGTACGAATCAGGGGATGGTGGGGTGTCCATTTAATGGATACCCTACCATGCCTTCGATGCACGACGATCCGCAGGAGCAAGATGATAATAATATGCAACACCGATATCCGTCGCCCGACGCTGGCCTGTCGGGTCATCCATACAATGATCCAGTAGTTGATCAAACCGCGGACAGTATGGCGTTGGAGCTCCAGCAAGAGTTGCCACAGCAGAAAGAACTGCTCCTGCTGCCTGGCTGGGAATCTTCACAGCTCTTCACCCTTTCCTTCTCTTGACTTCCGACTGTAAGTATCTTCTCACTCCACACTTCTTCCAACATCTCACTAACATCTTTCAGTCCCAACAACACTTCGAAAACATCCTTGTGACCCTCTGCCCGGCGATATGAAGCCATGGCATTGCGCGCTCACCCCGCAGAGTCATACCACATCTGGGGTGGGCAGCGGTGACGCCCGTCATCGTCGGGTGGGGGGTCGGTCTACACACACACATGCTGGGATTCGTCTCTGCCTCCAGCATATTCTCATTACACCCTTGGAAGTACATCTGTTTGATTACTGGAGAACACTTGTGATGATATTGTCAGAGTTGGGGGCTGGAGGGAAATTGTTCACGTCTTGGAAGCTACATGTATTGATATTGTCAGAGTTGGGAGGGTTGGAGGGAACTTGTACGGGTCTTGAAGTGTATTTGTGTTTGATATTGTCAGTGTGGGTGGGTTGGCGGCAACTTGTTTGAGTATTGTGTTGGCATCCGGCGTCCGGCGTCGGGGTTTGTTTTGTTTTGTTTTGGGTTGTTTTTTGTTTGCATTGTTCGGAGTTCTTGCTTGGGTGTTTTCGTGGCATTTTCTGGTGTTGTTGTCTCGGCCTTCGGGTCTTTTTTGGTCTTGGGTGTTGTCTGTTGTCTGTCTGCATTTTCTGGTGTTGTTGTTTTTGTCGGGTGCGTAAAAAGGAAAAAAAAAAATAAGTCAGAGTAAAACCATCACTCTCCATATGCAGTGATCATTGTGAAGCTTCTAACATCGATGGCTTATGGGTTTCTCTTCTCCATTCCTTCCAAGCCGACTCCAAATCCTATTTGCCCAGTCGAATTCTATCGCCAAAATATCAAGCATCCCTCCCTCCTGGCTGGCTCGCCGCCAGATGTCTGTACTTCTCTGCCCTCATAACTCTTGCCTTCTTCCCCCAGAAGATCATAGGAAGTGTAAGCAAGCCGATTGCGACATTCATACACGCTGCTGTGATAAACATGTTGCGCAGTCCGACTCTGTTGATCCATGGCGTAAGAGCGAACACAATGATCGTGGAGACGCCGTTGCGAACGAAGACAACAGCAACAAAAGCATCACCAATTATCTACCAGGCATCAGCACTGAGAAGAGAAGAAAGCACCACAGAGTGAAGACATCGAGGATGGGGAGATTTGAAAGAGACTAGCTCACATCGCGGTAGCAATCTGTCAGATAGGTCAAGCTGATATCACCCAAACATCCAAATCCAAAGCCAAATATCGTAAAGCCTACTGCGAGAACGATCCAAGGTGCGCCCTAGGTTGTGAAATTTAGACCACTAACTGTCTGCGAGATGCTGGTCATTCCCTTCAAAAATACGCCCAAATTGATTTCATTTCAGTAGTACAAAATGAAGAATGCAATCGCCAGCCAGACAGAAGACAAAGAAATCCACACAGAACGTACCTTAGCCAGTCCTAGTCCAAAAACCAATATGCCAACCGGACAAGCCACCACCGCTGGAAGCGCAAGATGCAATCTCATCTCAGGCTCATACACCCCTCCATTCCTTTTCGCCAGCCTCATGATATACCAATCGCTCAGCGGTCCACCAAACAGACTCCCCAGAATGGCTCCAATGAACGGCGGAAGATTGAACAATCCTATGCCGGAGGGAGCAAAGTTGTATGGAGGTTGAGACAGATACGTCGATACGGTGGTGATCATGATGGAGAGCCAGGCGAGAATAGAACCATATTGAAGAGCGGTATATGCGACTGCTGGAAAAGTCACGAGTATGATGAAGGGCTGGTACATCCGTGGAAGAAGAGGCGTGTCTGATTTAGTGACCAGAGCAAGACGTTGACGGTAAGACTTCTTTGGAATGGATGGAACTTCTGCTACACTCTGCACTTTCGAAACCTGTTCAGAAAGCGGCAGTTCTTCTTTGCTCGCATGTCTGCTAGGCATCGGGGTCTGCTCCTTCTGCCGTGGCGTATGCAGTTGCTGTCTAAGCGGACTAAACACGAACTTACTCTCCTCGAAAAAGAAGACGAAGCCAATGAACGAAAGACCGAGCAAGATAGAAGTCCACCACCAAACCCAACGCCATCCTTGATCTACGGCGATGTAGCCAGCAGCGACAGGTGCCAAGTTAGCACCGACCACAACGCAGCAGAGGTATATCGCGTTCATTGTACCTCTCTGATGGACGAAGAACAAGTCTGCGACGGTCATCTGCACAATAGCCTCACTGATGGCACCAGCGACTCCGCAGAGAACACTGATCGCAATCATTTCACCAGTAGTCTGGATCTTGGCCTGCCAGATTGCGCTTGCAAATTGAACTGCGGCGCTGAGGATATACACGGGTCGACGGCCATATTTGATAGCCAGAGGGACAAGCAAGATACAGCCCAGAGCGAGACCTCCGGTATTGGATGCGTAGGCGTTGTTCAGATTTTCGTAGGATATGCCGAGTTCGAGGTTTACTGGCGTCCAGATCACGGCACCAACGTCGAGGAGGACGAAGGTTGCTATGGTGTAGAGACATACGAGGGAGAAGTTTGTGGTTTTACGGAGGGTGGACCAGTTCTGGTTTGGTTAGTGATGAGAAGTGATTGGAATAGCTCATAGAGCGGATATACATACCAAGGGATCATTGGGATCGATGGAGGGGGTTGGCTGAAGCTTGATTGCCGCTGCTACAAATACCGATCAGAAACATACATTTATGAGGGGTTAATTTCTTGATCTCTTACATTCTTGATTCCTAATTGTCACAGTGCCGGGTGGCCAAGCAGCTGGATCTCGCAGATCTGGAGCAGACATATTGATGCATACGCAAGTATTATCTTTGAATTGATAAGTTGCGCAAGAGAGCGTAGTGACAACAAACAAAGCAGAGCTCAATGTCAACACAGAATCTCTGGAAGTCCTTCGCAGGTGAACACCCTCGCGGGCGGCGTCTGTACCACGACAGCCGCTACTGTTCACGGATCATTTGTAGCACCTGATATAGCATTAGTGTCACATTCACGTCCGCAGAGAGCCTCATTTGTGTTCCATCCAGCTCTTTGGATGATATCCTCTGATCTTTGATGTGCTACATAAAGTACTGATTGTTACAAGTAGCTATGTCATTTCAACGTCGCACCCTAGCTCAATAGACGCATGATATATTTGAATACTTTTCGTTGACATCGTTGTAGACAGAAGAAAAAAATCAAACCCCGAGAAAATCGCAAGCCTCAAGAAACGTACATAAATTCGTGTTCGTCGTTAAGAAGCATGCCAAAAGTCAAGGTCAGCTGTCCAGATCTTCTCGAATAAACTGATCTAAACCACATCACCAGTTTTGAACATCAGAAACATCAGAAACAGCAGAAACTCGAATAATCTCTGCGCGCTGCACCGCCTTTAAATCGACCGCCTCCTCAGCAGCCTTCTTCGCACATTCTCCGTGCTATTCTCCCGCGAAGTGTACACAGCCCGGATCGACCAAAGCAGAACGAGAACACCTCCAACAAACGCCAAGATCTGATCAAGATTGTTCATAGACCCATTGGAAGCTGGTATGAACATAAGAAGTCTATGAGTTCCTTCCGCTGAAGCTTCCTTTGCTCCAAGTGTCGACATTGATATGGAAATCAAGGATGTGACGAAGGAACCAGGAGAGAATAGCACACTGAGCAGCGATACGGCCATCATAACACGATTTGCTTGCCTCCAAGCTTTGGGACTTCCCCCCGAGAGCTTGGCCATTTCAAATCTGGACATCGAGACATCATCACCAGCCGGTCCGTGATCTGTCGAGTGACAGCCCAAAGACCAGAACGGCTTCGTGCCCTCCAAGTCCACATCAGATCCCACAACCTTCGCCAAAGTCGATTTTCCAATAAGCCAGAACGCTCCACCCACAAATAAACAAATTACCAGAAACCCCCAACTGGCTGCCACAATCGGCGTAATAAAGAACAAGTAAGGTCTACTCAGCTTCGTATCGTCAGCCTTAACACCCTTCAATGTCGCCGTAGCGAACATAACATTCTCCGCCCCCCAGCTCAACGACCCGGCCAGCAACACTACCCCGAGACGTCTCAACTTCGGAACACATCCCCACCACGGGCCACAACACGCAGCCGCGAGCAGAGATACCATCGAGAAAGTCTCACATATATTAAGCGGTGCCTCCAAGGCAGAGGCGTATTTCTGGACCTCCACATCCGAGGAAGTTATCGTTTCCGTAATCGAGTACGGAAGATTATATACCTGGAAGACAAGATGGCCCGCAGATATCATAGGGAGCAAGACGGCGCCGATGAGGTCAATGGAGATGGTGTCTTTGCGGCGAGTGGATTTGTTGAGGGTCCAGCTGATGAGGACGGCGCTGAGGGTTAGGAGCCAGGCGCCGACGGTGCCGGGGCCGTAGAGGGAGTCTACGAGCTGGTATTTTGAGGTTTCCATTTTGTTCAATGGATGATTTGGAAATCAGCTACCTCAAGAGAAACATGGAGCAGATCAGGCTGAGGATATGCCTTTCATAATGAGGAAATGTTTAGGCATGGCATAGCCACCACATGGTCTGTGCACGGCGGTTTTCATCACCCAATGGAAGAAGTAAAGCACATTACACTGCATTGCTTCGTGCAATAGCCAATTGGCTAGACTGTAAGCCATAATTACCACTTCTTTTTGTGTTCCCAGAAGTGGTAATGATCTCTGTGGCGGGGTTGGGCAATGCTGCTGAAGTGATTGAAGACTTCGAGATGTTTTTGTAAAATCTCGACAACTAGCAGAATCCATGAAGCCACTCGGCATGTGTAATACAATATTCTAATTCATCTATAAAACTACAACTCATCTTTGTCCCCTTTCTTCTTTGTCTCTGGGGTCTCAATCATAACCTCCATTGTTCTACTCTTCTCGTTTTTACCTTCCACAGGCAAGCCCTTCCTCTTTCTATCTACAGCGGCAATCTCATCATCATACACTGTCCACTCCGGAACTTGTCTTCTAGCACGCTCCAACTTTGGCTCCTTCGTGAGAGGATTGTTGCAAAGATCAATTGTCTTCGCCTCCTTCAGCGCCTCATCGCTACACCAAGTCTCGCACCAGAGCCATTCTTGGGGTAGGCTATGGATTGGAAGCATGGCCTGCATGTGATTGGGCAAATCTTGATCTAAATTGCTCAGACTCGCTGGGTCTGCAGACAGTTGATGGTATTGTTGACGTAAGCGATCCCCAGCAGCGATTTGACGGAATTTGTGCAGATCAACGACGTAGAGGGCCGAAATGTGGTAGGGTAAACCACGAAGGAAGTTTTTCCAGTAGCCTTGTTTCCAGAATCTGAACCCTTCCATCTCAGTTCGACTATCGCACATTGGCGTGAAGCCATAAGGTGCACCTTTGAGATCGTGATTGACCAATTCAATCATATCAGTGCGAACGATCTGGTCAGCATCCACGAAAATGACCTTGTCGAGCGAAAGAGGGAAGAGGACATCGAGGAAGAGAATCTTATACCCCCAAATCTCACGTTGCTTCTCAGTTTGCCCTCGGAGCCAATGAGGCCATTTGAAGGTAACCATTTCGTATTGAAATCCATACTCCTCAGCCATGTAAGGAATGAAATCTTTGAAGGACGGTGACAAGAATTGTTCGATAAACCAGAATTTAACGGTATGCTTCGTGTGTTTCATGACAGAGACCATCATTATGTTCAGCATACGTTCGTAAAGATGGCCACTAGCCACTGAGAATATGTTGATCTCGGCGTTTTCGCTCGTTTTCGTTTCAATCGATTTGCCTTTGCCCAAGATCCCTTGCGCGAAGTTGAGACCCCGAGAAACAAAGTCCATAGGCGAATCGGTCTTCGATTCCAGCACGTCTTCGTCCCCCATCCCAGGTTTTCTCGATAGGCGCGGATAAAGTGTCGTGCCCTGAAAGCTCATCAAGACAACCTCGGAGTTTTCATCACCAGGTGCAGGGCTCCAGCCTTTCGCACCGATACTGTCAATGTTGAAAATCTCTTCGCTCCGTCCCTCCTGCAACTTTATTTTGTAGTAGCCAGGATTAGCTTTAAATTGAAAGTAACCCAGATTAGCCATGATGATAGTGTCGGCAAAATGAGGGTCTCTCTCGGTTCCAAGAACGAGCTGTGCGCCACGAGGAGCAGCACCGCCAGGCACTTCACGAGAATGGCCTTCTATTAGAATGTGCTCCAACTCATACAAAGCTTCAACATCCGACTTTACAGAACTGAGCTTGATGTTATCAAGATCGTGGATAGAAACTTTGGGAGCGACGAGCCAAGCTGGTGGAACATCCATCTTCAGAGTGAGAAGCGCTTCTTGAGGGACGCCGGTAAAGGAAGCTTTCAAAGCTTTTAGGGAGCCGTCTTCGTTGAAAGAGGGTTTCGAATCGATGACATATCGATAAAAGCGCTTGACGGGAAGTTCCTGTAGTCGGTCTTTTGGGTTGAGATACAGCTTAACGTACACCCCGTCTAGTTCGGAAAGTGTTTTCAGTATCGGAATCCATTTCTGAGACTGCTCGCTAGCAGGATCTATCAGCACCGTCATTTGTATCGTGGCCGAGGAAATATCTCCAACTTCAATCATGGTGTATGTCGAGTTCCAAATGTCGAACTTGGCCATTCTCACTGTGGACGCCTGCTCAAACATTCCATCTGGTGTGTCTGATATTGTCGAAATTGCTACCATAGATATAACCTTGGCAGCGTCTTGTGGACTCGAGATTTTTTCTGCAAGGCCAAGTGCTTCCATGGAAGAGTAAACTGGGACGCCGCGTTTGCTTTTCTCATACGAGAGAAGCTGTATCATGTCCTCGTTGCTTATATCGACTGAACTTGGAATAGGTCCCACGAGCCGGCCATTAAGTAGAATAGCGTTTTCGCCAGCTAGGAGGTTCAGAGACTTGATGAAAGGTGCAGCCTGATGCCAATATGCCTTTGCTGCTTGTTCAATTGGCTCAACTTCGACAGATTTCTCCGACGACAGCATATCAGTGATGCCATTCACGGTTTGGATTTTTGCGGGTTGTTCTTCCATTCGAGCGAATAGGTCGTAACTAAAACCAGTGTCGACGATGCCATCTGAAGGGTTATGCATTATGGCGAGTTCGATTGATGGATTTGCTTCTCTGAAGATGGCTGCCGTGGCAAGAAGTTTCACACCCCCTTCAGATTCCAAGTCAGCAACAACTGTCATATGAGCCCAATCCTCTTTCGCTGACTCAGTTCCCACATCAATATGCGGCATGACATGGAACAAGTCCTGGTTGTCGACGAGAAGTTCGTTTACGTCGAAGATTTTCAAGTTCTTTTCATCTTCCGGCACAATCAATGAATTCCTTCGTTTCGCCGCAGAAGCCATAAATAAAGACGGCACCCAGGAATCGTGCTCAAAGAAGTCTTGGAAAATGGCTGTCTGGATAGCCTGCAGATCAGACGTTACCCTTTGGCTCATTATTTGCAACCAATTTTCAGTCCGTGGAAGCACAACACCGTTAATGAAGAGCGGTGGGATGGTGGAGTCTGTTGAAAGTCGGACTGTCCATTGTTTAACTGCTTCAATGTGGTCTTGATAATCATCGGATTTCAATACTTCGCTTACAGCGCGGGTGACTTTCTCAGGCTTGGGATTCCGACCTTCGATCGCTGCCTCAAAGACTGATTTGCTCGGAGCGGATAACTTCCCCGCGGCGAGGGATTTTTCAAGGTATAGTATTGCGGTAGACAATCCGTAGCTGTCGACTAGATAGTACACGACTCGTGCCTGCTCCAATGAGTGAACGGATTGAACAATGGGCACCAGCCCAATGCGTATGTTAAGCTTTCTTTGAACGAACCCACGAAGCTGCTCGACGATTAGATGAACATCCTCTGGGCTTGTAAAGTCGACAAGGAGAACTAAATTGAAGCAATCCCTTCTGACGGTTGGCAATTGCCCCGGATAGGTTCGTTGCAAGAGCTGTATATAAATTAGCTAATTCTAGAGCTGGAGCACCATTGAAAGAACTTACTGCTTGGAGGGAAGTGGGCCAGTCTTCATATCGTTTGTCCTTTTCGATATCATTCATCCATACTATGACTTTGCCTCCCTCTTCATCGTCCCTCCAATCATACCGCTGTGGTTCGTTTTCACCTTTTACGTTTGCAATATTCTCGTGAGATAATAGTTGGATTGCTTCTTGGCCCGTTAAGCCAAGATTCCGAACACCATTGATTAGTGTTCGTTCCTTGCGCAACATATCCAAAAACTTCAAAGCTTCGATGTCCCGATCAACCATCTGAATGCCGTTCATCCACCAGACATTGTAACCTGCAGGAACAAGCTGAGCGCGGTTATATTCGTGTTCCGCAACGAATTCCTTAGTGGGATTGTGAGATGCTATAGCGCTAGAATATTTTGGGAAATCTTGGGAGAGTTTCACTAGTGTATCAAACGGCTTCTCGCTCTCCAATATAAAGCTGGATGCTTTCAGACCTAGGCCTAGCAATTCAGAGCTAGACAACGGTTTCAAATCGGCAAATTCTTCATCCTCAAATTTAACTTCCTTCTTCTCAGAGTCTATCTCAACGGTTTCCTGCTCGCCTTCACGATCGTCAATGACAATGTAGTCAGTCCTTTTCAATGCAAGCTCGACACCGTATCCAGGAAAGATATGAGAATCAGAGTTTTGAGAAAGGGCTTTTTTGTGACGAATTCTGTAAGACGTCTTGCCTTCACGAGCGGTCTTCACAAGCGTCTTGTGATAGTGACCAAACGTCGGTGAGGTAATATCAGCATAGAGAATTGATGCAGGCGCTGAGATATTGCCTATTATTCGATCGAACTGAAGCTCCTGCACTTGCCTTCATTGCATATATTAGCAACCGGCTTTCTCCGCCAGGTAATGACCACTCACTGATTCCCTTCAATATCTGCATTCGCCGTATCCAACGCGGGAGAACAATACTGCTTGTTGTTTAACAACACCCATGACGGGCACGATTCAGTCCTTGCACCAGCTAGAGACGGCTCCGCGGCAGTATAGTAGTATTGGTAATGTGCTTCTATCCGAGGGGCCGCTGATCGCATCGACAGTGCAAACTGGTAAGAGGAAAGCGATTCCGTATCCGGCATATGCCCATCCTCCTTGAGAATCTCGAGGAACTTCTCGTACAGCTCTTTGTCCGTGGAAGACTTGGAAAAATAGCCATCAGCGATTCGATCCAGCAAGGGGAAATAGGAAGTGGAGTTCTCGTCTGCCGCAGTTTCTCTGGTCTAAATTAGCATAACATTCCTTTCAAGCAGAAACAGGGGATGTATTACAATAGCTCAAGGAGGTAGGGCGATGCTGTAAAGGACGCCTGCAGGCCAACATTTATCGTCGGGCTTGCTGAGGCGCATAGAGAATGAAGGTAAGTAGAGGCAAGTAAAGCTTTAGTTAAGCCCCACGGAAAGCTTGAGATTGCCATCTTGTGATCCTGATAAATTGTGTAGATTCAAAAAATGTTATACACATATGCCGCTGCAACACTGAATTGAATGCAGGTTTCCTAGAATTATATCTTGCTGTCCGCCGGCGGATTGAACGAAACTCCACGTCAAATCAACAAAGTAGACGGGAACATAGTGGAAATAACGCAAGCATGAAACCAGACAACAATTACATGTGGTCGTCAATTGCTCAACTCTAATGAACACCTTTCCAATTCGTCGCGGTCGAGCTTCCAATCGTGTACCTGGCACGTGACGCCCGGTGGGCGGAACGACATTGGAGCAACGTCGCAGTTTCCCCAAAGCACACAAATCTCACGACTGCGAATACAATTGCGCTGCATCTTCCACCACCGCGAACGATCGATTTCAGTGCCCCGTACCGATTCTGACCATACTATCTCGTGAAGGAATTTGCTGCGGGTCTTCCAAATTCATGCATAGGGCGTAGGCTTCCTCAAATACGTCCAAGTCGGTCAACATGGCGTCCTCCTCCTCCTCACCCAATATGCTCACGAAGGTCGGAAACGTACAAATCGTTTTCGCAAGCAAGGCTGACAGCTATCTAGTTTGAGTCGAAATCCTCGAGAGCCAAGGGTATAGCCTTCCATCCAAAACGGTACGCCAGCTTCTCCGATTCGCGCAAACATAGCTAATTTCCCCAGACCATGGATACTCGTTTCTTTACACTCGTCTACAATTCAACTCTGGGACTACCGCATGGGAACTTTGATTGATCGGTTCGAGGAGCATGATGGGCCTGTTCGAGGCATCGATTTCCACAAGACACAACCCCTCTTCGTTTCTGGAGGAGACGATTATAAAATCAAGGTATGGTCAACTCAGACTCGCAGATGTTTATTTACCTTGAATGGGCACCTTGATTATATTCGCACCGTTTTCTTCCATCACGAACTGCCTTGGATTATTTCAAGCTCCGATGATCAGACCATTAGAATTTGGAACTGGCAAAACAGATCTCTCAGTAAGCCTCAGATGCCCAATTCCCTGGGCACTTCCTCTCAGTGACTAATTCGGCGTCAACAGTCTGTACCATGACAGGACATAATCACTACACTATGTGCGCTCAGTTCCACCCAAAGGAGGATCTAGTAGTATCTGCTTCGCTTGATCAATCAGTCCGTGTTTGGGATATTTCTGGGCTTCGGAAAAAGCACTCAGCACCAACATCAATGACTTTCGAGGACCAAATGTCACGAGCCAACCAAAATCAAGCGGATATGTTTGGAAACACAGATGCGGTTGTGAAGTTTGTTCTGGAGGGACATGACCGGGGTGTAAACTGGGTCGCATTCCACCCCACGTTGCCTCTGATTGTTTCCGCGGGCGACGACCGTCTGATCAAGCTGTGGAGGATGAATGATACAAAGGCTTGGGAAGTCGATACGTGTCGAGGACATTTCGGAAATACGTCGGGATGCTTATTCCACCCTCATCAGGATTTGATCTTGTCAGTTGGTGAGGACAAGACCATTCGTGTTTGGGACTTGAACAAGCGAACCTCGGTCCAGTCATTCAAACGTGAGAACGATCGATTCTGGGTCATCGCTGCTCACCCAGAGATCAATCTCTTCGCTGCTGGACATGACAATGGTGTCATGGTTTTCAAACTTGAACGAGAAAGACCAGCGTCTGCATTCTACCAAAACAACCTGTTCTTTATTACAAAAGAAAAGCACGTTCGGTCATATGATTTTCAAAAGAACGTCGAGAGTCCAACTCTGTTGACTTTGAAGAAGCTTGGCAGCCCTTGGGTTCCACCTCGGTCATTGTCATTTAACCCTGCAGAGAGGGCGATATTGGTCACTTCCCCAGCCGATGGGGGTTCTTATGAGCTTATCAACCTCCCCAAAGATGGCTCTGGCGCTATTGATGGCACTGATACCAAGCGGGGTCAAGGAAATTCTGCGGTTTTTATTGCGCGGAATCGATTCGCAGTTTTCACTGCGAGCAGCCAGAAGATTGAAATCAAGGATCTATCCAATGCTACTACAGAAACCGTCAAACCACCTCATGGTACTACTGACATCTATTTTGGCGGGACCGGCAATTTGCTTCTTATAACACCAACTGCTGTGCACCTTTACGACATCCAGCAGAAAAAGAGCACTGCAGAATTGCCTGTTAGCGGGGTGAAATACGTGGTTTGGTCAAATGATGGTTCATACGCCGCACTTTTGAGCAAACACAATGTGACCATCGTAACAAAGACGCTGGAGCAAGTCAGCACCCTTCACGAAACCATCCGGATCAAGAGTGCTACCTGGGATGATGCTGGCGTCCTTCTCTACTCTACTCTAAATCACATCAAATACACTCTTCTCAATGGGGATAATGGAATCGTTCGGACTCTCGATCAGACTGTATACCTTGTTCGCGTCAAAGCACGCACTGTCTACTGCCTAGACCGAAATGCGAAGCCAAAGACCTTGAACATCGATCCAACTGAATATCGATTCAAGCTTGCCTTAGTAAAGCGAAATTACGAAGAAATGTTGCAAATTATCAAAAATTCAAGTCTCGTGGGTCAGAGCATCATCTCTTATCTACAAAAGAAAGGATACCCAGAAATCGCCCTTCAGTTCGTCCAAGATCCACAGACAAGGTTTGAACTTGCTATCGAATGTGGCAATTTGGATGTTGCTGTTGAGATGGCGAAACAGCTCGACCGTCCAAAGCTCTGGTCTCGACTGTCCACTGAAGCTCTTGCTCATGGAAACCACCAGGTCGTAGAGATGACATATCAGAAGTTACGACAATTTGACAAGTTGTCTTTCTTATACCTTTCGACCGGTGACAACACCAAGCTCACCCGGATGGCCAAAATCGCGGAACACCGTGGCGATTTTACTGCCCGCTTCCAGAACGCCTTGTACCTCGGCGATGTCAATGACAGGATACAGATGTTCAAGGAAATTGATCTTTGTAAGTGAACAATCAATCACTGGAGCATAGCTAGTGCTAATCTTATACCTTCTAGACCCTCTTGCATACATGACTGCTAAGTCACATGGTCTTACGGAAGAATGCCAATCGATCTTGGAAGCCACTGGACTGACCGAAGATCAAATTTCGCTGCCCAAAATAGGCGCACCCTTGACTCCACCAAAGCCACTTGTTGACACGTTCAAGGCAAACTGGCCGACTAAGGCTACTTCGCAATCCTTCCTAGTGAAGGCTCTTCTTGGGCAGGTTGAAGACTTATCACTAGAAGATGAGCCTGCGGAAGACGAGCCTGTGGAAGATGAACTTGCAGAAGATGACACTGCCGCTACGTCGAATGGATTTGGCTTTGACGATGCAGAAGATAAATGAACTAATTAATGATATACCACTCATTCTCTGGTTTCTCTAAAAAGTTTACGCCGCGGCGCCTTGGTTTAGAATACATTGTTTCACCAGGTTTGAATGCGGATCATGTGTCATTTTCTGACTGTACAGCGGGATCGTGCTAAGTGATCTTACGCCTCCTCATACGATGGTCTCCAGCTCTCTCGCATACCCCAGGGTGTTCTCGATCGCAAGTTGACTGAGTTCCTTCTCATTTCCTGCTTCGGCCCCAGCCTTCAGGCTTTGGTTCGGGAAATATATCCGACCATCTCTAATCAACCATCCTCTGCTTTGCGCAAACTGTACAACTGCACCTTCGCTGTCAAGGAAGAGGAGGTTCTTGGTTGATGAAATTGGGAGAGAAGGGTAGGCGGTTTCGCTACATGATGCGATTTCGTTACGGATTGTGATTGTCAGGATCTACCGAAAATGTTAGTTAGTAGAACGCATCTAAAATATACTTCATATCGAAGAGTGACGACTTACCTCTGAGAAGACACCGTATTCCTCGCTAGGTACCTCCCGACTAGCCATAGCCTTCCAAACCAAATCATAACTCCCCTCCATTAACCACCTCTCCAGCTTAATCGGGTATCCCAGATATCTATCCCGCTCCGCCTCTCCCTCGCCCCGAATCTCCAATCCCTCCAATTCTGTATGAAACCCCGCATAATCTCCCTGTGTCAACAGTAACAGCAGATATAACCCCGTCACCTTCGTTCTCTGTGAATCCTTCCCCGGAAGCACATCCGCAGGCAACTCATAGAACGGCGTCAGTTGGTGTACATAGCGTGTGAAAGCCGCCGTATCTTTCGCTCGAATACTGAGCAGAGCACCGTTCTCGAAGGCTTCGCGGGCGAGCAGCAGCACGGATTGGGGCGTATCTGATTGCGGTGTCAGGGCTTTTAGTTTTAGGAGGGTGAGTTTGGTTTTCGAGAGGAGGCTGCTGGCTTCGGTGTATGAGGGTGCGGATTTTAGTTTGCGGACTAGGTCGTGGAGCTCGCGTTCTGACATCTTGGGTGGTTTGGGGGACGGGGGGTGTGTGGGTGATGGCGTGGGTTGTTGGGGAAGTGTGGTCTTGATTGAGGCGATGGAGATGCGAGGCTAGTGATGAGGCAGCTGGAAGACGCGGTCGGGATGAAGCGCTAGTTCCCAGCACGTGACTGCAGAGCTATGTCACTTTTCGCAATTCTCGACGTCTTCCATAGTTGCGTTTCCTCCAACGAAAGAAACAATTCAATCGCATTCCGATTCTCGACCTGTAATCAAAGAGTTACTGCATTTTCTTGCTTCAGTTTTCTGTTACTCATCATTTGGTTGTTGCCTGAGGTAAAATGAATCGACGAAGTGACAATCAAGTCCACGGGTACCTTACGAGCAAACCAAAGTTTCCATAACACCAAGCTTTTGCGACGATGAGTTTCTAGCTTCTTGTCGGCACTCACTTTCCTCTTTGCGTCTCAGGATGTCGTTTCGTATTTATTCCTTCTATTCGAACATCCAGAAAGACAGCGGCTAAGTTATGGATCTCACGCTTGACTCACAAATCATAGATGCTGCGGCTTCAATAATGCAACGCACAGCTCCTCAATCCTCGCTTGAACTATATAAGCACCACTTTATTCTACTATCATGCAGTTTCGAGTGCGATTGCCGTGGTACGACCAACAATGGTGCAGAAGTTTGACGTTACTGCGCCTCGCTACTACCACGAAACACAGTCTTTTCCAATAAGCGCGTTTCAATACCTGGCCTTTGGCGACAATCATCGCTCCCAATTGACGGTATCTCCGGGTCTTGCATACTGCATCGTTACATTGCCTTGATCGTCAAGATTCCAACATTTATTTTGGCGGACTCGATAGCTACCAACTCGTCAGATCCCATGTTTGTGCCCTTGTTTGTGACTCAACATTAAGTTTAATTCATCCAGACAGGCTATGGAGTCCAAAACTATCATTCGCAGGAGGTTTGGGATCGATGATCGGTATGACGTTTGATTCACAGAAATCTTTCTTTGCTCAATGGCACATCTTCTCTCTGGCGCTTGATATATAGTACATGCCCTAGAATGTCGATGTTTTCCAGTCTTCCAAATTGTGTAAATAATAGCATGTTTGTCATGTTTCTCTTATCTCACTTGTCACGCTATACCGTTCCCTTTTCTTGCAGATTTTCATCATGTCATACATCACTTCTTATGTCGCAGAAACATCTACTGGTACTGTCACCTCGTGGCTTCCTATTATAACTCCTTTTTCGGCTGCTTCAGTATCTCCTGGATGTTCTTATCCTGCTGTGGCGCAGACCACCAGAAGTTCACGATGGATGGCTTATTACGGCTGGGGGTCTCAATTGGAAGCCTGCTTGCCAACTGAGGTCTATAAGTGGTGGCAAACCACCTCCAAGCCTACAGCGGGACTCTATACAATCTTCAGCATGGGCCCTATTGTTTGTCCCACAGGATAGTAAGTCTCGGCATCTGTTTTTGTTCTATTTTCTGCTCCGAAAGCCGCAGTTCCTCGTTAACGTTTTTGCACTAGCACTACCGCGACGGAAATATCAATAGCACCAAGGCGATTCCAAGTCGCATGTTGTCCAACGTAAGTCATGCACGAAGCCAGGCATTGAAGCAACGCAATGTATTAACAATAGAGCAGCGATTATACCCTACAATATGTTGCAGGTCCAGCCGATGACGGACAGTGTATATCTTCTGTCTCGGCTGGCCGCCTGATCACTTACCAAAAGATCATCCACAGAGCACTCGATGCCTCCGGGCAGCCTTCTACTAAGTGGAACATCAGTACGACTAGAATGGCCACACCTACTGTGGTTGCGGCACTTCCCTTTAATGGCGTCAATATAATGAAAGCCACCTCTACCGTTACACCCCCTGGAAATCCCCAATCTAGCTTGGATCCATCTGGCAGTACACTCCCCGCCACTCTACGGGTAACAACTTCGAGAGATTCGCCATCCTCCGCGGCTAACGGCTCGAACGGGTTCAAAGCTCCTATATCCCCGAAAACTGTCGTCGCTCTGGGCGTGGGATCAGGAGCTGCGATGATGATCATAATTGGCATATTTATCTGGCTGGTTATGTGGCACAGGCGTCGTTCTCTAAACCATCGAAGGAATGGAAAAGTGTTCCACCAAGATATCTCATGGCCGCTTGAGTTGCGTCAAGAACTTCCTGGAGAAAATAATCTGTTCGAGGTACATGGAGAACACAAACGATTTGAGCTCAGCTGCAATGCGGGACTTGCGCATGAACTTGACCAACCTCACCAGATACTGGAACTGGACTGCCGAGGAAACGTCCATCATTTGGAACGAGGACTTCGGACTGGACCTGGGGAACCTATTTGTGAGCCATTCGAGTCAAGACGAGGATTGTGTTCGATTGGGGGAGATGTTACTCCTGTCGATGTCATATCGCCACTCTGATAATGCTGAAGCGAGTCGGCTTGCTTCTTTCCCTTCACTTACTAAAAAAATAAATGAGGCTCACAAGTCACAACCAAAACAGATTCAGCGCCTGAGCATGGAACGCCAGTTGGACTGTATTCAGAATCTCAACAGTCTCGGTCTCCCACGATATTAAATGGAAAGGCGCGTTAATTCGTCCTGTATTGATTTGAGGACCTCGGATTTCCTTGAAGAAATCGACTCTATATAAGATAATGATCTTAAACAAATCTATCGGATATCTGCATAGAGAGCAATCCGTAACCTAGTCTACACGGCAATCCTAAAACGTGAAAAGTTCGCATCAGTTTTGGAGCTGTACGAGATATCATGGCATATTGTCAGACCTATCAAATGAGTCCATAGGACTCTAGTCCTTCGACCAAATGAAATCATAAGCCTCTCTGACTTATATGATCATATGGCAATGATGTAGTAATAAAATTTCTAGCGTCGTCAAGGCATGCCCCGAGCGATGCGGTTTTGATTGAAATCGTTTCCTTGCAATTAGCGAGTTCCTCTTGTACAATTAGCACAAGTTGTTCTATTATTGACTTTAGCTGTGGTTTTTGCTATTTTCAAAGCCGTGAAGACTTTGGAGTTCGTCGAGCCGCTCAATTATGTTCTGCATTATTTTACATTTTTCAACTGCGGAGTCCAGATTCTCCTATGGAACAACCTAATCGTTCAAGAATTCAACCGCAGCCCGTCTGATCTTTACTTTCTGCAAATCTTACAACTTGTCTTGGAAAGTAAACGTATGACACTCATGTTTTCGCACGACGCACTCGACAATCTACTTTCCACGCATATCCAGTTCAGCTGCCAAGACAAGAATTCTGAGCAACAAATCAAGCTTCCAGAGTGCAGACCATATCCTTGCCACCAAACCCAGCCTTATAATCTCATTCTAGGAATGATCTTCGCCAATCAATAAATCCTTTACTGGTTAAGCCATACTATACAGTCTTGTTCCCCTCCTTTACCCCAGATTCAGCTTCTGGGCTCTGGTGTAACATCATAACATGAGGTTTGTGGCTCACTCTCTCCAGTAATAGCTTGCAGTTTAAGCCTCACCTGAAGATTTGATTGTGGGATTGGACTTTATTGGACTCAAAACTCATTTTGAAAGTCCTGCCGTCTACGCCCGAGCCATTGCAACCCACCCTCTTGAAGGAGGTTGGCAAGAGTGATAAGGCGTTAATAAGACTTGTCTATTTGTTCTCCACATGCCCAAAGACATTCGACTTTGACTCGTGTCCCATCCAAGAATTCAGTACTAAAAATTGGCTCAAGATGTTTTTTCTAATGTTAGCACTGTTCATCGCTGGTGTAACAGCTGTGCCGGCTGACCTGGAGTCTGTCCACGATATTGAGGGACGAACACTCAATGAACGACAGGTTAACTTCCATCAAGCTCGTTAAGTCGTATTACTGACTCAATACACCAGTGTCAGCCCTGTGGAACTTATTGCTGCGACTACGCCAACAACTGGGTTTGCAATACTTATTCTACTTACTGCTCATACTCTTACAATATACCTTCAATTCCACCCCCAACCCCAGCTTATTACTCTACTCCAAATTACTACACCGCCCCTTCTCCAACTCCTGTTTCCTCTACCGTAAGCTGTTCTGTCATATCAAAACGATCTTCACAACCAAGCTAACATCTTCCCAGACATGCTCCACTTATGAAACAACATGCGGCTCATATTGCTGCAACGAAGCTACTCAGTCTTGTAAGACTGATTCCTCCGGCAGTGACTACTGCGGAACCAAGTACTCAGAGCCGGACGGCACCAGCTCCAAATCGAGCAAGAAGATACCTGGTAAAGCCATTGCTGGAATTGTGATTGGAGTATTGGCAGCACTTTCACTGATTGGAAGTGGGATCTTGTATTGTTGCTGTGGTATTGGAAGAAAGAAGGCTGCGGAGCAAAGCACGCCAATTGAGCCACCTGGATATGATGACGGATCCAAGAATGTGGAGCCAGGTGTTGCACAAGTTGCTCCGGAGAAGAATTGATAACATTCGGGGTGTCGGGCTCAGCTACGGGGATTCTCCTATATCTGTTAGTTTATCATGTCACAAGAAAGTTCAAGCAATATCAGGGTGGAAGGATATACAGGTAATATTCAAGAATAAGGCATCATGCAGCACCAAATTTCATGCTTTTTACAAGACAACCCCAAGTTTTTGACAACCTCCCTAAACGCCCTGCAACTTCTTGTATGCAATAAAAGTATTCAACCCAATATTGTTACTCAACTGATAATTTTAGTGCTCGCGAAGAAGTTTGTTACAACAATACGCCTTTGCCAAGACGTTTTGGACTTCTTTAAATGTGTCGACAGAATTTGATATGAATATTCACCATTCATTTTTCGACAGTCTGAACTCGAAATACCTCTAAAAAGACATCACGGAATTTACCTATTAGTCTATATATATTCTTAGAACATGAAATTTGACGTCGTGCCACGATATTTGCAAAGGTTCGCTTACGATTCACATAATCGTCCTCTTCGCCAGCAACGACAAGTCTCGAGATTCCACGGGTATAGAAGAACCGAGTAAATAAACCTTCAATTTAAATAGAAATAACAAATCCCTATAACTATCAAGCTCGATTGGTCAAGTGGTAAGACGCTTCTCTCACATGGTCTAACCAGGTCTGTAATGTTTATTATTACGTTGGTGAGGTCCAAGTGCAGAAGAGATCATCAGTTCGAACCTGGTATTGAGCACTTCTTTTTTGTTTGTCCCTCCATTTGGATTAGATGTGTGATAATGGCGCTTTTTGTTTTGGTTTATGTTCTCTGAGATCGAGCGGTGGTGACGTTTGAGGGTGAATTATGAATTATGATTTGAGAATTTGAGTCCCTTAACGTTTCGTCACGAGGGACAGAAAGTTAACAGGCCATTCTAGGATTCCCTCAATCATAATCCAAAAGGCTTGCCCGAACTAAGATATGAAACAGCGGAGACTTGTACCCAGACTGGGTGCCACTCCGTTCAAATTGATAGAAATACTCTATTCTGCCCAAATGGGAGTCACTAATCGCTTTTTTAGCTGAGTGGAACCCCATATCAATTCTATGTGAATTCTCGAGGCACCTCGTCGCAATAGCGTCTCTATTCATCAGGTTGACGCACTCAACGCAAAATGCTGCCCAGGCGCTGATGAATCTATAAGGCCTCAGACAGATTATTCCAAGTCAAACTTCTGAAGCTCGAAGCCGTTTTCGAGTCGTTCCATGACACTGCCGTCCATCAGTTGATCAACATAGGCAGGGCAAACCACTATGTGTCGGTTGCCATGAGTAGGTCGAAGAACAAGTGGGGCGCTACAGCCTAGCAACAAACAAAACTGGTCCCCTTTTTCGATGATGTCTGGAGGCGCAATGCCGATTATATCTTCGGTAAGTGAGACAGACTCTAAAAGCTCATTTTGTCTGACCGCGAACAAACACTGCATGTTTATGGCAGCCGCCATTGTTCGAAAACGATATCTCATCCCGGCGTATCTGATGGGTGGTGGTGATGTTCGACAGTCAGCATGGTCCTCAAAGTTCAAAGCATCGAGAAATTCCTTAAACGGGTCGTTGGGATCGTGATCTAGTAGCCCGAGAGCGATTGTCCGTCGGAAAATTTCCGTCGCCAAACTCTTGGGTTCTAGGCTTGAGGATATTCGTCTGTATACATCTGGTAGCTGGCAGTAAAGCTTCCAATATTCGACCAGGCCAGTGAATTCATCGGAACCATGAAGGGCATCAGCGTTAAAATGAACGAATGGGCTTTCGTAATCGATGATGGTGCCTATGCATAAACCTGCCACGGAGAGAATTTGGCTCCCGCCGTGAAACCAAAATTTGAATTCTGCGGAGCTGTATCCGGTGGACTGCTGGTGTCCATACGAAACAGGTCTATCTGCCTCAACTGACTTCTTAATTGCATTCCAGTTTGGCACCCACGAAGGCAAATGGAGAGAAGGTGATCTGTCGCCTATACTGGTGGAGCATAACACTTCTAAGGCAGAGGAAGCTTCTATGATTGCTCGAGTCGTTCCAGTATTAATTTCTGCAATGGTGCTGGCGTAGTCGATGACAATAGTTGTGCGGCAATCTTTGGCAAAGTCGGATACGCCTACAACAGAAAAGACTTTATCCTTGGGATCTTTACACAAGAGAGATCTGTTACGCCTTAAGAGACTCAGCAGTGTTCTAGTGCCGTGAAAGCGAGGACTAGGAGCCTTCTGAGGGATGCTTGAGTTTGTAGTAAGCAGGAAACGATAAAGTGACACCGGTAGGAAGGAATTGAGGCCTAAAAGGGCCCTCAACCTGCGCTCTTCGTGCCTCTTTCCCATAAATAGTCTACCCAGGGGCGAACTCAAAAAGTCCGCCATAAGATTGAGATCTGCATCCGATATGAAGCGGGATCCACACTGAATGATCCATGAACGGGCAGATCCGACTTCTTGAGTAATCCACGCCCTGCTCCAGTATTGAGGCTGCTCCCGCCTCTCACCTAACAAGAGCTGAATGGAGTAAAGACCATCGTCAAAGTATTCCTGGTGTTTGCGAAAGTCGGTGTACGGTTTCCATGCGTTTTGATTTTCAAGAAACTGCTGTAAGGGCTCGTGAGTGATAAGAAAACGGACATGTTGAAGAAAATCGCAAGCATATTCCATATGCTCCACAGGATCGAAAAGAGGGTCGGCAAGACCTATCCAGGAAATGCCACGCCGAGCAGTTTTGTATATCCTGCCCATCATAGCCACCTGAGCGCTCCGCTCGTGGTCATCATTCTGGTTGATGCAAAGATCGTCAATCCACAGATATCTTTCCTGGGATTTGTCTCGTACATACTCTAACGCAGTCCCAAGGTTCGGCGTGATGAATTTTTGATTGCCACATACTTCTATGGGCCGCTTGTCGTTCTCGTCTCCCCAAACATATGAAAGCGCTTCAAAGCTGAGGCTGTTCTTCAAGCCATGGATATCGATTGAGCATCGAATCGAATCACCTCGGGCGCCTGGTAAGATGCAGCATAGACGAAACTGGGGGGCTTCGGGGTCGCAAGTCAAAGGTTCATAAATACTCATAGTGATTAAAACTGCTGAAGCACTCTCTAGCGATGTTGCAAAAGCTTCTCGGTTTGGGGAAATTGGTTGCTCAATTCTTCAACAAGGCCAATCGTAACACCACAAAAAATCAGCGGAGTGCTGTGCTGCACGAAATTTTCCCCTGCCTTGAATACAGAGTACGGCCAATCAAAGTGCAAGTAGCCGACACTAGCTAAGCAAATCATTCTCTCGTCATGGGTACGTCAATATCGGCGCTGCCCAAACTGTAGAGAGAATGAAATAGGCTGGTACCTTTCCATCGTGCCCCATTGGCGACATTTCTGTTAGTGCTTGTATTATATAATATTTATCTAGTAACTTGATTGGACATCGAGGTGTCAGCTCCAGCAATAATGTAGCGCTGATTCAGCAGCGAAGACGACGTCGATTAAAAGAGCACATCTCGCATTTCAAAGTAGGCAGCATAGGATCTAAGGTTGCCGTAGATTAGTTGGAAGTTACTCAGCATAGGCGGAACCGTCGGACAGAGTCGCACAGAGGGGTTCTAAAGAAATCAACGTGACTCGAAGAGTAGTGAGCCGTTATCACTTGAGTAGTAACACGTTCTTGCCTGTCGCAGAAACTTTGTACTTAAATCCTCGAGAAGCACTTGTTTTGTAAAGTCTGTAGAATCTCGACATCTGGGATTACATGCTGCTTCTTATGTTTTTAATCTTGCTTTCGCCGTTCACAAAGCTCGAGAATCACATCATGATACACACACACTTACGGATCTCTTAGTTCGTGAAATGTTCAGCTCTGTGTTTGTTGTCAAGATTATCTGAACCAATTCAACAAACATCCCTCAAACATCAAACCCATTTGCGTCAGAGCAATAGAATTGACTGCTGAGCCTCGGTACGACTGAACTCTGATTCAAACGTCTTTTAGAAACAAGAACTGTAAATAACATGGTAGAAGAAGATCGCGCGTCCAAAGAAGCAGGAGCAGCAGTGAGAGAGGCACTCGCAAACACGCAATTTCCGTTATTGATCAGTTATGGAAAGAGAGCAACAAGCCGCAGACAAGTGAACGCCGAGGAGGTGAAGCGCGCTAAAGCGGCTGAAGATGAAAAGAAAGAGAGTACAGGCTCTGGTTCAGGCAGGAAGACGAAAGTCTAGTTGGCTCAATAGCCTGATATTCTTTTGAAAACTTGTGGTTGCTGGGGGCGGGTTGAAGTGGAGTAAGCTTGAAGCTCTATTTTTATCAGTCGGTGCTACCTGCTTGACCGCCGAATAATGCACTCAAGGCAACGTGCATTGAACAAATCACGATGGAGCGACTGCGGTGTATCTTATAGTAGATCTCAAGAGCGGGGTACATAGCTCGTGTAATGAAAGAAGTTGTTAAAGCCTAGACAATGCCACACGCTTTTCTCGCACGTTAATGTCTCGCCGCTACGGAGACACATACTCTTCCAATAAAATGTAAGCAATTCTTTAACCCATATTTTGAAGTTCTATAAGCTGTATTATAGCCTATCATCAACTTACAAGCCTCAACAAAGAACACAAGTCTCCAAATCAGATCGTTGTAAAAAATAACTGATAAGCTCGAGGTAATAAAATCCTCCTATTTTAGCCAGCTCATCGCATGTAGTAACTTCTACGTCAGCAACTCTCACCGGAGCCAACAAACCGCCAAGAATAAAACGTATAATGGAAGACGATCGTGCGAGGAAAGCAGCAGAGGCCCTTGCAGCTAGGAATATCCTTGCTGCTCTTCTTACAGACGAAGAAATTAAGCAGTCGACGTCTTCGGGGAGACTAGCGCAGGCTAGGAGACAACAAGTCAGAGAAGAGAAGAGACGAGAACTTCGAGAAGAGGAAGCAAAGGAATCCGCTCAGGGGGAAGCGAGTGGGAAAGCTGATGGTACGGCATGAGAAAACAATGAAAGCAGCTAAAAGAGGTAATCTTCGCTTCTCTATCTACCATATTGGTTGGGGTTTTTTATCTGATCATTTTGATTGATAAATGCGGTGGAAGAGGAATTCAGAGTGTGGAATTTGATGATCCAAGTGTTGTGCTTAGACTAGGCAATAGTACAGTTATTAAATAGATATCAAGGTTTCCGTAATTCTAGATTTTCTTTCCATATGAAAGACATTTGTTTCTTCTTTCAGCAACTTGAGAAAGGTATCGCAAACAAATTAAAACCCTCAATCAAAAATACATGGAAGGTTTCATATCCTTTCGAATGTTGAGAGATTTACCCACAATTAAAATCATATGCAATGAAATGTTGAGTAATAAAAGCCTTGAGTTTCTTACAAAGTCTCAAAGAACTGTAAGATCTAATCAACCAATAGCATGTTTGTTGTAACATATGAGTCCTGTCAAACATCCGCAAAAAGAAAATTATAAATGAAAGAAGAAGCAAACACAATATAAAACTGATAATGAAAGACTTCCAACCATTTCAAAAACACCGACCTTACACTCCCAAACTCACCGCACTGTAAAAAGATACCTCACCTCACCGTATGTCAACAAACACTCCTTTCCACCTCGCCAAACAAGTGGACCCCGCAAACCCTCCTTCCATCCATACCTCCTTCCCTCTCCCCAACAAACATCACCTTTAAATCCCCAAACAACTCCCTCCCCCAAGGCTCAGCTCGGTTGGTCTAGTGGTAAGACGCTTCTCTCACACCGTGCCTTCCTGGTCCTCAATGGAGTCCCACCACTGTTGGGGGCCGGGGGGGTGTCGCGGGCAGAAGAGATCATCAGTTCGATCCTGATATTGAGCATCCTTTTTTTTGTACTTGCAATTATTTTGGGCTGGAGGGTACAAGGAGAGGTAATTTTTGGATAGATCGGCTAGAAGTTTAGGAATTTGAGGAGGTAGAACGCGACTTCCATTTTGAATCGCATGTTTGGTGCCAAGACTTATGGATAAGGGATTCGGCGACGGCGAGACCTAATTTCTGTCAGTGTACCTAGCTAAGGTACTGAGCTATGGAGATAGCCCCACCAAAGAATTGAGAATTGCACGAAAGATGTGTTCGCAGAAAACGCTTCGGTGTAAATATGAAACAGATTTGAGTGTGGACTAGGTGGAAGGATTATGGTCGAACAGATATTTGAAAGACTTATCATATTTCAAAGTCAAAAGACATAACAATCATTACGACATTACCACTCCATCCCCAAGACCATACGCCCATCTCAAAATCCCATCCCAACAACTCCAACTCCTCCTTTATATGCATACCTAGCTACATTACAGCCCGACCCCATGCCATTCTCACAAGCTACTACGCCACAGGCTGAACGATCTTAAACCCAGCCGTAACCATCTTCGCAATCTCCTCATTCTTATGCTGCAACAGACTAAGAGCATAAGCAACATCGTTCCACTGTCTCTCGGTCTCACATCTCGCCAACCTGGCCGCGAGTTTGTCGGCGAGTTGCTTGGCGTGTTTATCCTACGATGATGTTAGCAATTTGTCCTCCAGCAGAAGCAAAACCTAGGGAGCTATACCTTTTCGATGAAGCCAGCCAAGAATTTGAGAATCCGGCGTAGAGAATCTTCTTCCAACTCCTTCTCAGCAGAAAGAAGACTGAACATATCTACAAAGTGATTGTACACGGCGTTATCTTTGGTGCTCAACTCCGTGAAGAACATTCTGCTCAAGTCTGCGATTCGTTTATCGTCATCCTCGAGACACTTGGCCATTTCGCCTAGTTGACCCTTAACCTTGACTTGACCAGCAAGGATGAGGAATGTGAGAGTCATCAGACAAGTACGCTTGACACTTGCGTCCTTGTCATTCAGACGGCGATACAAGAAATCGGTGTTCTCATCAATAAGGTGGTTAAAGCAAACAGCCATATCTCCGAGGGCGATAACAACGTTTGATCGTGTGATCGGATCCTTGGATCTCTCGAGGATGGTGATGAGTAGAGGAAGATTCGTCTCACAGTACTCGGAGCTGACACACATGAGCTTAGCTAGGCAGAGGGTAGCAGCTGCTTGCAGGTTGCGATCCTTGTATGTTGTGTTGTTGGAGCAAATTTCCGATACGAGGGGACCGAAGTTGGCGAGCAGAGAATTCTCGCCGTACAACAGCTCTCGTTCACGGATATGGGTCATGGCTTCTGTGAAATCATCTTCGGTCGTACCACCAATCATATCAAGATCATCGGCTGCTTCCTTTGCTGCCTTATCCGCAGCTGCATCTACCACCGGCTTGCTCTTTTCCGCGTCGGCCTTTCTCCGCTTGAAGTCCAGCTCACAAAGTTCTAAGTGTACGATCTGCTTGATGGCAACATGGCCCACAATGAATAACAGTTGTAAAAGCGCGACAGAACCCTTCAATTTCTTTTCTTCTGGCTCCACGGGCTTTTCCACAGCGGGCTCATCGATTTCCATCGCATCATCAACCTCAGCAGGAGGTGACAATAGCTGGGTATTTTCTGGTGCTTCCTCAGGCTCGGGAGTTTTCGCGGTCCGCTGGGCAAAGACATGTCTTGTCTTTCTCCTCAGTATCTCAGAACATAGAGTATCAGGGTGCTTTGAGAGTGTATAAATGGCACTGATGGCTTGCTCAGCAACACCATACCACTCCTTGTTGTCGGATTCGACTTCAATGATGGCAGCTAGTTTGCCTAAGACAGCATGGTCGTTGGTCAATTTCGAGGTTTGAACATTCGTCTCTTTGGCCTGTCGACCGGTGGGATTGATCCTGCGGAGTGCGATGCATGTGTACTTGGCGAGCTGCAAATCGGATCGACCCAGCTTGCCCAAACCAATTCTTAGCATTGTCTCCATTTCACCAACCACAATTTCTGGCTTTGCTGTTGCCAGCATACCCAGGACAATGATGGCGCCTCGTCGCTGGCTCTTGGAAATTTCCCGCTTCTGGACACCATAAACCTGCCACAGCTTCTGCACGACCAGCTCTGAGACATGATTTGACTTCATCATCGTGCTTAAAAGTTGCTCCAGAGAAGTCAACTCCGCTGGTGTAGCTCCGAAAGTTAGACTAATCATGTTTCGAGCAATGTAGTTCGCAGCCTCATTGGCATTGTATGAATCAGGAGCCTCGAAGAAGAGTCGCTTATAGCACTCAATGAGGTGGTTCTGCACCCCTTTCCCTTCGTCATTATTGCCTTTGGTCCAAATCAGTCTCAACATTCGTCGAATTCCGACTTTGTTTTGTTCAATATTGTATGCATCCCCGATCTCAAAATAGTCCATGGCTTCAATGACCTCGCTCTTGTTCTTAGACCCAAGAAGTTGGCAGACTGTTGTTGTTGCTCCATGTAATACCTCGATGAACTTCAAAGCTTCCACATAGTAACGTCTCGTGAGTGTTAGCTTGTTCATTGCCTCTGAAGTTGCCGCATCTTCCTGTGCCTTTTTGATAATTGCCTGTTTCTGCTCCTCAGTCAATGCTTGCTGTTTCTGAGGCGAGTCTGGCTCGACTTGTGTTGCTTCATCCAAGAGCTGCGTATCAACAGTCTGGTTAGCCTTGTCGTCTGCGAGACCAGGAGTGTCAACGGCCGGAGTAAGAGCATTTAGCTGAGTATCAACAGCTTCGAGTCTGGAGTTCCACTCCTTCAAGGAAAGTTGAGAGCCATGCATAATCCCAAAAGGGTGAGTCTTGATGAGCGATCCAAGAAGTTTGATGGCGTTTCTTCTGACATTGCTGGACTTGTCTTCCAAGCTCCTCGCTGCCAGCTCTGCCGCCTTTTGTCGTCGTTTAGGAAACTTCTGGTCCAAGTCGCAAATTTTGACGTAGACCTGGATCGTTCTACATCTACAGTAAGGATTGACATCCAAAAATCGCTCCTCAAGGACATCGAAAAAAGCATTCAGTTGCGATTTGTGGTTGTCGCCGCGCTCTTCTTGCTTACTCAAGTGAGCCAGTAAATTTCCACAGACCTCGATCAAAGCACATCGAAGGGCGTAGGATTCGCTGTCAAGCTGTTTTGCCAAAAGCGTCATCTGCTTGATGACAAGTCGTGGCGCAAGTTCTGAGAGCTTTACGATGAACGAAGATACTGATTTAGGGCCCTTGGTGTCGTTGCTATTGAATTCTTTGTTGCTAAGTTCCCGAAGAATTTCATCTGCGAGTTGCGGATAGTCGTACTGCTCGGCCAGAATATGGAGGAACTCGGCCATCGGCTCCGCGAGATGCTCAAAATATGTCAAGTTTTGGACAATTGATATCTGGGCAGCTGTAACAAGTTAGCAATTGTTTTTCCTCCTGGTTCTATACCTTACCATAAGCATGACCATGATGCTTTACGGCAATACACAACACCTTGAACGCATGCATCCGAATAGCCGTAGCCTTAACCCTCTGCTCACTCTCCAAAATCATATATACTGGTCGAGTAAAAAGTCCTACGAATGTATCCCTCTCAGAAGTCGTATGAAAGATCTTCGAAAGCTTCAACTTCAACACCTTACACATCGTATCAAGAGCTGTTTGCAGTTGCGCAGCAGAGTCCCAATTTCCATCTTTATCCTTCGCCGCCGTCTTTGCTTTCGCCCCCTTTCCTCTCCCTCGAGCAGCAGGTACCGCGGTTGACTTCTCGGCTGCTTTCGTTTCGACCGCTGCGATTACCCATTGTAGTAAGAATCCGTAGACTTCGAGGAGTTGTTTGTGGTGGGAGATGATATCTTGCTCGTCCGATTCGAGATCATTATGAATAACGTCCGCTTCGGTCGCAAGTCCGGATACTACGAGATCCAAGATCTTGCTCAACGCATGTGTAGGTAATGCCGTGCTTGATCTGCAAAATATATATAATTTAGAAAAGGACTTGTCTGCTCGGGCTTTCTGACTGGAAATTGAAGAAATTGGAGCGCACTTTAAAAGGAACTGTAAGGAATCAAAGGAAGAGCTTCTGGTTATTGCATCTGGGTTCTCTGCCACCGAGTCCACGATTGGATTTAACACAGTATTTACCAAGGAATTCGTAAGGGATTCTGGGTCGTTTTCGCAATCGAGAAGGTTGGAGTCTGCTTCGGGGGTAGGGATTTGCAGAGGGTCGCTCATGTAGTGCTTGAGCGCATCGTTGATGTCGAATTCTATCGTGTCCATGTTGACGGTTGTCTCGCGTTTCCAACTTGCCGAGATACAGACATGAACAAATTATTGCTGGCCGAGTTGTTGAAATTGTCGCAAAGTGGTGGTTGAGATGTGTATTTGGGGAACGCGTTTGTTTACTTGTGAAAGTAAATAGACAAGGATTAGACTTGGCGTGACGGACCACCCCGCGGAATGGTTTTCTACCATGTATCTTTGTATACCAGCAACATAACAACCAATTGAAGCTTTTCAGGTGTTTCTACAGCAGGAGCTTAATTTGATTTTAGTGCCCTCTCATCTGGGATTTTCTACAATTCTTATGGCGACAATCCGCTCCCGAAATGCGCCCAAGGTTTTTGATATACACGAAGACGAAATGAGAGAGGAGGAAGTAGAAGACGATCAAGAAACGGAGGAGTCAAGAGGTGAAGAGGACGAGGAGGATGGAAGAGGGAAAGACTACGATTCAGAGGAGAGCGACTCAATTGTAGACCCAATTGTACAGGAAGACATGGACAAATTTCAAGATACATTTAAAGGCATCAAAGAGCGGTTCCGGCTGATAAATCGCATTGGAGAGGGTATGTTGGTCCATTTTTTGGAATTGAAGTAAAATTAACGCGACATAGGTACATTCTCGACTGTCTACAAAGCAGAGGATCTGCTATACGACGTATACGTTAATGATTGGGACTTGGAAGAAAAGGAAAATGGCACGCCTTTTAGATCTCCGCCTGTTAAAAGACGCAGCGCAGTAGACGAGCGTGGAATGATCAAACGACGCCCAAAATACGTCGCGATCAAGAAAATCTACGTCACAAGCAGTCCCATGCGTATCCTGAACGAATTGGAGCTCCTCCACGATCTCGAAAGATGCGATTCAGTATGTCCACTGATCACGGCATTCAGACATACAGACCAAGTAGTAGCCGTCCTCCCCTACTTCAGACACACAGATTTTCGAGACTATTTCCGAGAAATGCGGATGGGGGAAATCCAAACCTATTTCCGCTCTTTATTTACAGCTCTAGCCGCCGTCCACGAAAAAGGCATTCTACACCGAGACATCAAACCCACGAACTTCCTCTACGACACCGACAAGCAACGCGGCGTCTTAGTCGATTTCGGCCTCGCCGAACGCGAAGGCACAGACTCCAAACCCTGCCTATGTCAAGAAAGCGAAAGTACTCGTCGCCGACGCATCACCAACAGCGTAACAGCAGCTTTGGGTCCCTCCTCAGGGTATCCCAAAAACGACTCCCGACCCTCACGACGCGCCAACAGAGCCGGGACGCGCGGTTTCCGCGCCCCAGAAGTGCTTTTCAAATGCACTGAGCAAACCACCAAAATCGACATTTGGTCCGCCGGTGTGATCCTGCTCACCATCCTCTCCCGCCGTTTTCCATTCTTCAATTCCGCCGATGATGTGGAGGCTATGATCGAAATCGCCACGATCTACGGCAACAAACGCATGAGGAACTGTGCGCAATTGCACGGCGCGGTGTTAGAAACTACGATCCCAACAATCGGCAGCGGCGGGTTCACAATGGAAAAGATAATCCTTTGGTCGACGTGTCGTAACAGCGACGGGAATGAAGAACTGCCCTTGAACGAAGGCGAGAAACTAGCTGTGAAGTTTCTAGAGTGTTGTCTAGAGCTGAATCCGAATAAACGAATCAGCGCAGCGGAAGCGCTGCAGCATGATTTTTTGAGGGTTGAGGATGCGGAAACGGAGTATGAGGATGAGATGGATTTGGTGTAGTGGATGACTTGGATGACAATGAATGGCGTTGATGGGGTGGGGGTTGTGTATACGGAGTTCTTGTACATAGATTAGCTCAAGATACCATTTTTGTAGTAGTATGAAGTAGTGTAAGAGAATGACAGCTGAACTTAATTTCAATGTTTATGGCGAGGAATAATATCAGAGACGCGTTCTTTGGGGGATTTTGACGCGTAGGGATTTGCTTTGTTTACCATATTTCGTATGTCGAGCAATTGGCCGATTGCAGCTGCTTCTTAAACTCTTGACGGATCACCATAGCAAATCATTCTCAAATCCCGACCAGCACACTGCTCACTCATTCTTCACGAGAACCCATTCCTTTCACTCACAGCTCACGTATCCAAAAAGCATGTTCTTGATTCCGAAGCATGGTTTGTGCTTTTCATTCATATGAACTCCTTAAACTAGAAGCAAGCCATCCATGCCAAACAGAAAATGCATGTAACCCCAGGCGGCCCAACTTGAAGTCTACGTCTGTCATGCACATGATTTCCCATCCCAGTTTCCTAGCAAACGAAGAAATCCCCACGATTATGCGACCAACTCAACAACACCACCAGCCTCTGTGATCTTACGTTCTGCCTCCTTGCTGAACCATCTCGCGCGCACAACTAATGGAACTTCTGGGATTCTGCCCTTGCCGAGAACTTTTGAGTATCCGAGTGGTAATAAATCGAGGACTGGGAGGGTGTCTTTCTTGCTGCCGGAGAGGTATTCGTCGCGCTTCTCGGCTGGGACGAGGGACCAGAGCTGTAATTCCAGTATGTTAGCACTTGCAGCGAGTGATTTCTCATAATCTTTCTTCATTTTGCCCTCATTTTCCCATCACAAACATCCATTTTCTGAACCCTCCGTTCACCCTTCTGTAGTCATCCCAAATCCTTCTCCCCGTCCACAAATCCAGGTACTAAGAAATTTACGTACCTTGTCAAGGTTGATAACTGGCTTCCAGAAGTGGTTGCCTTGCTTATGGAAGTATCGCATACCGACCTTTCCGAAGTAACCTGGATGGTACTTATCCATGTTGGTTCTGTGGTGATGTTGTCCACCAGCAAGACCTCTTCCACCGGGATGCTTGCGGTGCTTTCCTACACGACCGTGACCGGCGGAGACGTGTCCGCGGCTGCAATTTGTATGTTAGCTAGTGTTCTCTCCCATGGCTGTTTCCCCCTCATCAATTGTCCGTCGTCGAATATTATCGCGATGCAGGAGCATATTTTTCACCAGCGTCGTGTCGAGTTCGATCGGCAGGGTGAAAATGACGAGAAGATCCGGAATCCAGAATGGTGAAGAGTATACGTACTGCTTGCGGGTTTTGCTCAAGTGGGTTGGCATCTTGAGATTTTTGTCGAAGGTTGTTGTCGTGATCTCGAATTGTCCCGCAATCGTCAAAATTGAGGTTGCGACCACGAAATTCCGAAATGGCGCTAAGGAATTTAGACGAGTTTGTGCCAAGGTCAGGTCAAAACCCTATAAGCTTGACCAGAATCAAAATGATGCCTTAGGCAACACATGCTTTTCCTCCATCACGACAGAATTTTGCATGCCATCGTATTCTCTTGCACCCAGAACGAAGCATAATTGGACAACTGGACAAGCCTTTCTTCTAGAGAGTCATTTCTCTCCGCGGATATATCTCTCTCGATTATTGATTTTATTTCATCTCTTTTGTGCTATTATTCACGACTATCTGGTGTCAATTGATATCACTGCGGATTCCCAAATCATTTAATTGTCATTCTCCTTCTAATCTGCCACTCGTTTTCGAGCAATCTGGAACCATCCTCTTCGCTGAATTGGGCCATTCTGGGTCTACTACGTCCGATGTCGAATTCAAAGTCTAGTAACATACTATGCATGGCTCATTCGCTCCCAGACTTCCAGACTCCCTTGCCAAATCCTAACCCAAACCTCAATGGCGAATGAGAGTTGATACGAGGTCGTTCGTCAACGTGGCCGAAATTGGCAGCTTTCAGGTTGCTAGCGAAAGATTGCCTTCATACAAATATAATTGCGGACGTGTCAACTCCTACCATTGGATTGTGTACAGTGTTCTTTTGGGATCTACTAAATCCCGATCGCTATTTTGATTGATCCCGATCGTCATGTGATATACCTTACTGACTTTACACAACTTCTTTAAAGTATATACGAGAGCTTTAGAACGAGACACGTCTAGGCCGGTAGGCGGGGTCGAGTTCTATCACGGATCTAGCGCTAAAGGTGTGTTTAGCTAGCGCGGTGTCACTATTCCACACAGTGATCGGAATCTATCCAAAAAGCGATCGGGATTTAGCTAAACCCTTTTTTTTTCGTATCTGTAAGCAATTTAAGAAAATGCCACACACGACGGGCTTCATGTGCGACTGGTTTGAAATTCATACACACTTACTGCTCGTGGCTAGTGGGTCTGTCTGGTACCTTTCAATTCGCGAAGAAGTTTAAATTCGTTTATTTTTTGGTAGCCGGATGTTCATTTGAATCAAACTCCACAAAACCCTTCTATCGAAAGGTCTAGTGCCCTGGATATTCTTAAAATGATTTGAGCTTTTGTGCGCCAAGGACTGGTATTTATGTTTTTTCGAAAATAACACTTAAATAACCCATATCATGACGTTCTTCCCTTACAACTTAAGCTTGAGCTACTCCGGCGTTAGAGGCTTCACGTGGTTTAAAAAGCATAGAGTCGGTTGAGTTTGTGAGGCACAACGGAAGGCGCAATGGACCCTAATGGGAAATGAATTGGATTGAAAGTGCCGCTGTAGAATTGTGAGAGGAGACCCCATCCCCAAGAACGAAACCCTTTTCTTTTCAAGAAGAAGGAAAGAGACTAGGCTTTTCGTGCTGCATCAGTTTCTCGAGTATATTCCCATTAACAACAACTTTTCTTTGTTGCCGATTTCAAAATCACTAGCGTTTTCATATATATGTTCAGCCTCCACCTTTCCACCACCAGCCGATGTAGCACTCAGCGAAATCAAAAGAGTGTCCAAACTAAAATTACTTACGTGGGAATGATTGATTCTATTGATTGTTTCTAGTCTCTGACAAAAATGAGGCCTTCTTAACCTGGAAAGGTGATCATGTGACAAGTCCAAGGAAACGCTGGTCAATGCTGCTATGTAAAGAGCCCTGGTAAAGTTTAGACACAGGTGTTTGAATTATCTAGTTGTTTCCCATAATCGATATGAACAGGAGGTGGTATAGTCTCGTAGTGAAGCCGGTAGACGGTTTCAAAAAGCATGCATAAGGGAAATCGACAAAGCAGGAGTTGATTTCAGAAATACATGACACTTCTGACATGGATGCTCCCATCAACCTCCGACCATAAATTCAACATTCTGCCTTCATCGTCCTAAAACACGGTTCTTTCGTTACGTCGATCTTCTGGTCTTTGCGTGAGATTGAGGGCAAACTATTACCGAAACATGAATTATCACCGAAACCCACCTATCGATTGTATTCTCCAACTTTATTATAGAACATACGAGGCTTTTAACGATATATGCAATTGATATCTAACACCTATAATGTGTCGTTATGCCTGTAGGAACTTGATTACTAGCACAGGACCTCGAGGAGCGTTGGTGTATATGTTAGTGTTCATGAACTGAACTCCATCCTTTGCTATGCAGAATATTTACATGGTTTCGGAAGGATTTTATGGAAAAGATAGAATGCGACGCATCTCTTGATGTTGACAGGTAAGCTGCGAGGAAGTTTCCTTTTAGACTACTATGTCCTAATGCAAATACTAATATGTTGCTGTATTTTTCCAGCTCGCTATCAAGAGTTTAGAAGCCCGTAAATCACGATTCAGTATTACCAACTTTCAGGAAAATGCTACGTTTAATACTCATTCTTTAGGGCGGTTGAGAGACGACTAAGTCTCTGATACCCCGCCGGCCATGCTTGTGAGTTGAACGGATTTGAGTTACATTGGTTAGAGATATCTTGCATTCTTTTGAATAATTGGTTGTTCTTTCAGCCCTTCTTCAAGCTAAAAATCAAGCTCCTACCAGACTTCCTTGTCCAGACCACTTTCGAACTCGAGCGTTTGCTACAGAAACGTAGCTCATTGCCGAAAGTTACTCATCAATTTCTCACTTAAACTCAATCTCCGAACCCTTGGTAATCATTCTGGTAAAGAATAACGGCTTATGACGTCTTCAAAAATTGCAGCATCTTAAAAAAATAGAGCTATGATATCTGACGTTGCAGAAGTTCAGTTCGATACGATCGGTTTGTGTGACTTGCATTCTTTAGAAGGTTGGCAAATAGCTATTTATGTGAAAGCGATAGCAACTTTTTCAAAAGGCTTAAACTAAGAATTGGGCTTTCTCGTTAGTTGGTGGATAGTGGGATGATTGACTTCCGAATCATAATTTACCTTCAGGTTATTTATGTCTTTTACATTTTCCGTAATTTTTATTTCAAGTACCAGAAAACTTTAAACAGTATTTCTCTAAGCTTCACATAAGTTCAAAGATTATAACAAAGTGATACACAGTAGTAATCCTTGAACGGGAATTTGATTTTCGTGGTTTTAGGAATTGTTGTTTTAGACTATTTGTTGAAATCACTAAGGGAAATCTTAAAGACCCTTCCAATGCACTTTAGTATAGTTGTATATATTTCTAAATTCACATCACTTGACCTCCCTGGGACTCTCTCTAGGTTTTGACTTTTCCTTCTCAAAGAATCTGACACACCGAGCTGCCACTAATCTTTGCCCATTAAGCGACTCTTCCTCCAAACATTAAATTGCAGTCTAGATATGGATTCAAAATAAGAAGTGGATCAGCTAGTTTGTCACATATTCCAAAAACAGAACGAATAATCAAGTCACTGGCACTTAAAAGCTTTGGAATTAACCATGTAATCCCGCTCAAGAGGAGGGCGTCTTGGGGTTGAAGATGTCAACGAAACGACCGACTGGGGTATAGCCAGGCACATAAGCATCTCCGAAAGCCTGCTGCCACGAATCTGCAGCAAACCGTACTCGTCAGCATCATTCTGATATTTTCCACATACAACAATAGAAACTTTGTCACTCACCATAAGTTGTGCTCGGCTTTTGCACACAAAGTTGAACCAAGGTGTGATTGACACCCGTGATGAAGTTTAGTGGAGGAAATGCCGCCTCGACGCCCTGATACTCAGCAGCCGTGACTCCATAGTCCGGCTTTCCCAGATCAAGCAAGACTCCCTCCACCAATACCTTCACAGTCGCCTGCTTGTATAATGAGAACTTGGGCTCCGAGCTCAACAGTATCGCATCATACAGCAACTGAAGCCGGTTTGCATCCCAGGCAGAGCTGGTTCCGTGGTGCTTGGCTGTTTCTTCAACAAACTGAGTAGCTCTGTTGGAGCTGTCGACTTCAAAGCGGAGATCGTGGCTAATCCAGGTGGCGTTCAGTACGAGACCGAGATCATGTAAGATAGAGCCAATAGCATGAACCTCTAGGTCAACACTATGCTGGAGCGTGGTGTTGTGGCTGATAATCAGAGCGCCGAAAAGCCAGGTTCGCATTACATGGTTGTAGAGATAGGCTTCGCTGTTCTCTCGGGCAAAAGCTTGGGCGGCGCGCACGCTATGGATTGAAACTTAGCAATCGTATTGCGTGGAAGTTTAGAACTTGGCTTACAGAAGTGTGTCAATGACCGTTACACCGCCGATGACCCGGGTCGGTTTATTGTTGAGACCCCTTGGGATCACATGCTCGAAGCCGAAAGTTGAGGAGACCTGAAATGCGACAAGCAATTGGACAATGATCCAAGTGAATTTGAATTCCATGATGTAGAAGGAGTAATAAGAATGATCTTCTTGAGTCTTGAACAAGCTTTTGGTGTAGTGTGAACTGTTGAGTGGGTGTTGCTTTGATCATTTTTTGGACTTGGCTTCATCTTTATGTAGTCAAATACCGCCGATCAGAATGGTTCTAAAGCCATGATGCCATTCTCAGGACGTTTCTGCATTACTCATGGAGTCTATGCACTCATTCAATAAAGTAAGCACATTTCTTAAGAGCATTACAAAGGTATCATTTGTTAGTGGGGATTTGGAATCACTGGGTGACGGTTTGGAATTATCAGGGATACCTCCTTGGCAGAGTAACCCTCTACCGAATACCACTAAATCTGGAATCGATTCAGGACTAGCTAATAAGCTGAGCAGTTTAAATTTTCTTTTTTGGCAATCGTTGCAAGGGGAAGAAGCTCATCAAAATCAGATGCCTGAAGATAACCTCGCTAAGCTTAGTATGACTAAGAAAGGGGTACAGGGGGGATGAGCTCGAATTCAACACTCCGACCCTCCGACCCTCCGACGGAGGCCTATTAGTAATATTTCACCATTAAGTCATGATTTTGAATTCTCATGATCAGTAATTATCTTGAAATGATATTGAACTTCCTTCTTCAGACGCTAGCTCATTGCGAATCCGTCAGATAAACAGAGGCTACAATGCGTGCCGCGATAATTCAAACTAATTGGCGGTCCCGAATTTCGAGGACATTCTATTTTAAATACCTCCTACAGCCTCGCTAAAAGACCAGTATAGACTGTGAATCCATCACAATTTAGGGTGGGTGCGCGTCTATATTAGAAAAGCATTTCATCATGTAAAGCTAAGTTAGTTACTCTTAAAACCCCAACATTTCATCTTAAGGAAAACGCTAAGCTCCTACTCCGCTTGAATTTCCAACCGAATAACTAATTCCAGTATTTGCTGCCGAAACAAGAATCACCATCAAATCTCCCTTGTACCTTTACTTTCTTCTTTTGAAAAAGAGGATTACTCATTATTCTAGCACGCATTAAACTTATATCGTAAAGCAATTTCGACTCGTTTATAAAGTGAAAGCTTGAAAAGCACAGAGTTCAACACACAAGCACCTAACCTCTTTGACCAGCTGTTTTGTTAGAAGGTTAATCCAAGTCAAAGTCTGCAACTTTAACAGCTTTCTTGACACATATCCCACCAATTAATGTACCGAAATATTATACCGTTTTGGCTAGGACTCTTATGCCAAAGAGATTCTCTCTTCAAAAGGGGTTTTCTTGAAAGATGTTCTTCTCTGATTAGACTAAACTAGAGATTTAGCATTAAGTTATCTTTAAGTTCCAACTGGCATCCAGAGACTCAGTAACTTTGTAGCCAATTATACTTCTACTAGAACGACTCCCATATCTTGTAGGAAGTAAAGGCTATATTTCAACAGGAAGTTTAAAGTAAAATAGTATAGTTGATTCAAGAAATCAAAGTATACTCTTCACGATATCTCGAAAAGGTCATTACCTCACCACTGCATACTACTACTCACATTTCTCTATCTATATCACCCAAAGCCCCCCTTTTAGATCTTCCGAACATCTGCCTTATGTGCGCTTTTTAAAAGAAGTGAATATCTAAAGACAGTAGAGCCACCCAACTAATTAGAGTAGAGTCTTCAGTTCTTTGCGGGTCATTTAATCTCCTTTTCCTTATTCCTAGAGACAATGTTTCTTTTACTACACCTGCGTGTCCTGTAAGACATCTTGTGTTATCTTAAAAGGTGAATGCCGCAACGCTCTCGTTACCGAAAACCGTCCCGCTACCGAAATGTATAATTAAAACAAAAGATAGAATAGATAGCTCCGCAACAGCGGAAGATTATAGTTCAAATAATTAAGAAGACGGAATCATAACACTACCATCTCATTTTGCCTAAGCAACTTCCTATACATCTTACCTAATGCGAGTGGTAGTAGTCCATATATTTGTGTAAATAGGAAGGCTTACAACCGTCTCAACAAATGCACTTATTAAATAGAAGTACGAAACAACCGGGTATATAGACTTTAAGAGCATTTGAGTTGTAATACAAGAATTCTTGTTTAATAAGTGAAATAAAAACTAGATTGATTATTCATCAGCCACATATTATTGAAAAGTCCTTATCTCTATAGCTTGCTAGTCATTCCAGCTAAATAGGCGACCTAAACTTACTCACTTGCTCGATTTTACATCTTGATTTCCAAAAAAATACCTCTTGCCTCCTTTAATTCCAATGCCTAACTATGTTGGTCTCCACGACCCTCTAAAACCCCAGCCGAAGAAGGAGAAGTTAGTGACTTGATAATTAACTCCCATCAATCCCATTGATGCCTCACTTTATCCGTCCCAAAAAGAGCTTTCATTCTCGTAATTACCCTTTAGTTATATCCAAACATCCACTCTCCTTCAAAGAAAAGTAAGTTGTCACCGAAAATAATTTCATTACCAAAACCCACAGACTCAAAGCCACATGACACCAAATTCCCAAAAGGTTGACTTAGAATTATTACCATACTTGTACAGTTATACTAAACTTTCGTTGTCCTGTTCAAATGATTCAGTTTATGCAGCAGTAGTTGAGTGTCTTGAAGATCCGTCGGATCGTAATTTCGTGTCTTCATTGTTTGAACAACTTCACAGGCATCTCGAGCAGCCTAATAAATTGATAAGGTGATCTAAACTCATGATAAAGCTCTTTGAAAAACAGATGATGTTGAACAGGTAATCTGAAAATTTTAAACTCATAATTCTGTTCATCTCCACATCCGAGGAAATAAAGCTTGAAGATTCACCTAGAGAAACCCGACTCTAAAACGAACCATCAAATCCGACCTCCTTTCAAATTCCCCCCAACTCATTCCCCGAAGAACTTTCCTTACATCATTGCAATTGAAAACCCCACTTCCCATAATTGCCACAACTATTCCTCATGCCATCTATCATTTCGTGGATCATCATCCTTGCCTTGGCCTTTCCGAAGCACATGTGATTATGTCAGCCTAAGTTTAAATCCTTTCAAAAAAGTTTCTAAGTCATTCCGAGCTAATGAATTCGGTGATTTGTGGAATAGTTTAAATGGTGTGAGTCGGATAGTGGAGGAAAGAGAGGGAAGTGATATTGTCACTAAAATAAACTTCGCCACCAAAATCCACACATCCAAAAACGAAACATTAGAAAGTATTGCAAAAAAGGAAAACGCTTCTCGCATAAGTGTCAGAGAAATAGTAAATAAGATTTGTTAATGTTTGCCGATTAATCCCCTGACTTCAGAGACGAGTTTATTTGTACACAGTATTACTGGTCGGAACTATCGAACGTATCATCTTCATCGCTTTTCTCATTGACGAACGTCACTTTTCTCGTTAAGGGACGTTTAAAGTTTATGTTCCTGGCATTAAAAAATGACGTTAAGGAAGGAAAACAACATTACGTCCTCTTTTTCAAAACGTGAAATTCAAATCTTAAGCTCCCATAACTTAGCTCCCTACCAACCCTATCCATCATTCTCTCCGGAACAGAAACCTAACAAAACCCCACTACCTACCCTTAAACAAACACAATAGATTCCCATCCAGCACCCTATAAGAACTCCCACAACCCACTGACGAACCATCTCAAGCCCACGCATGGAGTCATATCATATCGTTTAACCCTTGAGCCCTCGCTCGCTAACCAAGACTTGTTGCAAACTTTCATTTCATTTACATCCTGCACAAGCTTGAGAAATCTCAACAACAATTACAGTCATTTAATGTATTTGAGGGAATATTTTGGGAGCGGAAGAGGGATGTTGTCACCGAAACAACCCTCACCACCGAAACACTCTTCTTCCACGCCCCAAAACCGGGAACTTTTCAAAATCAAAATACCAACTTCTACCCACAGAACATCCCAGAAACAAATAACTAAACCAACAAGCGCTGAATAAAAGAGACAAGCAGGAGTTGGCAAACACAACAGGATGGAGCAGCGACGACCAGTCGATTTGTATGCTGATGTTGTTCTATGAGAGTCTTTTGAGTACTACTTGTCTGGCAATGTAAAATTCGTTTATTTATGAAAGAGAAATGATGCACATTTTCTTTGCCAAAATAACACGTAGCATGTAGCTTGCATGTGACAAAACCTCCAGAATCTATACCTCTCGGGGATCGAAGCACCTACTTGATCTATTCTCTCTATTCAGCGAATTAAAGCAAGCTGACCAATGACCCACAAGCCTCAATAGCACAAGACAGCCTCACGATCCTCTCATCTGGTTTTGTCAATCCACGTTACCATTTTAATACCTCAACTCCTAGACTCCGACAACAATAAAATAACACGTTGTTCCGGACAAAAGAGATCGTCATGTTCAACATTTGACACCTTTAGCAGTATATTCCCAAATTCTTAAGGGTATAAAATCAAAGAGATATCATCACCGAAAGAACTTCCACCACCCAAACTCCGTCTACCGCAAAACTTAAAAAAGATTTTAGAATATAGGAGGTAGTAATCGCTTTCGAGAAAGGCGAGAGGGCAAGAAATAACGGAAGTATGTTTGAAAAGTTTCAGCGGGGGTAGGTGAGAATAGCGGAATATGTTGCTGGGAGGACATGGTGGACAGATGGTATTTCAGGTGATAATGATTAAGGGGGTAAGTACGTCTGTTTGTTTGATATTAGAGGAGGGTTTGAGGCGAGGAGGAAACGAATGATGTACATTTTCTTTCTTGTATGATCGATTTTTTCACATGAACAAGTTTCCACACCCAAGAAAACACTACTTACCTTCCTCTCCCTCCCACCCCATCCACAACCCAAAAAGCCTCCACACCCTCCCCATATAACCCCCCTCCTACCCCCCTCCCACTCATCCCTTCATCAAAGCACACGGTACAATCCTCTATTTCACGCCTGGTCTCTTCTGAACAACATCACAAACTTGGTTTTGGCAAAAGAAAGGTAACAAATTTCCACAATTCAATGTTTATGCTGTGTCCCCGAGCCGGAGATAAACTGAAAGTATAGTTGAAGAAGAAGATGTTGTCACCGAAATTTTCATCATCACTGAAAACATCGCAATCTAGATAGTACAAGAGAGCTTATACTCAGGAATGAAAATCTCTTCTTAAGATACGAAAAGAGAAACATGAACGAGAGAAGTAGAAGTGTGAAGGCGTAGGAGTGTGTTGAGAAGGGCGCTAGAGTTGTCACGGCGTTCACGTGTTTGTTATTGTTTGACACTTGCTACCAGCCAGCTGGTGGAGTATTTAAACCACAGTTTGCTCACAAAATGGCGTACAGATAGTGCCTACTGTAATTGTTCAAATGTGCCAAATACCAGTTATGAATTTCAAACACAGTTATCTCATCTATAACATACCCATCATTACTTTTCCCATCCCCAAATTCCATGCTTATGCGTCCCATGCCGTCAAAAAAAGAACAAAACCACCTAATTTTCGTATATTGTATCCATTCCCCAAAAATGCCAACAAGAAAGGGTATCATCATAACAAACGCACCTTCCCCACTCCATGCTTCCCTTCTCCTTTTTCATGCACCCTCCACGCTTTTCCATCAATTATTCCCCACACTCCACAACTCCACGCCCACAATCTCAAACTTCATGCCCTCCTCACTGAGCGGCTCATTCCCAAACGTCGGACAACACGCACTCACACCCTTCTCGAAATTATCATCTAGCCAGAGCCCGTAATGGCCATCGCCGCCGCCGATACTCAGAAAACTGGGTTCACAGAGGATGAGATAGTCGTTCACGCCGGAGTAGGGGAAGGCTTTGAAGCGGATGCGTTCGGGTGTGGATGCAAGTTGTGGGGAGAGGAGAGAGGTGGGGGAGGTAGGACCGCCGGATATGGTGGTGGTGCGTGGGATGTTGGTTGTGTCGGCTGAAGGGGGTGGGGGGAGCATTTGCGAGAGGTTGTGTGTGCTTGCGGAGAGGATGGAGGCGCGCCAGAGGAAACATTCGCCGGTGCCGAAGTAGTGGGGGGATGGATGGGGGGCTTCTGTTAGGTAGGCGCCGAAGAGCTGGGACATTGTTAGTAGGAGCTGGGAAGGATTGGGGGTGAGGACACTTACACCACCGTCTGCGTCTCGAACGACTAGTACGAAACCATTTCGTAGACCTCGTAGATCGTCACATTTCTTGTATAACGTTCCTAGACTAACTCCATCTTCTTCGAGGGAATACACCAGCCTCCACTCCTCGCATAACTGCAACCGCGGCGGGACTAATAATCGTATCTCCTCTGCCAACGACCTACTCAGTAACCTAGCACTTTCGGGTGTATTCTCCTGGTAACCCTCTAAATTCACTGGATATAACGGCGGTGGCTGAAATGGCGAAGCAGTTCTGTATGGAGGCGTGTAAACACCATCTATACCCGTATTTTTATTCGGCATTGCGTTGTATGGATCTGCGTAATTCGAGCGTGTTTGATCTTTATGTGGAGGATCCGATGAGAATCGACGCAGCAAACCCCCTACTGCGTGGGATAGAGGTTGTGGAAAGGTCCATGAGGTGTTCAGAAGGGAACCGCCGCCGTTGGGAGTGCTGGTCCCGGAGGATGACGTTGGGGTTGAATCGTTTCGTGGGTTGGATCGTAGGTTCTCCATGGTTACGATTGCATGAGGTATACTGTGTTTTGGTTTTGGCTTTGAGTCTGGGTAGTTTTAGAGTGCAATAATATAATGACAGATGTTGAGTTGCCTGCAATGTCGAGTTTATAACAGTTGTCGTCTCTTGACATACGACTTAATAAGCTCTGGCCTTGCCGTTCCGTGGCGGTCGGGTAGAAGTGGGACCAGCTCATGATTGGATGGATGAAGTAAGGCTGAAAAGGTGGGTAGCATTCGGAGTTCGGGATTCAGTCGGCCAAGCTTCCAAGCTGCTTGTGCAACCTCACTTTGACCACAGCATTTCGAGAAACGGATTGCGGTTGGTCATATGACCTGCAATTACCAATTTTTCTGTTATCATGGCCTGATGGATTTTAAAATTCGTCATACCAAGATTGTATTCAATTCAACACGTATTTCGAGTGCTGAGCTTTGTGAACTATCTTCTTGGCAATTTGCTAATATTTGATACGAACTCGAATGATCAGCTGATGTCGACTCCAGAATTGGGTGCGAGTAGAACAATTCCTCACATCCAGGGCGCACTCTAGAACAAAATAACTAAGTCGGAGATAGAGGTCCGGATGGCTGTAAGTTGCTAAGACAAAGTTCTATTATTATTTTAGAGAGAAACCTTCGAAAACCTTCGAGTTGCATAGTACGTTGCAAACGTTGTTTAGAGCAGTCTAACAAGAGGTGAAAACCCTTCTAACCACCAAAGTCTACTTCCTTAAACCAGTCATTAAGCTGCATAAAACCCGGCATGATCATAATCCTAAAAATACCGCAATAATTCAATGTGAAATAAAATTCTGCATCTTGAAAATAATCAGTCATTCATAAGGCCCTCCTTGGCATTGAAGGCTAAGACATTGGCCTGGGAGTAGGTCAAAACCTCCTTTTCAAAATTTCAATTTCTCACATCGTAAGTATCACAAGAGTAATTCAAATAAAGTATTAATTGTTGCTTTTGTAATTCCATTTCACATCCTGTTCATCTCAGTCCGTCATCTTCTAGATCGTCCCGAACCGGACATGCATCACAAGCGTATGGGCGGGGTCCGAAGCAAGCCTCAAACTACGACCAACTAAACAAGTTGACAGGTAAAGCCGCCAAAAGTCAGATAAATCATTTTGGAAAATCAAGTGCTCCATTAACAAACAAACAAATGATAGATCAGTAATCCTCAAGATATTCTAATTTATCCGCCACAAAATCAGCCAGAAATTGAAACATCTCACTGCATCAAATCCTTTGACATGTGAAAGTCTGACATCCGGGTTCGTGCACCTTGAAATAAATGTTCGAACAATCCCCGACCCCCAAACGCTGCCCCACCACCACGGATCGGTATACCGGGTTTGAATATCTCCCGTCCTGCTTGATCGAGTTGTTGATCCGGATTCAAAACCTGATCTTCTCTTCTCCCTCTTCCTCTCAAACCTGACTCTCCAATCCTCCTTCAAAACCGCAACCTCGCCAACAAACACAATGTCAACCTCCCTCCTCCCCACAACCACAACCTCCATCCCCACCTCCTCAAAAGCACCAAGCCTCCCCGCAGAACTGCTATACATCCAATACTCGCACGCCCACGAAAAACAATACCTCCCCTCCATCCGCGCCCTCATCTCGCGCGACCTGAGCGAACCGTACAGCATCTACGTGTACCGCTATTTCCTATATCAATGGGGGGATTTATGTTTCATGGTATCTCTCTCCCCCAATACTCCCCGATTCCAGTTCCCCAGAACCAAAAGACGAACAAAGCTAACAGTATACGTATCCCAGGCCCTCACCCCCTCCCCCACACCCACAACCTCCCCCCGCCTAACCGGCGTAATAATATCCAAACTCGAACCGCACCACTCGCCTTCCCTCCCCCCAGATTCCCCCACCACGCTGCGCGGCTACATAGCCATGCTGGCCGTGTCCTCCACGTCGCGCAATCTCGGCATCGCCACGAGTCTGGTGACGCGCACGATCGACGCGATGGTTGCGCGGGGCGCGGATGAAGTGGTGTTGGAGACCGAGGAGAGCAATGTAGCGGCGATGAGGTTGTATGAACGACTGGGGTTTTTAAGGAGTAAGAAGTTGCATCGGTATTATTTGAATGGGAGTAGTGCGTATAGGCTTGTGCTTAGGTTGAGGGGGGTGGGTGAGATGGGTGGGGAGGAGGAGGAGTAGATTTGTGGTGGTGTGGATCGGAGGGTTGGATTGGGCGGGGTGTAGGGAGCTGAAAAGGATGTGAGGAGGGGTTTTTGGGGTCTTGAGTTAGACACTGGTGCATGGCGGGAATCTGGTATACATGGCGGATTTGGGCAATATACGGGAGTTCAGGAGCATTAAATGGGCATTGGGCATTTCTGGTTGTGCAAAAGCATTTGTGGTTACATATATGGTTGGTTTGGGAAGGGTCTACATGTAAATGTGAGCGGCATGTTGGAGTTTTGTTCATTGCTGAAGCTATGCGTAAATACAGACGACATAGATAACGAAAATATACAAAAAATCCTGGGAATACTGAATATACAGTTCTCATCAGCTCTTGTCTCGCGAGCCAGAAATACAGACAGCCCATGTTGCTGAGCTAGTGAAAATCTACATAGACTCCTTTGAGTTCCAGATATACAATGCCTACTAGCTTCTAGCTCCGAATCTAGCAATAGATAGAGCCGACATAGCTGAAACCCCACAAAAATCTACAAACATCCCCACAAATCCTAATATTATACATATACACCTCAACTCCCCAACATGAAAGTCGTATCTATTCCCACTCCGCACTCTTCCAATCCCCCACATCCTTAACATTCTTCTAATACAACAACCCACCCAACTTCCCAGCGCCCTTCTTCTCCCCCGCCTTCTCCTCTAAAAATTCTTTGGAACCGTACATCGAAGCTTTGATCCCGAATTCATTCCCGCTTTTGATGTCGAGGTACGTGTATGCATCTGTCCCTTATCAGCCATGTTCTTTTCTCCCCTTTCATGTTTCCCTTCTCTCATCCGTTGTTACACTTCTAAGAAAATATCAACAAAATACGGAATACAATTTGACATACCACATTTATACCAAACAACCTTACTCACATCCACCACCCCCAGACTTCTCATCCGTCTCACCACCCTGGCAACATCCTCGCGATCCCTAAAATCGCGCGTATAAATACAGATGACACGCTCTTTCCGGTCATCATCAGCGTACGGGGCGACTTTTGCAGCGGTGCCTAGTTCGTTGTTGGCGGTTGCTAGCGCGATGGTGGACCAGATCTCGTTTACGGACTCGGGGGGAACGAAGAGCATCCACTAAAGTAAATGCATTAGAGAATGGTGGAGGGGAAGAAAGAAGGATGTAAGATGGGATAAGAGAGATGGAAGGCTTTACTTTTCCAGAAACACAACCCGTCTCCCCCGCAACCTCCAAAATCTCCCTGACCACCCTCTGAACCTCCGCATTAACCTCCCTACTCTTCGCCACCCCCCTCTTCACCTTCTCAATCTCATTTTTCCTCGTCTTTAACTCCCGCAACAAACTCGTCCCACGCTGTTGAAAGTCCGACCACTGTGCATCTTCATCCTCTGCCTCTTCGCTACTTGATCCTCCATTCCTCTTTTGATACGGATTCGCAATGATAATCCACGGGAACCTTTCATCCGGAGCGCGGGACGTACGTGGTGGGAGTCGTGCCAGGAATTCCGGGACGGTCTCGCTGAGTTGACGACCGTAGGATTTGGACTCGTAGGGGTTGTGAAGGGTGGTTGAAGCGCGGGATTTTTGGGTGAGGATGTTGGATTGGGCGAGTTGGTTTAAGTTGAGGGGTTGGGTTTGGAGGTAGGTAGTGTTTAGGTGGGTGTGGAGGGTGCGGATTGTGGTTGGAGAGCCTGGTGGGGCGTTAGTTGTGAGATGAGATGAGAGGGGTGAGGGGAGGTACCGTAGAATTCTGATTCTTCTGAGATGTAGCCGGATATATCGATATCTTTCTTACTGTTTTCTCGTTTTCTTTTGAGACCCATGTTTATTTGAATTCAAAATTTTGAAATCTTCTTGTGAAGTCGTTTGCTCAACTTTAAAATGTCGCGTAGATTCACGGTCTCCACAAGTCTTGAGGAGAGTAAAGTAAACAAACGAAGGAATGATGCTTTAATACATGATACAAGACAGACAATTCGATTGCAAGATTATTGAAGAGTTATACATTGAAACAAAACGCGAAGTAATTCAATTGATGATGAAGATGAGAGGTGGTGAAGATTGGAAGTTGTTTGTATGGATGAGTTGTTGAACGCTCGGACTCGGAACCGGGATCGGAGCCGGTCGTCCAACGACGTTTGTCGAATCTCAATTCAAAACTTATCGAGTTTCGTCAACTCACACCTTCCACATCCACCAGAGACTGTTTTCGTTTTATTCCCTGTCGCTACTTGGGAGATTTCAGATAATTTCGAAGACTTTGAATGAATCCAAGTCAAACCACGTCAAAAACTTGTTTTTGAAAATTTCTTCCTTGGAATCTTTTGATTACCGCGTCTGGAGCACCGACTTCCAACCGCCGGAATCAAAATGGTCACAGTAGAAGATCATTCAAATTCCGAATACAGTCAAAACATCAGGCGAATATGTTCTCGAACCTTAGACCTCCCACCCAGTTGTTTAGAATTTCTCCCTTCGGGCAGCTCTTCTAGAAAAACGATAGAAAATCCGCATGACTATTTTGTCGTCGGGACATATCATTTGCAAACGAGCTCAACCGAAGTAACAAGTTCGGATAACATTGCTGCTGATGATGAAGATGAAGAACCGATTCCTTCTGCACCAAAGCCCCAAGAGAGAGATGGCAGCTTGAGTTTATTTCGGTTTCGAGATGAGAAATTGTAGGTTGTGAGAATTTCGTATGTTACACGTTTTGAACTTCTCTATCTTAATCTTGATTTTCCACGAAAAAAGAAACTCGATTTCTATGAAGATCTAATATGATCGTCACTTGTTTCCAAGACAAAAGTGGCTAGGTGCATAAAATTCTCAAAATTTTCTTTCTTGGGTTTATTCTAGCAAGCGGTTCTAATTGTTGTTAGGGACCTTATCGACAAGATCCCATTTCCCGCCGGGATTTTAGACTTACATTTTCTACTTGGACGACAGACGTTTGCTGTTGCTTCTAGTGTCGGCACCATCTCATTCTACGATTTCCAAACTCAGGTTCCTTCCGCGGGAAGTCCTGCAAATTTAACATTCCATCATATCGCAACTCACCAAGTTTTCTCAGCATCTGAGCTCGTACTTTCAATTACTTTCATACCAAACAACCCATCACTACTCCTAGCAACCCTCAACACGGGCGAAGTCTACCTTATCCACTTTCCAAGCTCAGATTTCTCAACATACACCCTCTTGAATGACGAACTCCCACTCTCCACCCACGGCGCAGAAGCTTGGATCTCTGCCGTCTGTCCAACACTCCAACACATTTACACAGGCGGCGACGATGCCGAACTACGTATCCACGACATCCACCTTCAAGAAGTCCCAACAAGCGACCTCTCGATAACTCTATCGTCAAAACCCCGCGGTCACGACGCGGGTGTGACAGCCATTCTCCCGCTTCCTGGTCTGAAAGATAGAATGTTCTTCACAGGCAGCTACGACGATCACGTCCGTCTCTACGCCATCCAACCCAACGGCTACGCGAAGCTCATTACTGAGAAATATCTCGGGGGCGGTGTATGGCGTCTGAAACTCTTGGACGAAGAAAAGCTTGAGGACAGACCGAAATTCAGGCTCTTAGCATCTTGTATGCATGCTGGTGCTAAGATTCTAGAGGTCGCGCATCATGGGGAGGAGTGGAGTATTGAAGAGGTAGCCTGGAATAAGGAGCACAAGAGCATGAATTATGCTTCTGATGTGCAGAGACTGGTGGATGGGGATCAGAACTCGAAGCGAATATGTGTCAGCAGTAGTTTTTACGATAAACTGCTTGTGGTGTGGGAGTTTGATCCGCTTGTCAAAGCGACAAGTCAGTAATCTCAAGCTATTTCACTGACGGCTTTCAGATTTTACTCTATCGATCCTTTAACACGCTTCATCTTTCCTTAGCCAAACCGAAAACTTGCATCTTCGAGTTTGGGTTACCAATTCCTCATATTCTCATTTTGTTTTTCACTACATAAATCGACGCACACAATTAATCGCGCTGAGGCACATTTGAAGCTTGTTGGCAATTCTTTTGATTCTATTTCTATTGTTGTAAGGACAGTCTATGATATTATGATGTTAAGGAAATTCTATGATGTTATTATTTTACCATTTGTCCGCACACTGGTATCCTGAATAGCTATTCTCGTAGCCCCAAATAATCAAGTGATTCATCCTACGCCGATTGACTTGATACATTATTCATACAGTATTCATACAGTATTCAGCCCATCGGGCGCAATTTTGGAGCACGTGGATGCAGAATACCGTAAAACGAGGGAATCAGCCAATCAATCTTGCGCGTTCAAGTCGAGTTGCTCAAAGGTAACAACAGCTTCCGTGATCTCGTCGAAGCGCCTTTCCTGTGGGCGACCCGCCTCCCCATTTTCAATTGGTATTGCTTCAGTCGGTTCGTCATCGTCATTCACTACTCCTCTTGCTTTATAAAAGTCCGCTACTTTGGGGAGGCAAAGGATGTTCCGAATTATATAGTCAAGGCCTTGTAACTTTGCATCTGGAAGAACATCGACCCAAATTTCGAGAAGAGCTTCCAGACTCGCATCGTCTAGGGCTTGGGCCAGTTTGTATAGACCAGCACACAGATGAAGCCAGCTGATAGTCTCCTCGGTATTTAGTGTCGCGCGATGTTGTCGAAACTCGATAGTCTTGCCAGTTTTGTTGGCCGTCAGACCCGGTGGGTAGGAAATAGGGTCTGCATTTTCGCCTTCAGGAGGTGTGATCAATTTCCCCAAGTTATAAGCACACACATGGTCTACTTCGTGCTCTTGTTTCAGTTCAATTAAGCTCTTGTAACGCATTATCTTTTTCATGGCGACTTTCGGGTCATCGATAACATTCGGATCTTTTTCGTCTTTGTTCAAATACCTTTCACGAATGATACAACACTGAACCTTCGTATGTCGGTTTGTTGGGTGGATTTGCACAATGTGCGGTTCGAACGTCCAAACTATGGCAACAAACTTCCTCATATCCTCCCACTTGAGATCATTATCGTGATTACCGATATGAACATGTAACCCGCAGCTTTTATTAACATCAACATGACATCCGTTGGTGATGGCTTTGCAAGCCTTTTCAACCTCGCAAATGCTGTTGTTGCTAAAGTCCAATGCTGGAGATATCAATTCGATGGGGTAGGATAATTGTTTTCTGGATCTTCTTTTCTCGATTGTCCCATCAACGGTAACGTACCATGTGCTGAAGTCTGGTATTCCGTTTTCCTGAATTTTGCTGTATGTAGTCCTCGTCTTATGCTTCATGACAGGAGAAAGCATGCTGGCTACATACTTTCTGACTTTGGTATAATCTTGGGGTGTGAGCTTTAGGTTTTCCGTTTTCATCTTGGCTTTATCATCCTCTCCGATTTCCACCACGAATTCAAATTCGATACCAAACGTCAGCGGCTTTTGAGGTTTAAGCAGCTTATCGTTGATAGCCTTGTCTTTTGTGAGTTTGATGGCATCCTTTAAGGCCAGAGGCTTTTTGATAGACTTTTTGACGGAGTCCATATTTGCTAGTCGTTTACGTTCAAAAATATACGATAATAATAGGAGATCTTGTTCTATGATGTGTGGTTTGAATATTTCAACACTATCGGTGTATTCTGTTTGGCCGAAGTAATGATCACTTTCAAGATACAGCTCTAGATGTCTACTGTTTGAGGAGAAGGAAGTCTTGCCAGATATCCACGGCTTTTATAGTCGTTTCAATGAAAGACTCTCTGAGTAACATTCTTGAGCATATGAATAGTTTCTCAAAAATCTTTGTTACGGACTCCATGACTGGGACATCTCGTATTCATGGTTGGAGATTCCACTACATATGGAAGAGTTTCACAACACATGTGTGTGATACATGTGTAAATTGGTTGGTTCGTACAAAAAAATCAACTTCCCCAACTCACGGTTCTTAAATGAGTGGGAGGTTGGAGGAATGTTGGGAATGAGTTCTTATGAATCCTTTGTCGGGCACTCATAACTCATATTTTTTCAATGATAGATAAACACTCATGGCATGGGTATTACTGAATTGGCGAGACTGTGACTCAAACGAGATTTGATGAATGAGAATTTAAGCTGAAGTTGTCGAATGAATCCGGAGGTGGTAAGAAATTAATCCTTAATCTAGCAAGTCTTGATTCATTGAGACACTCACATGTCAAGTATTCTTCGAATGCTACCCGAAATTCACAAGATATCTGTGAATCTCCCATACACGCAGAGTGCTGCAGAAGAGCAGAAATGGAAATTAGTAATCTTGAAAAGGTAAAGAACACATAGACGGATGACACGGGAAACTTGAGGTTTTTGATGACTGAAGAAGCTTTAGGTACTTCCTTTGAATGAAATCTGTAAGTTTGAAAAGGTTTTATATTAAAATTATCATATGAGTTGGTATTTTCTTTCATTCGCAAGCCTTCTTAATCAGAGGAAAAGCTCTAGTATCAGTCCACTCAACCAAGTCACCAACACCCCTCAGCATCCCCTCTCTCCTCAATCCAGTCATTCCAAAATCAAAACTCAGTATACTTGTCCTAGGTCAACGTGAGAAACGCCAATTTAACAAGACAGCACAAATATTGTGTAATAATAGAGTCCTTTGAATGGTTCCGAGAAGAAGTGTATCCATGGCGCTTGTGTTATAAGCAACGACTCTAACTAATGCATCAGATATACACATGCCACATTGAGGACTGAAAGAATTATAACTCAACGATAAAACAGCTATCGACAGGGAAACATGTTACTTTATCTGAACAAAAATGGTCGGAAACTCTTTTTTGCGAGATTTTCAGGTAATTCTTTAAGATTGATTGCAGCTTTATTTCTAGATCAAGAATTCGACTCTCCTTTTGATCACTCTCCCTCTCAGTAAAATGTACCTTTGCGTTTTGTGCAGGCTGGTAAAACATACCAAGTGATTCCCCTAAACTTTTTAGACGAGGAAGAAGAATGTCATGAGAGGCCTGATGTAAGTACCATCTGTTTAAAATTGCTAAATTGAACGTACGGATAGACACGAAGATACAGGAACCTAAATCTACCACACAACAGCTACTATAATCTCACGCCCCTCTCACGCCCTCTATCTCCCCTGCGAGACCTGCCACTTACCCCTCTCTCTCCCCTGGGACATCAAACCCTGCAACCGTTCCTCGGAGAAACCCTTCAAAGATCTTAGTCGTCTGATAACCCCCTCTTGATTTGTTTCAAAATTCAATTTCCTTGTTTTAAGTTTTTCCACATCCCGCCCGTTCCTACTGCGTAGTAGTTCGTGCTTGCATTTTTCTAAGCCCTCCGTTACTTTGACGAGTTCGATCTCATATTTGTTCATATTTGGTGCCGAGAGATTCGCTGATGTGGCGATAGTACTTGATCTTGAAGCGGATTCGGACGCAGTGCTTCTCGATCTTGAAACGGAGTCTGACGCAGTAGTTCTCGATCTCGAAGTGGCTTCCGACGCAGTGGTTTTTGATCTTGAAGCGGAGTCTGATGCGGTAGCTGACGGAACTTGAGTCCCTACCCCGAACCTGTCTACGCTTATTTTCCTAAGTCATCTTAGCATTGCACAGAACTATGGAGTTCCTTGAAAAGAAGGCTGAGAACAAGCGTAGGTATAACCACTCACCCAGTAAAAAACATTCCGTTTGCTCTCATTTTCCCTACTGCAGTTATTAACTCTAGCCTCCTTTTATCATAGTCCGGATTTCTTCCAAGCTTGCTGCAGATCGAGGATATTGCCTCCTCAATATTCGCTAGCTTTCGTTTATTCTCAATGTACTCGGGGCTATCTAATCTCTCTTTGGCGAGCAATTTCTTCAGGTTTATGGAGTGTTCTGCTCTTGATAACAATTGTCTCTCTGTGCCATCTAGCGATCTCATATCCAGTTCCAAACGATTCTGACCGACGACAGGAACTCGAGTTTGGGATCTTGTCCGCATAGATCTAGGTTCTTTAGGAGCCGTGATCGTAACCACCTTTGACTTTTCCACTTTGACCCCGGCATCAGGTTTAAAACTTGAAACATTTGCTTTTTGAGGCGTGTATTCGCCATCTTCGTTCGAGGCGTCAGATGACAACTCCACTACGACTTTTGGCTTTTGTCGTTTTATCCATTCGTCTGGGGAAACTATCTCGAGGCTAGGCGACCGAGACCTGGCTTTTGCTGCTGTAATACTCTCCACTTCCGTCGACGGATTTATGCATGGTGGTAGGTGGGGTATATCAGGGACCACGGGATGCCAAGGATTGTCGATGAATAGTTGAGGAATGGGTGTTGGGTCTTCGATGTTTTTCTGGTTGTTTGGTTCTGAATTTTCATCATCTTTGTCTGCTTCGGCGACCCGCGCAACATGAGCGAGTTGGAGAACCTGCAAAGCCTGGTTAGTCTTAACAAAGTAGTTAAGTGAAGGATAAATACTATATTTGTATCAATCTTGACTCTGGGGTGTCTCCCAGACAGCACATCTTCCGTGAACCTCACGATACGCATATATTCTGCAATCTTGGCACGATCAGCCTCTGAAAGAAGTTCTTCGTCTTCAACTATGGGCGGATATGTATGTCCAGTGAGTTGCTTTCGCCATCGTCGCAGATCTTTTAGTTCTGATGACAGCGCGGCTCTCTCTTTGCTTTCCGCGTCATCTTCCACGCGCGTAACTTCAAATCCAATATACTTCGCAAGATTATTTTGTATGATGTTGACCCTGTCATCGATTCCTTTTTCGTTAGGATATGTTTTGCTGAGACTGTCCATCGATCGCCTCGATCCATGGGTAATAACAGAGGAAGGGCGCCTAAGCGACCGAACAGATGGCAGCTTCGCCATACCCTTTTCCGGCTCCGCAACTACAGGTATATTCGCAGATTTAGTTAGCTCATAAATCCATTCTCGCAGGTTCATAAGCTCTGCTAATACTAGTTGGCTGCTCCTGGAGTTTTCGGACCCTTGGTTGGTGTCGAATCTTAGAACCCCAAAACTCGCAAGTTGGCTTCGTAGAACGTCCAACCTAGCTCTCGCAGATTCCACCGTAGGATAATTCACCCTAAGAATCCCTGTCGCCTGCGAGACCTCATCGACTGCCACAGAAGCGTTACGCTGTTCCTGGTTTGTGGCATCCTTCAAAGCAAGAACTGGAGCTGGATCCGTCTTTTGAAAAACAGGTGGACTGCTGTTCATAGGTCCTGACAGAATGCCCCCACGACGAACAGGTGTACTCGTAGCTGAAGAAAGTGGATCGTTCTCGCGGTGACTCCAAATCGCGTCAACCATCTCAGCATCTCGATTCACTAGCTGTGACCGCATTGGTGAGTTTTTGATGTATTGATCGAACGAAGTTTTTACGGGCGAGGCGATTGTCCCTTCACCATAATTGAATTTCCTAGCTTGGCTGTCTACAACCATGTCTGATCCAGCTTCTTTGGGGAAAGGTTGCGAACCTTTTGTTGACATCGTCGCACCGACAAAATTGAAATCCGGGCGGAAAGGAGATTTATCGTGGGCCATGGCGCATCAAGCTGCTTTAGCAAAGATTCGAAGAACAGCGAGATCGCAAATCTGTCACGATTAGCAAACTCGTGTTGTCGACGATGAGTTTGGTTCGGTGTTGTCTGCGGAAGGTGCGGTCACGAAACGAGATTTCTCGATAGCAACTAGTGACACTCAGCGAAACTGAGGAAAACTACTCGTACCGCCTTGATTATGAGAGAAACTAGACTGTATCAATTAGATTACGGTAAGTATCACTTACATCTTTACATGCAAAGAAAGATTTCATTTTAATCAATTATTTTCAGCTAAAGTTCACTTTCGCAAACAGACAACCAGCTAAGACATATACCATTCCTTGAGCCATTTCACATATGGCCACTTCATTCTCTATCTGCCATAAGAGCATCATCAGTAATCAACTGCCAAGTCGGATCACCCTCTGCCCATGTTGATTCCTCAGTAAATCCTTGTCTCCTATTCATGGTCCGATACATCGAGTCGATCTTCCGGACATCAGAAGTATTTCGGATGAACCTAAAGTCCTCACTGTTTAAGAAGTCATCATACGATTCATACTTGGGATAGTATTTAAGCTGATTCCTCGTCAACGCTTTTCGGACTTCAAGGGAAGGTGACTTTGTAATCGATTCGCCCTCGAACTCTCCGCTGAGTCCAGGACCGCTTTTGATCGCATTCACTTCGATAGAGTGAACCTCAAAAGTTACCAGCTCAGACTTGATGACTGCGGATCTGATATCTTGGAGTCCTGCGATGCTGAATATAGTGCGGCCAAGACCAAGCCATCTCATCGACGGTTTCATGATCAGTCGTTTCAAGGCCTCTACGCAACCATCATCGATGTAATTGTATCTCTGTCCATGTGCTCTGGTGGTCTGAGAAGCTCCAAGTTCTATCGCCCGAGTTGGTGCTTCGCTATCGACGAGAGCATGTGCAAGTGCACTTACTCCATCAGATGTCAGTCCTGTAGATCCGATCATCAGCCGCTTCAAAGTTCTGTTCGCTTTCAAACCAGGTGCGAGCTCTTTAATTCCAGCATCTCCAAGCGGATTTGTTGAAATGAAGAGGCTCTCTAGAATGCAATTTGAGTCTGCCAGATATCTGCCTAGGCTTACGCAGCCATTTTTACCAATCCCACTTGCGTTCAAATACAGGTGTTTGAGAGATGATGGCTTCCCAACGATGCCATCAATGAACTCGCATGTGCCTTTGTCACCAAGCTCGGTAGTTTCGAGATCCAGAGTCCGGAGATTCTTGGTATTAAGCACAAGTTCTGCCAGAAGAGCACTAGAGTTTGGTCCGAGAGGATTTCGTTTCAGCCATAAATTGGTGATTTTGGTGGATTTCACTATCTGTGGGACTAGCAGCGACAGTCCATACCGTGTGATATGGCAGCCCGCAAGATACCAGGTCTCCATCCGGTCAGGGTATTTCTCAACAAATTCAGCAATTCGTTTGGCACCGGTGGTTGAGATGGCATTATTCCCCAGTAAGAAGTGTGTTATCTGAGTGTTTGGCTCCAAGCTGTCCATCAATTTCCCGATATGTGTTGGGCCAACAACTTTCTTGCACAAATCGACACGTCCGTCTTCATACACGATTCCACGTTCAAATTCCAATAGATGGCTTTTCCACAATAATTCTATCCCATGAGTACCGTCAGACTCGCCAGCCTCGGCGATCGTTTTATTGTCCGCTAGGAAGCTGAAGATAGGATTGAAGTCTTCCGCTGTTCCAATTGTGACTGGCATAGGAATGGCCGCAGGACCTTTGAGATCAACGGGGTCTAATTCTTGACCTGCCCAAGGTCCTTGGACTCTCAAAAGCTTTCCACCTTTATTGTCTTTCCACTGGGCAGCTTTCAACACATCTGCTTGATTCTGACGAACAATTGCTTTCGCGTAAATTGTCAAACGCTCATATTTGATGATGGCAGCGATTTCAGTCAACTCTGGCCACAATTTTGTAATCTTAGATAGCTGAACCGCAAGAGGTCTTTGAGACTTATTCTGCCGCCGAGGAAGCGCCAGTATCTCTTCTTCTTTACTGAAATCGTCATTGAGAATAGCACGGAGTGTCTCAAGATGGTCATCAACACTGTAAGAAGTGTATTGCCTGGTCGTGTGAAAGCCTTTGGGAGTATCCTGATCCCGCTCGTATATCAACGGCGAAATGCCAGCAAAACCATTCACTTGGCTAGCAGACAGTATTTCCGCTTCTGCCATTATATCGAAAGGGTGCCAAAGGGTTGTTGGTCAAATATCCCAGCCCTTCAGCGAGACTCATTCTCGTGAAAACAAACCGCGTTAATTCAATGAGGATTAAAAGCCAAAAAGAAGGCAATAGATGTAAGCTGCAACCTCTCATGTGCTAGTCAAGTTGAGGTGAACTGAAGAGCGAAAACACGAAGATAATTCTTATTCAAAAAGGACGCATACCGAGTAGGAAAAGAGTCACATTATTGGAGTCATTCCATATCTGCTCAGGCGGGCTGGCGGCAGTATGCACTTGGCAAGGCGTGTGTGCACCCAATGCATTTTCACGAGAACGTTGGACCTGTTCGATAATTCGTGTAAGCGTGCGTGGTGAACATTTGATTCGATACAAGATCATTGTCGAGAGCGGTGTAAAACGTTCTGGACGAGGTTGAAAGAAGGCTCACGTGAGACGTGATCCACTCTCTCTCCACGTTCCAGTCACGTGCGATGTCTCGTACTCGTAAGCCTCTCCACGAGCCGCCTCCCACCACCATCACGACCGCGACGCGACCACAACGCTCATAACGAGACAGCGGATCCTGAGAATATGTAATGAAACTTACATATCGAACATGTACTACGCAAGATGGAAAAAATTCCAGAAATTGGCTTTGGAACATTCCGGCTCAAACGTGAGAGCGTCAAGCAGCCATTAAGGGACGCGATAGGCGTTGGCTATCGCCACATTGATACCGCTGGCATCTACCAAAACGAGACAGAAATCGGTCAACTCCTTAAAGAACTTTATACTGAAAAGACAATCACAAGATCCGATATTTGGATCACCTCGAAGCTATCGCCGTATGATATGGAAACACCCCGAGCCGCTCTTCTCAAATCGCTCTCTTCGCTTCAAACAGACTATCTAGATCTCTATCTCATACATTGGCCAGCTGTTTCCCGCACCCCAGGGAACAGTCCGTTGCACAAGAAATTGAGATTAGAGGCATGGAATGTCCTCAATGAAGCAAAGCAACAGGGTCTTCTACGCAACGTTGGCGTGTCGAATTTCACACCACATCACATCCAGGAGTTGAGAGATGAGACGACGTATGGAATTGATGGGATGCATGTTCAAATGGAAATCCATCCCTGGTATTGGAGAGACGGTTTTGCAATTCAGAATATGTTTCGTGAACATGGGATTGTCATGACTGGCTACGCCTTGCTTGCCGAAGGGAAGCTCTTGGGAGAACCGTGTCCGGAGGCTCTAATCGAAATTGCGTCCAGGACTGAAGTCACTTCTGTCCAGGTAGTGTTAGCATGGGCTCTTTTCAAGGGGTGGAATGTGCTTGTGAAGTCCGAGAATCCTTCTCACTTGGTACAAAATTTGGGGGCCGGTCGGGTGGCAGCCATGTTGACTCCTGAGGAAATTGCGGGCATCGACACAATATCGCAAAAGGTCAAGGAACTCAAGGAATGCTGGGACCCTCGGGCTGTGACTTGAATTGCATCGATTATAAAGCCACGTGAAAATTGTGATACAACTTTCTCATTTTGATGGGTCTCAAAGTTGTATGACAACATCAACCGTACATGATGGGGACCTCACACTGCCTCATTGATGCAGTATTCTGGCAAGAAGGGCTCTGTACTCGCACGACAAGCGAATGTCAAGGGACTGCCGCTGCTGGCTCAACGATGATGAGATTTGCTACTCGAAATTATCGTGAAGATTACAGCATTCAACCTTTTCCACGTTCGAGCAGTCAATTGTTACTGCCGGCTACAGCTCTCTCGTGTGAAGAAGTTGCCTAGCAGCAACTGATTTGTCGTCGAGCAATCAATCGTACGTTGGACAACCATCATGCTCGTTGTAGTCCGAGTCTCATGCTGAGCATCGGCAAAGATTGCGGCTGTATTTGGGGTCCAAAACTCGGCTCCAAAAAATCATTCGGGTCATTCATATATGCAGTAAGAGCAACAGGAAAGGAGGTCAGGGGAACCCAACAACAACGGCTGCCGTAGCCCTACCAATGAAACCTGCTGTTCGATTGGCCGGCTGTTGGCAAGGCCGGATCCGTCGATGCAAGCCCTACGACCCTGCGAAACGTTGCTGAAAGCTCGCATGTCAGCCTCTTGGTATTATTAGAATTTAATTAAGTGTGCCTCATTACAAGGTAGGGATTTCACCGCCGTATTATTCAACTTCCAACTCCCAGGAACCAAAAGCTTAATTGATCCATCACCTAGCTCTTCCTTGATCCTACAAAAAATTTATCCTCTAGGTAGTTAGAACGATGGCAATGACGCATAGACATACTTGCCCAAGTGTGTGCGAGCATAGCAATCGCGTTCTGGACGTTGTTTTCCACTATTTTGCTTGCCTTCGAGACTCGGAAAAGGCCGTGTATTTCGCCAACCTCCCCCAGGCGTCCCAAAGTCGAATAACCAAGGAGCAAGACAGAGCTCGAAAAATCGCGGCATCGTTTGAGAAAAACCCTAATGCTCCAGGAGGTATTCTACAAATAAAATTCAGGCAAAGCCTTCGAGCCTGGAGGGGAAATCCTGGAAAGCCACAGCATGAGGATGGCCAATTGTTTTCGTACACAGCAGACGACGACGTCGAGAGCGACATTCAAGCCCGACTGATATTTTTCAAGAATTCTCGACCATATGATTCCCCAGCATTCCCTAACGAATTTCCTGACCAGAAAATGCCTTTGAAGCGCTTATTGGCGAATGATCCGGAAACTAATCCCCTCATGCAAAGTTGCGACGAGGATCTGATACGATACTTTCACTTACCAGCAAATAACATGAAGTGGGTGGAAGTATGTTTGTGTCGTGGATATTCACTTTTACTTGACTGACCAAATACAGGAAGCAATCGCACGATACTACCACGAAGGTCGCCCAGATCACGATAACTTCCATCACCAAGCACGCCGAAGTCGACATACCAAATCCGAGATGATTTTGAACCCAGAGTTCTGGCGAGGCCAACAACTCGGAGATGCTGGATCAGAGGTTCACGCTCGATCAATGAGACCGCTATGCGAAACTATCTCTACGAACGCTGTATCAGCGGAGGCTACACCGAGGAATATTGTTTTATTTGTATGTTCACAACCCACCAAGCGCCGGAAATTCTGTTCCTAATTAACTCCAACAGATGCCATACCTACACTGGGAAACTGATCGTGGGCGGAGAATAGCTGCTGAGGTCACTAAAGAGGCAGGCAAAGCCATGTTCGCGTCGTTAGGAGAAGTTGTCGACACCGTCACCGCTGAGCGACCTACAGAGGATCAGACTCTGACCCGCATACCGACAGAAAAAACAGTGGTGGCTCGAACTTTAGTCCAAAGACGGGCACTTCTTGGATCTTTACTTCTTCTCGCTGCCAAGCTTTCCGAAGCTACAGATTCGTTTATCGATGAAAAGCTTATGTTACAATATTTACACAAGGACGCACAATTGCATCCTCGCAGGACTTTGGACCAGTCATATTATGGTGCTCTCAAAAACACCCAAGCCCGCGACAGAGATCAAGTTGTGTACAGAGCAACTACCCCGAGCTCACATGAATGTGCGAGAAAGTTTTTTAAGGATGCTAATTGCCGGCGTTGCCAGGAAGACATCAGAAAACGGCCACGACTGATTATGGTGGACCAGTTGTGGCTGTGGGTTCTGGATGAGAAAACTGTGATCACGAGCTTTCCAAAAAGATGGGGAAGGAATATTGCGGACAGTTCTGGAGTCCATGCAAGTATACGTACCCGCCTTATTTCTGCTAGGCAAGACGAGATTCGATCCGCATTCGACTTGGCCATAATTATTGTCGACCAATGTTCCCGGGTTTTCTTTGACAGGACAAGATCAATCGGCCAGCAACCAAATCTCGGCGATATATTCGCTGACTCAATTCGTACAGTGGTATGTTTAATGCCATCTTTCAATTTGACACATCACTAATCTCACAGACTTACAAGCAAACTGCTGCATTTGACGCCTTTCTCCAGTACACGCATCTAGCTTCTAAAGACCACCATTCAAGAGACACACCTTTCGGAGGATCATCCGCGATGGAGAATACCTTGCTTAACATTAATCCGGAAGGTAACCTACTAAAAGAAATTAAAGATATTTTAGACGAGCTACACATTTTGACGAGGGTAAAAATCCAGCAGCAAGTGGTGGCGGAGACATTTGTCAAACACATTAGACAGATTCTTCTTCCCAAAGTCGCTGCTGCAAATGATTTCAACCTGGCTCTTCCGAGCGAGGCAAGTCTCTTGGCACCCGGCACTCCAGGTGCCCCTGGACAGAAAGATTCAATTGAGATGAGACGAGAGCAATTAGCAGGCGCCAAATGGACACTTGCTCGAGCCGAAGTGTTGTTAACAGGTATTGAGCGGCGGATCGCAGAGCTGAATACTCTATCCGACGCTGCTCAGCACACCTCAACAGCTGTATGAATAAATCTCTCCATATTTAACCCAAGCTAATTTTTATGCAGCTCAAAGATCTCCTTACGTTGAAACAACAACAAGCCGGTGTAATTGAAGCTCGTGAAGCTGTCAAACAAGCTTCGGAAACACTCAAACAAGGAAGATCTATCATGTTATTCACCGTCATCGCCATAATATTCCTCCCGCTCTCCTTCTGCACTAGTCTATTTGGAATGAATTCGAAGGAGTTCAGCGACGGCTCCAAACTCACCTTACGCCAACAATTCTCATACATGTTTCCTATTTCAGTCGCCATAGTCATTACGTCCTTCACCCTAGCCTTCAGCTCTAATACCTTCCTATCAGGAATTTTCACAGTGGCATGGGCAACTGTCGCATACCCAATTAATGTCGCATTTACCTGGCTGTTAACTCGGAGCGGGATTTACACTTTCAGTCGCGGTCTCAAGGGCAAGGCAAAAGTTCTGGCGGACAGGAAGGATACTATTACAGCTCATATGAAGTCAGATGCTTTGAGGGAGAGAATGGAGTGGAAAGTTGCTAAGGAATTGTCGAGAGAGCAGTCCGTGGATCATGAGTTGAAGAAGAAGATGAAGAAGAAGAAACACCATAGGGATGAAGAGGAAGGTGTGGGCACTAAGATGCTTTCGCCGAGCGCGTCGCATGAGCTGCTCAGTTATCCAAAGACTGTGACGTCGGATGTGTCTTCACTCCCCTGACAATAGGATTGCTTGCGAAGCTATGTCACAGTGGACAGATTGATAAACACCAGGTTTTGCCTTCAATTCAGGGGTGAGTACTAGATACGTCTGGTAGATATCAATCTTTTTTACGTCAGTAAATCAGCCCCGCCATCTATAAGCAATTTCACCGACTCGTCGTTTTCCTCTGACTCTTTTCCTCCCTTGGGTTCTTCTTGTGTAGTTTCCTTTGGGTAGAAGACCGGTTATACTGGGAAGCTTCCGGGGGTGACGTTGGGGGTGATTTTCGAGAAGGCATGTCTGTTAAATTTGAGCTCTTGGGTGTATCTCTTCAAAAGACGGGATTAATTTCGCGATATATGCTGCCCATATTTAGTTGGGATTGCGTTTGCTCACGTCTTCGAACCAATGCCCGGCCGCAACAAACGCAGACACCAGCACTCGTTGACATGCTTTCCAAACAAATATGTCAAGCCAGGTTGGTATGCCAAAGAGATTCGGGGAAGTCAACGACTCTCAGGCAATTTAAAGATGCTTATTTTTAAAGGTTCTTCTTTTCCAACGACGCTTTCTAGTTGTCCAAATTGCCACTAAAGAACTTCTCAATCCCAACATCGCAACCAGCAAGCACAACGTACATCCTCCGAGCCGCACTCCTGCACCCTTCCGCCAACTCACTCCTACCCAACTCATCATACCCCTCAGCCGCATTCCGCAAGCTATTGAACACCTCGGTGTTCACAATTCCCCCTTCCCAATCCAACTCAACCTTCTCATTCACCGCATCAACAATCTTACTTCCGAACCCAAAATTCTTCAGCACTTCAATCGCGAACTTGACCATTTTCGAAGTGTTGTTTGCTTTCCGACTCGCTTCCATCAACCAAATCGACGGATGTACCAATAGAAGTCTCGGGAGACTAGCATAGATTGATGGCTCATACATATCCTCCAATTTCCTCATCATTTTCTCGATGGCCTTGACGTTCGTCATCGAAATCGTCCGCCCGTTTGCTGAGAACTTCATGGCTTCCGCCTTGATTTTCTTCGCCAATTCCGTTCGTTTGACATGATTTTCATCTGGAATTTTCTTTTCTCCTGCGCATAGCCGACACGTGCAATCAAAATCCCAATTCGAGAGATATGCCTCACGTCGAAATAATGTACTAGCATCTGGCGCAGAATACTGGTGTGTGAGTTCTGTGCCAGCTGGAATTGCATGCAGCGCTCGCAAAGTCATGAAATCACCGATGAAAGCTCGTCCGCAATTCGGTACACATGAGTGGTTCGTGTAGGATGCTTTGTGCCAGATTGCGGTTGTGAGATTTGTCTCGTGAGCGGGACAGTTTCGCTTAAGAAGGTTCCGCGAGAGTTTTGGGGCGGAGAAACAATTTTTGAGTCTGATCGATTCGACAAGGAAGCTGTTCTTTGTTAGGTTCTTTTCCATGCAAATTGGGTAAATCACTTACGCATCAACTACTGGGACTCCATCCACGACTTTCCCTTCGTCGCCATTCCTGACATAGCTCCCGCTATCCAGATCGTAAAAGACTTTGGAAATCTCCGGATTTTTATACAACTGCTGGACGAGGTTCTGAAATACCAACGCTTGTCCAGATTTCTGAGTTCTTGTACCGTTGTTGAAGTTGAATAAAACAGTATCACTCGCTTCATCACCCGTGTACTGATTCGGCAAACAAAACGCTTTCTCGCACATTAGCAATTCCCCTCCCTCAACATCCTTCGTCGTGAAAAGACCTCTGCCAGCATAATTGGTGGGTCGAACTTCCACTTTCGACGTAAAATCGGCATGGTCCAGCCAAATATTGCTTTCTTGTTCTTGAATCATCCTGGCAAAATCATAATTTCCTGTATTATGCTCCTCTAGCCTAATCAAAACACGATTAAGTTCTTTGCGTGCTTTCATATCACTGGGATTCAACTCGAGCGCTTTTTCGAGGTATGTCTTACTTTCCACAAAGGACCGCAATGCATAACAAGCCTTTCCAGCGGTAAAGTATGCTTTTGCGTCGAGATCGGTTCCGGAACATGATGCCAACGAATCTTCTTTCGCTTGTTGATATCTCTGAGACATCAGGTTTGCGAATGCGCGTTTTCGGTAAACGTCCTGGCTAGAGTGAAGATTTTCTTTGGAAAGACTATCACTCAGTGCTTGTGTGTAACTATTCTCGTGTTAGTTGAAGCACATTACTTCTCAAAGAAAAAATACATACCACTCAACAGCACTACCAAACTTCCCCTCCAAAAAAGCACCATCACCCTGCTTCCTCCACTCCTCGCCCGACACATCTCTTTTTTCCTTTACAAACTTCATAATCATCGTTACAGCGGGATCATCTCCCCTCAAAACTGCGATATCACTTGGATGGTCAACTCTTATTATCCATCCCGCCGATTCGTGGTATTTTACATATGGTTCTTTGATCGCCACAGTGCTATTTTGAGGGATTGGAGTGACCGAGTCGTCTTGAAATCCAAGCACTAGTACAGCGACTGTATTTGAAGCATCTTGAACGAGCGTGGTAGTGGTCGAGAATTGATATGCGGGTGTGATTGTGGAAGCTGTGATGAATGATCCGCGATGATGCGTCTCGAGTGCAAGAGCTGACAGCGGGATCTACACTGTCAGTCTAATTCAGTAGAGGGAAATTGATTATCCGTACCTGCTGCAACTTCTCGAGCGGTACCATCGAGGGTGCATATGCATTGGGTATTGTGATTTGTTTCGCCCATCTTGTATTAGAATCCCGCGAGCACTCGTCTATATGATGAATATTTTGTAGATGCTGCTGGATCAATTCTTCAGTTGAGAGTATTTGAATTACTTTCTCTCCTGTTCTCGCAACAGATACTTCATGCTGGACTCTTTCCTTGTCGGGACCCAACTCATACGTATTGATTAGCTGATCAGGAATTGGCGCCATTTGAAAAGGTTGAATTTCAGGATGCAATTCCTGGATTTTGTATCGATAAGACGAAACAGCTTCAAATTGATTAACAGGCAAAGATAACAAGTATCCTTATTCAAAAGTCATGAAACTCGTGACATCAGTTGTTGAGCCGCGACGGCAAAAGAAAGCTTGGATTTGATTTATTGGCGGCTAAATCCGGTACCGAGGTCGGTTTTGGGAAGCTACTCTGTAGGAGAAAACGAACTTCCTCCAATGAAGTTGACCACATCTTTGTATACCATTAGAGACCAGATACGACCTCGGGAGCCAAGGGTATCAGATTAGTAAGGTCTACTAAAGTAAGCGAGGAAAAGGGGGCGGCTCGCTTAAATTTGACTCTTAACGAGCTCATCACTGGACGTGATGACATCTGGATTTGATTGATTCATGGGACTAGGCACATTTCCGTTTGCGGCAAGCGAAATTTTGTTTTAAGTCGATTAGTTCTCTGCAGGGCGGTCAAAATGACCGTGGGATGAGGCAATGTTGAAAGGTAAGATCCTCTTCAAGTTTTATTCATCAACAGATCGAGATCGACTCAATTCCAAGCGAGTACTTAACGTTTTAAGAAGCTTAAAGCCATAGCATTTGATTAACGTTTACTCACAGATCTTGGTCCTCAAGTCAACCATAACGAGCTATCCTGAATGTTCCCTTCCGCCCTACTGGGTTGTTCGCCACTTGTTCAAAATTCCCCCAACTCGTTCAGTCCGGCCATTTGTCAAAAACGGTAGTTATTAGAATGATTCTTTTGCCACAGCTGGTCTGTACATGGCCGACCGGGTTGCTTTGTCCGTGTAGACTTGGGTCTTCAACGACATGACAAAGTTCCCGCCAGTCATAAGTGTTGCATAACCTCGAAATTGTCGTATTTGCCAGGAACCGTTTTCTCTATCGAGATCGTTCCTCAAAAACGAGTGCGATTTGAATCCAAAACCCCATCTTCAAGTTTGCCCGGATCCCCACAAGGGCAATCATCTGGGTCGACTGGCATTCTCGGTTTGTGCCTATCATTCCACTGCCTCAACAACACCACAAGATATCCAATAATGAATGCCACAATTACAATCGCAATTGCCGTAAGTATGATGTTCCACACAATTCTCGATTTTGTGGGTGGTACGTCTGGCGGATTATTGCTCTTTGATGGTTTCGGATAGGATCTGCGGGCGGTGGTGTAGACGTTGGCTGATAGGGCGGAACCATTGACATTGGAAACACTTCGATAGTGACTGAGCCTGTCCCTTATAGGGTAGGCGGGTAGTATTGGTCTGGGAGGTGGCTTTTGACAGACTGGTGGGGGTAGAAGGAGCGGTTCGTTGCGTCTTGAGCAAGATTTGGCCATCTCTGGTGCGACCTGGTGCTGGGGTAATCTAGTTCTCGGGGATTTATTCGATTAACTCCAAAGCTGATTCTTCGGTTCAATTTCGCATCGTAATTTTATTGATATTTCCTGATGATTGGGGCAGCTATTGTGATTGCTCGGTGCTGATCGGATATTGAGATGGATGGTGGGGATAAAGAACGTGAAGAATGCTCGAAGTTGATATGGTATGAACAGATGCACGTTAGATTGTTCGAAAGACTTTGCTGGAAACAACCGTCGATGGCTTGTGGATTTCTACATAGAAGGCGCGACTGAGAAGATGTTCAACATTAGTGACCCGCGGGCCGTTGTAGCGTGTAGCTTGGCAGGTTCGAATAACGTGATTAGCATAATAGCAACTTTGTAAAATCTCTTTGGGTGACACCAGCATTTGATTTTACCTTTCAAGCCAAACTCCTTGTTGTTATGTTTTGAGTGGTATGGTTGAGTATTCTCGCAAGACACTCCAAGCTAGCGTATGTCTCTCTTTCCAAGCACATCAAATGTAATATTTTCCAACGCATGCAGTACTAGACCCAATACACCGCTATAAAAAGGTTTTCCTCTCCTCCAACCTCACTACCAACACCCATGCACAGCTCCCAACTCATCCCACATCTTCCTCCAGAACACCCAACCCAGGAACATCGCAGAAGTGACGAAAACTGCCATTTCCAAAGTACCGCTCACCCACGTTACATTCCCGTCCGGGGTGACGAGAAAGTCAGGAAAGCAAATGAAGAGGTTGGTATATATAGATGAAATAGCTAGCGTGAGCCAAGGTTAGGATGATGAGAGCATGGCTGAAGAAAGGTATGCGAGAGAAATGGAAGTGATGCCACTGGTTTGAGGTGCCGAAGCATAATCTTGTGGCGAGGGCCTTTGCAAGTGAAGTTAAGAGGAAGGGTTGACTTTTCGTATTTTATCTCAAAGGTGAGTTATTCATTGGATGGTGTTATGAATGCTTCTCTGGAATCTTGATTTCTCACACTCACGTCCCCTTGTATTGATACCAAAAACGTCTTCCCACCGAGATTTATCACTTGTTCCTATGCTGAAAACCATCCCAGAATATCAACTTAACGTGCCAACAGATCCACCCTTCACCTCATACGATTATGTTGCGCAAAACACCACGCAGCCAAGCATTGTAGTACTACTCAAACAAAAACCATTATGCTCCACGACCACCTCCAACACACCTTCGTCACCCCCCTCAACTACTTAATAACCATCTATTCTTGGCCCGTCCCGCTCCCTTTCTTTCTTCTCTTTCCGATTGGTATAACAAAGAATAACACATAAGACCAAGACAGCACCCCCAAAAAGACCACACACAAGAGGAAGCCAAATCGTCATGATCAACTGTCTTCTCGTCGCGATAGCGTAGAGAGGTAGATTTAGTAATTCGACTTCGAGGGTTGCTGGGCAAGCTGATATAATGGTCGCGAGGGTTATGAAGGTGAGGATATTGAGGAGAATGAAGAGATTTACATAGATTTTTCTCGCCCCATGAGGTGCTCGTGAGGATGATATTGTTGGTGCTTATTTCGAAGTTTTGATGTTTAATATTATAGGTAGGTGAACTCAGATGTGAGATGTACTCGAAGCTCTATTGTCTCTTCATTCAAATCGAGACAAGACTGAGCATTTATACTTCCACAAAAAGCACATATGTATAGCCCGCCTCATATTTCCCAAGTGCTCTGATGAGTATGGCAGAGTTAAATTCGTTCCATATCATACACCAGTCATGGATCACCATACCACTCATATCTTTCACCTCGCAAAACTCATTTTCCGATTTCCTTGTCCCTCTCACCTTCCACCATGATATCATGACCCCAATATGAGGGCTCGACGCACGAAGGAAAACTACTTAAAATCAGCGGTCAAAACCTCAGTAATAGAAAATCAAACTAAATGTTTTCGCTTTCCTCAGGAACAGGGACTCTTCGTACTTCAACCTTGCCATGAATCAAACTCACGTCTAATTACTCTTGATGGGGAAATTTGCCCTGCAATAGTCATTAACAGGCAAGACACTTCTTCGTAACTTGGCATTTTCATTCACGTTATATGTCGAGATCTCACGCTTTACATGTGTGAAAAAGTTCTCTTGATTATATGGGAAGAGTTTCAAACAATTAGTATATTTGTATTCTTCATAGGAAAAGGGCTCAGTTGTTTCTAAGAAATGATCTAGTCCTCCTACACGCCTTGACGACATAGGGAACTTAAATGCCAAAAGATAAATTTTACTTGTCATAAACCTGGATATGCGCGCAGTCCATAAACACACAACGTAGTAGCAAAGAATACCGACCCCGTACCCTATCATATCGACACCTCGCCTTACGTCCCCAATATCCAATAAGCCTTACCATCACCCCATCACTCTCAGATACTCGCTCACAACAACACTCAACTACCTCCACAACGCAAGTCTCCAACCCCAACACTCCCAACAGTTTCGTCCACTGAACCTCCCCATCTCTACTCTATTTCTCTCGCTCCCCTGCTTGCTCTCTCTGTCTCGCTCTTCTTCTCCTTCCAGAGGTACCATTTAACACACACGATCAAAATGACACTACCAGCTATACCGAGAATAGCCGCGATCAAGATCGTGGTTTCGCGTTTGTTTTCGTCTCGAACATGCAGGTAGGTAAGAGTAGTGATTGGAACTACTGGGTTTGTTGGGAAAGCCAATATGAGGGTGGCGAGGGTAGTGAGGATGACGATCTCGACGAAGAGGAAAGAAGTGAGATGGAGAGGCATTTCCCTTTGGAAACTGATCTTAGGTATTATTGTAGGTGTTTATTCTGAAGTCTTGACGTTTAAAAGTTTGATTCGTGGTATTTAGACGCCGGCTTTAAACTTAGTTGAGCTGTTTCTCTCTTCAGAATGAAGAGACAGAGGTTTTATACACCCACCAAAAGCACATGTGTACAGCCTTCATATCTTCTAAGTTGTCTGATGAGAGTGTCGAAGGGACCGAGTTGAATTCAGTCATATCACTCCCAATGAAATCAAAGGTCTCATGCGAGAGCTACACATGTGTCTTTCCGTTTCATATCTTTTGATTAGCTCATGAACATTCCGAGGTTGTGAAACCACGTAACAATCATTTTGTAACATCTGAGAAACTCGAATTCTCAATGACTCTCGCCTGTATTACTGTGACAGGAATACAATGAAAACACACCACCAAAGCAGTCATGTGCATCAAGTCAGCGTTGATAAATTCAATAAATAAAACACAGTCTTAAAACTTGATTACTTGGCTGCTAGAATGGTGAAGAAGGGGAGGTCCTTAATAGATACTTTTTTACCATGACCCAAAAACTACTTCCATTCTGTCCCGAGGTACTCGACTGTTAAACGACGGTCCAATTTACAAGTGTCTTCTAGTCTCTGAGCCGTGCCGTTATCACCAAACTTTAGGTACCAAAACGTAGCTGTACCAAACAGTGTCAATTTTCTTTCCTCGGTTCCACTATCCCAAAACCAAGAACTTGTATTCTACACATCTTCTTTACAACCTACAATCTACCAGCACTTTGATCCACCCATCATCTCCTCTCCCATCTTCCACAGCACCACTCTACCCGTTCCCCATTCCCCTACACGACCTCCAACAATTCCCTACCTCTTTCCCCTCCCCACTCTCTCCCTCTTGCACGCCCGCCGCTCCCTCCAGCTCTCTCCTAAACGATAAACCCACGTATAAATCCGGCAAACGATAAAAACTAGAATACTAAGCGTGACTACGCCTACGACTACACAAGCAAAGATCATGAGGGCTTTGTCAAGCTGATGGATAGCATGATTGCTTGATATAATGCGTTTCCAGTTTTGCGTTGGATGAGTTCCATATTTTCTGCGTTCGAAGTTGTTTATTATAGTGGGCTGAAAAAAGGGCGTTACAGGGGCAGTGGTGAAGGTTGTGAAAGTGATGTAGATGGCGAGGAGAGAGGTGAGGGGGGTATTAGGTTGAAGCATTGCGAAGTTTCGATATCGAGGCAGCTTTTGGCATAGAATTTGAAACCAGAGACTTGGTATAGTATTTGTATTCTGGTTTATATGTTTGAAAACTGAATTGTTGTAGGTCAAGCTCTAAGATAATGATACCATTACACATCACTTCCACCCCTCTGAAATATGAATATTCTGTCTTCCCTCACAATCCGTCCACGTCAACCCAGTCATATCATCCTATACACATGTATCATTCAACTCCCTACTCCAAAACTCCCTACCTCACTTCACCGCCTCTTCAGCACCATTAAGTCCCGTCTTCCCCTCCACACCGCTCATCAACTCCATACCTCCCTCGCCAGTCCTCGAATTTCTTTTCCCCTCCCGCTTCCTAACCCACACCCTATACACACACCACGCAACCAGCGCTAGAATAACCAGAGCGATCACACATCCCACGACTATGCCCGCAATTTCTCCGTAGGAAAGTCCCTCTTCACCTTCGATCGCAACTTTTGGGGTTCCAGATTTGGGGTTCTTTTTCCTAGCCTCGATGGTCGTGCAATGGGCTTTAGGTACGAAAGAGAATGCCCTAGTGAGAGAGATATAGAGGAAGGTGAGGAAGATGTGGTTGATAGTGAGGAGAGGCATTGAGATGTTAGTCCGTTCGGTTGAGATGGTACAGTGAATTTTCATGGTAGAGCGAGAACAAGGACTTGTAAATTTTGAGTTGGTTTTCGGTTTAAATGGGGGTAATTTGATGGTAGCCGCATGTATTTATACTCCCATTTAAGCTTCGAAGATATGAATATACCAACTCCCATCCTCCTCACATCCACACAATACACATGTCCGAACAGCCCTGAACTCTCTATTTTTTTATTCTCTTGTCCCTTCCCTCCCTACTACCTCACCCCCTCACCAACACCCATCTCCAAATCCCCACCCCGCCCCAATCTCTCCTCTCTCCTCCTAACCCACCACTCTGCGCCCAGCACAACCCCCAACAAGACCACCAACACAGCCAAAAGCCGCTGTTCTAAAGTCCACACCGTCACCCAACTCCCCCTAGTAACTTTCGGGTTTTCCTTACGCCAGCCCTCCGGGGCACGGGAAGTGATGAGGTTGAGGCGAGCGATCGTAGTGCGACTAGAGGCAATGTAGTCGAGCGTTAAGATCCAGAGGGATGCGAGGACGAGGGTGAATATGATGACGGAGAGGTTCCAGCGACACTCGTCAGGTCGGAGTTGTGGTATGTTAAAATGGTGGTAAGATAGGTAGAAGGAGAGGGATTGAGACTTGGAGGTTTGGTTGGTGGGAGTTGGGTTCTGATGTTAGAGAAAGCAAGACTAGTGACGGTGTTAGCCAAGATATATACAGCAGGTCAAGTTGCATAGATGTGAATACTTTCCATTCACTTTGTAATTCCACATCGTCGTTCAATCACTTCAATCTATCACAC